GTGACTATCGATTGTAGCATAGCACGATGCTGCAACATTGTTTACAATTAATGTACCTTCAACAGTCAAAGGGGCTACATATCCTTGTTTGACAACATCAGACACATTCGAAACAGTTTCAGTAATTAGAATGCCATCGCCATTCATGACATAGACATTCATTCCGGCGTGAATATTTTTAGCCATGACATAACCATGTTTATCAGTAGGCATAAGATGAGACGAGGTAAGTGATAATTGTCGGCCAGTGTGAGTAGTTACTTGTTTGAACAAAGCTGAGAAAGAAAACGAGATGAAATGTAAAATAAACAAGTATTGATGTGTTTTACCAAATCTTTGTGGTTGAAAGTCAAGCATAGTGATTAGATTGGTTGAGAGGACTTTCTTTGTTTTATCATCATAAGCAAGAAGTGAATCGCCTGATTGTAGATTAGCAATTGATTTCTGGTCGCCATTAGATAACGTCACAAGCGAGTCAGCAGCAAAACAACGTTGTTCTTCTATTATTGAATCTGTGTAAAATAGAGATCAAAATAATGAAATAATTCTTACAAAATTTTCACACGAAATAAACCTTTTATTGGACAAGTCGGATTATTTCGTTCTGGGCAACAATTTTCTGCTAAATCAACAATTTCTCGAAAAGCAGCTTCACCGACCTAGATGAATAAAAGTGGAATTTCGTGAGAAATGATTCATATGAATCTAAACCTTTTGCCCAATACATTCTGCCAAATGATTTTGTGCGCATTTCACTATTAATGACGTTGATTTGCATACTCGTTGAATGTCTGAAAAATTACATATAACTGGTTGAGAAACTATTCATATACTAACCATTTTTAGCAAGTCCAAGAATAATTGTACTCATATGTGACAGACAATCAATTAGTTCTAATGGTTCTGCTGTTAAATTACATCGTGCATTCGCCATAAAGACAACACAACCAAAGGTGAATATGATTTTGAACAACATCTACATGCGAATATCACGTTGAGTTATTTTAAAATAACCATTGTCATTTCAATAAGCTTACCGTACCTTTATAAATTCGAATCGATTGAATAATATCGGCAAAAAATATGTTCGAGTATTGCTGCTACGTAAGGAATATAGTTTATCGAAAATTATTCGTCTTGTACTGATAATCAATAGTGAAAGCTGAAATTACAAACCGTTTTGTTTTTCTCCGTCAATAATACATATCAATTTTTGCTTTGTTGCCAAGAAACTAAGTAAATGCGTAAAATGTTGTCGTCATTGAATTATTATTTATTAACAAAACAAAAATCACCATCGGATCAATTCATTATTAACAAGGTCAGATTTTGTTTCTGAATATTTAAAATATTACTCATCCTAAGAATGCAAGCATTTTTGTTTTGTAGAATAAATTCAATGTGATAAGAGTTGCGATATCCAATCTTGTGTACATCAAATATAACTACATGTTCACGAGGTTAGACTGTTAAGCTATTTTGGAAGTTTGGGTTCCAGATGATGAACAAAAGCGCGCATCTGAGTAGATAAGCAGAATTCCTTCTTTTTCAACTAGCTTCAAGAAATTTCATCGTCTGATTGATTCAATCAATTGTGCAGCGAATTCAGAAACTCGGATTTTTTGACTTGAAGCAAATCTGCTTAGTTATGAGTGTTCAGTACTAGTTCAATCACTTAAATAGAGTATAGCATCGAGCTTTAAATAATGCAGCTACTTGTGATTAGGCAACGCAGACCCGCAATTCTTTGTGTACGCCTTTGGAATTATTTTTTGTAAGACATGTTGCATTTTCTACCATAAATTCAAAACTAAATATATCAACTCGTTACATAAGACTACATAGGGTATCGTGAATTAATCGAAATCGGTGAAGTTACTCTCGAATATAAATCTTCAAAAACCTATGATTATCAATTCTGTGCTTTATTTAATGATCCAAACGATTTAAAATGCATATCATATTCGGTAAATATATTGAATTCATTTATTTTATTCTTTCATGAATCAGTCAGCTTGTGTAAAGATTAAAAGATAACGATGTAAAATGAAAGAGATTCTTCTCATTACTACTGAATCACTTCTGAATGATTGATGGTATCAAATACGTCGTCATTTCATACAGTATTTGTGGAAACCAATGAACACCAATCATTGAGCTCGATTTTCCGAATAAACTATACCACCATCTCATAGGAGCCAGTACAGTATGGGCAATGTAGTGACTATCGATTGTAGCATAGCACGATGCTGCAACATTGTTTACAATTAATGTACCTTCAACAGTCAAAGGGGCTACATATCCTTGTTTGACAACATCAGACACATTCGAAACAGTTTCAGTAATTAGAATGCCATCGCCATTCATGACATAGACATTCATTCCGGCGTGAATATTTTTAGCCATGACATAACCATGTTTATCAGTAGGCATAAGATGAGACGAGGTAAGTGATAATTGTCGGCCAGTGTGAGTAGTTACTTGTTTGAACAAAGCTGAGAAAGAAAACGAGATGAAATGTAAAATAAACAAGTATTGATGTGTTTTACCAAATCTTTGTGGTTGAAAGTCAAGCATAGTGATTAGATTGGTTGAGAGGACTTTCTTTGCTTTATCATCATAAGCAAGAAGTGAATCGCCTGATTGCAGATTAGCAATTGATTTCTGGTCGCCATTAGATAACGTCACAAGCGAGTCAGCAGCAAAGCAACGTTGTTCTTTAATGACTGCATCTGCGAAATATTCAGATAGATATATTGAAATACATTATATGATATTGCATATAAAATAGACCTCGAATTGGACAGTTTCGGCCATTTATATCTGGACAACAGTTTTCAGAAATTGTGACGACTTCATCTAATGCTGCTTTTCCGAGCTAGAATATATATCAATTGAAAGTATTATGAAAAATGAAATCGGTTTACCTTTTCCGCCACGCAATCAGTAAGTTCTCGTTTAGCACAATTAGCGATATCAGCGGCAATAACGCATAGCATTTTAGTATCTATGATAAAATTTCAAAAATTTACTTTATCCAAAAAATGTGTATTGCTATTTTAACTACCGCGAAGAGCTGCTCCAAGAATTCCTGATGTTAAATACCGAAGACAATTAGCAATTTCTGTTGGTGTTGCAGTTATTGGGCATGCTGCAAATGTAGTTGCTGTTAATAGGCCGAGTGCAAGAATAAATTTATATAATATCTAAACATATTAATGAAATTACTTCTTAAATTCATAGCTTTATCATTCTATCTTTATTACCATTCTTATTGTGTAACAAATTGTATTTTAAAATTTGACGATTTCCCTTTAACGACAAGAAGCAAAGTGATGATTTCTTGTCATGACGTCTACCTGTTATAGCTCTAAAATCAATTATGGAATCAACTCGAATTACTAATCCCTGTTTTCTAACGTCCACATAAAAAAGGACGTGTCATATTTTTGCCTCTTCTGCTGATGACAACAAACCGATACACAAACTTCGATCGAATTTCCTTGCTCAGATGCAAAGTAAAGAAGGCTATGTAGATGCAAATATATTTTAAGTGGCAGCAGATTTTGTTTTGGTCAATATTATATTTGACTTTTTGATGTTTCGAATTTTACGTGATTTCTACTTCATGATTACTAATACTAAAATAAATAGATTATTTAAGTTTCGTATCTTCTCGTCATTAAAGAAGACACTTGACATCGACCAGGCTACAAATTTTCATAGATCAGGCCTGGCTAGAATATTCGTTTTTAATTAAAATATATCCAATGATAGAATGACAATAGTACTATATTCTACACAGTACTACGTGATTCTTCTTTTTTTTTAATAGAGCCTTCACTTTATTGGAAATCTATTTGAATCAAAGAAAAAATAAATATTTACTCATTATTACATTGAAATTCAACACACTATTCTCTCTCCGATCGGGATTAGCTATTTTCTAATTGAAATTGAAATTGAAAAGATCATCCGCTTTCAACTGCCGGAAAACTGAGTTTTAGACATTTATTTATATTGTTCGTTTTCTTTTGTAGAAAAAAAATCAATTAGCGGCTATTTCAATAAATACAATAATTAATCACAACACACAAAAATACACATAGATGAAAGTAATGCTTCAGTCGTCATGAATAGACCTAACAAGAAGAAAAAAAGCTTCATAGTGTGTTTTATTTTTCTTATTTATTTTTACCTTTTGAACGTTTTTGTCATAAAGCGAAATCGACTGTTGCGATGACCGATAATGTAAGTAAAGTATACCGATACTGAACAGAGCCGATAGAAGAAAGATACAATCGAACCAACGATGATAGAAATTGAATTGCAAATCACCAAGAACTTGAGAAATAATTTGTCTAAAGAAAATTTTAAAATAAAACACAAAATTTCTTTATTTCTCTACATACCGATATTGTGCTGGCATATTCATTCGAATAAGTAGAATGCAAGATATAAAATACATGCCCTGGAAATAAAAGATTTTATCCTAGTAAAATTATTTCTTTTAGCTTATAAGTTTACCATCAATTGAGCGAGACACAGAACGATGACATTTGACGAACGACTACTCGATATAACATAGAAGAACTATATATAGAAAACTAAATAATTTTCCTGAAAATGATTCTATTTATCAAACCTTTGTTAATGTTATTAATAGACCACGAATGCTCGTCACAACAATAATGCCAATCAATGTAAATGAGACATATTGAGACCAAAATTGTACATCAAATTGCATATTGAAATAATGCACTGTTAATTCAATACCTCTTGTCACCGGATCAACTAGGAAGAAAAATAAATCATGATTCGTAAGAAATTTTCTTTTTTAATTGGTCTTACCTTTTCCGACTCGATTAAAAACAATATTGATGAATGAGATAAAGATTTTCCATACACAATATAATGAGAAAAAATGTCCCAATACATGAAAATATTTTCCTTGAAATGTTTTTGAATATTCAATGCGTTGTTGTATAGCTTGTAAATCAACAAGATCAGTATATAATTGTGAAGATATTTCTTCATAGGTAACTATATCTTGTTTTATCGTTGACAAATTATAGGACAGATTATTAGTTGATGGAGACATAAAACTAGAATTTAATGTTCGCCGAAGAAAATTCCACTTATTATTCATTGAACTAAATGATGAATTAAATGTTGTTTTCAATGAATTTTCATGTTCTATATAAGCAACACGTTTCTTTTTCGTTGCAACGATTTCCATCACTTGTTTTAAACGTTTTTGAGCATCACTTATATCTTTGTCAGTAACAGGCTAAAAACGAAAATTTACGATTCACATTAGCATTTCCGTATAAAGTTAAACTGAGATCACATGAGAATAGTCTAATATTAGATGTAGTTCCATGCAATTAGTTCGTACATGACATTAAATGGTCATTATCTATGTGACAGTTGTATTTCAACTTATTGTTGACTATGACTCGACATATGCCAGACAAGTTGCTATCGTATTCTGACTGAAAGAAATCGTCTGATTCTTATTCATAACATGTCTATCTCTCATTATAGGGCTCGCTTTTTTATTTATTTGTATAAGTTAAAGTTGATGATTTTTTCTCTTACGTGAACTTCAATCAGTGAGCACTTCATATCAGTAAAACAGAGAATATTGAAGTATTTCTCAATTATCGATAATCATTGAGATGAGAGTGTCTCATTCATACATGTCAAACTACAAAAGAGGTGAAGTGACGATTTCCGTTGCTTTGTATAAAGAATGTTCGATGTTAAAGTACTTTTCTTTTTGAATCATCGTGGGAATTCTTTTATGAGTAATGCGTAAACTTATCAAAAGATTTCAAATACTGATAAGATAAAGTGGAGAAACATAAAAATATGGATTAAAAGATAATTTCTTTTTTTTTATTAGACCACCGATGTTTGCATTTTGCTAAACATAATGAGTTATACTAATGAAAACATTCACCCTTGGAGAGTGATGATCCTCACGATAAAAGAAACAACGTCTAATCTCGATTGTTGAATGATGCTCATAAAAGATAAATTACATAATAGAACTAATCTCTTAGCATAAAAAATTTCAAAAGAATGATTTACTATTGTTAGAATCATAAATACAAAGGCTTTTTCTTCTATTTACCTTAATAAAATAAGCCATATATGTATATGGACAATTGACAGCTAAATGGAAAATTTTTTAGAGATTTTGTTTTTCAAAGCTATTTTCCATACCTCCAAAACCACTTAGTATAGCCATAGCTGTAACGCCAATGATTCCTACTCGACTTATGCATTGTTCGATACTAAAGAATTCGTGTCGATTCGATATCGGAAATGGATTGCCCAATTTCCAAAATATATACAAATAAAAGCACCATGCGATTAATGTGAAACATAATACAAGACGAAAATCTCGCACTAGAAAAACAGAGCACAATATCAATCATTTCATTAATCCTTAATTAACAATAAATTTACCAATTTTAATCGTATTCAATAAGAGATATGCAATATAAAATGGAATAAAGAAGACTAGTAAGAAAAGCATACAATAGAGACCGATGCGCCAATGAAGATACCGTGATCTAAAGTGTAGATACATAACTTTTTGGGTTAAAGAATCTAAGAAAAATACATACGCTGGTTGTAGAAAAGCTAGTATTTCGAAAATAATTAATTCAAACATTGTGCAACTTAATGCAAATGTTAGTGCAAACGAAAGAGTTACTATTCGATTTCGTACATCATAATTTCGATATAACTGACGAAAGAAGAAAAGCCAACCAGCAGCAAAAAAGGCGATCTAAAATAAAAATCTTTCAATATATTCATCAGTAAAAATAAACGATTACTTACTTGAGAAATAGCCACCACAATCGTATCGGTCAAAAGAGACATTGTTATCTGTATGAACAATAGATCAATCCATATAATTACAAATAAGTTATATTAAGAATTGAAGTATGAAAGTATTAATTGAGATAACTGAAAATTAAAATATAAGCATATTAAATCTCAGCAATTATTTAAACATGGATCAAAAGAATAGAGCGTGGTTAAAAGAAAATAAATTGTAGCAGCAGGGGGCATATAGAGCCACGTGAACGAATGTAAATGAAAGAATCGCTATGATTCGGATGTTCGAACGAACGAATCAGATTTCATACAAAGGCCTCATTCATTTCGCGTCGTCATATTTCTAAATTTCTAATCAACTTTCAGAACTGATTTTTAAATAAAACGAAAATATGCTTTGCATGTCCATATTTCAAGTCAATTTGTAGATGGCGCTAGATATAATCCCAATAGATTCTGCAAAACTATATAACTAAATGGCATGTATCGAAATCGTATCTAATTTCAGACAAATAGGCAAAGTGAAATTAACAAATCACATATGGTTTGTTCCATGAAAATGTCTGCTAGATAAGATCAAATGCATTTTTATAAATGCTGTTCTGCTACTTGAAATTTCACAATGAAAACTATCAAATATACAAAACTATTACTTGCTCATCTCAATGGCCCTTGAAATTTGACTCGTCATTATTAAAGCTTTATGAAAACCTATCAGCAAATTGATGAGAAAGAAAAAGTCATCTAAAACTACTTGAAAATAGATTAATCACATCATATAGGAGAATATTATTCACGTAAAATAACATATCAGTATTGCACTTCCCAATCAACACTAAACACTCTATCGTTTCGATGAACATTCAAGGCTACAATAAGCATTATTATTATGTTTATTTCTCTAGCATTTATTCATAAAAGGATTATTCATTAAACATTACCGGGGAAAAAAGAATTCCATTGTTACATTTTCTAATTCATTACGATGCAATATCAGTATCCATTCGATAAATAAGTTAAACTAATAATCTGACATTTCATTGATTTCTATTACATTTTTCAGTATATATTTACATAATATACGTTTCTATAAACCATTTAACGCTTTTATTCAATTATACAATGATGTGTTAATTGTTTTATATAAGCAGAAAAAAAGGATGCTCTTCATGAAACTTTACGCTACATTAAGAACTTCGGCGCATTATGTTCTCTTTTTTGTGTCCTTCTTTGAACGACTTTTAATAACACTTAAATTTGTTATTCCATAAATATTTTATAATTATATTAGAAATGACTTTTTTTGTGCTTTAAACAAAGATATAATGCTATGACCCATATATTTTTTCAAATGATCTAGCTGTAGCTTGACATTGAATAGTGTAATCGTATTCGATTCACTAATTACATTTGAACATTCTGAAACATTGACACTCGTTGATGGATACTGAAAATTGACTAATCTCGCATTCATACTAGAATAAGTTAAATAAATCGGTTTAAATAAAATACACACAGATGTCTTTTAAAACATCGGCACGTAAATCAACAATCTGTGACATTCGACAAAATCAAAAAGAGTATAATCAGGTACAGTTTTACAATAGTAATAGCCAAAACGAGATGACCTTTAGCTCTAAATGATCCTTTCGTAAGAGTCCACTTTATATGTAAGTATCGTTAAGAGAGACAATATGTTTCATGTTAGCCCATCAGATATATATACACACAAACGTCTCTTTTGTTATTTATCACTCGAGAAAGAATATATCTGTATAGCTATATATATATATATATATATGCACGTACACAAATGTCAATCGGTGTTTATAAAATGCAGAAAGCAATCTTCTATTCTACCCCATATACAGCAATGAAGTTTGTCCGACTGTTTCTTATATAAAACAAACAAGTATTGGATGGTATCGTTTTCTTTCTCATTATATTATATAGTAAAGAATAGTGATAAAAGTGATGATGATGAATCGACTATCTATACTAATGAGCTGACCAAAAGATACTTAACAGACTTCCTGTTCATTGTCTCTCACCTGTCAAATAGAAAGGGAAACAAGCAGAAAAGATCAATCTTATGCACTGGTAAAAAAGCCAATGCTGCTGTAGTATTTTACACGTCCGGAAATTTTGTCTATCATTTTTTTTCTTGCATTTATTATCATCAAATATTTGTTAGTGTGACACATATATGCATACGTAGTTACCCTTCACAAAAATGCAGTCATGTTATAAATCCCACTGGATTCCTAATCGAACCATTGATGGTTCTCTGTGAAGGTTCAATCAATTTCCTTCTTTATCATACTAGTTGAACAAGTACGGACACGAGAGAACGAATCGCCAAATGAGCAGCTAGAGAAAATAAAAAGAAGAAAAAAAGAAATTGATTTAGTCATTGTCTTCATCGTAAGCATGTCAGATCTCATTTATCATATTTTCTGACCAACTACTTGTATTGCCTAGTCCCTAGTGAGCTTATTTTATATTAGTGTCCACACCTTTCTTTTTATTCTTGATGCAAACAATACAATTATTAAGTCTTCTTTCTATCTCTCTAGGCGCCTATTTGGCAAATGTAACAAAAAAAAGAGAGGAAAAAGAAGAGACGAAAAGTGACATTGCCTACTAAATAAAAAGAGAAAACGGCGTTGACAAGATTTCCGAGTGTGAGTTCTTCATAAAATATCATATCCTCTCTCTCTCAAAAAATCGATACATCATGACGACATGGCGGTTATTTCACTTACTTTCTTATTGAGTCTGGCATACTCTCGGGGCATTGATATTTTCAATGATATCAGTTTATATTCACATGTGTATCCGTACTCAACGATGCATTTTAATCTTATGCGTATTCTGTTTTCTTTTATCTGCCAGCTCAAGAGAGACAGGAAAAAAGTGAGATGATCAGAGACATTCCGAACTCGATGTATTGAGAAATCAATATGCAAACAAAACAGTGTCCACAATTTCAGTAATAATAGCTACTTCTGCTTCTGCTTCTGCTACTTTTTCCTTTTCTTCTTCATCATTTTTTCACTTTCTTTCATGTGCTCACATAGAAAAGTCGGTATTCTCTTGTTTTTTTTGTGTGTCGTGCTGTCTTTCTATTTAATATGAAAAGAGGATTGGCAGAAAGATAAAGGCAGAATGACGGAGAGAGGGAGAGAGAAGCAAAGTGTTCAAATTACTATTACTATTACTTATCGATACTATGCAAAGTGTTTGCAGGAGAGCAGGTGAAGAAGAGAATCATTTCTCTAATACATTAGCATGTCTATATCTCCCATACGATGAGAATACGTGACCAAAAGATTCTCTCATTTTGTTTCTAACTCTTTTCTTATTTTCTATCCAGTCATCCATCTATCTATCTATCTGTCTGTCTGTCTATCTTTCTGTAACTCATCAAATACGAGAGAGCAAGAAAGACAAGAGAAGGAGGGGCATCAGTGTTCGTTGAGTTGACACAAATGTGGTGCTACATCCGGCATTATTCACTCTATAAGTAACACGCACATATGCGTATATACCACCTGTCACTAAGCGAACAAATTACACGGACAAGAAAAAAAGCGTCACATCGTCAGTTTGTCATAAGCACACAACTCATATTATCTTGAGTGACTTCTTCTTTTCTTTTCTTTTCTTTTACATTATCTTTGTCTACTTTACTAACTAATTACACCGTAGAGAATATAGTTCGATCGTAGAGGTCTCTCAAATTATTTCTATCATTTTTTGGTAATTTTGTCCACACTGATTCTCAATGACATCATAGAGATGTGTAAGTCGCTTTTCTTCCATCGGTATACATACAGATTCATAAAAGTCTTTCAAACACAAGATTTTATTACAAACTTTAATTATAGTAGATAAATGAATGATTGAGCATGCTTACCCGCAAGGTACATTCATACACTATCTTCATAACCGTGAGATGAGCAAATTGGTGAACCTATTCTTCTCTTTTTATTAAAAACTGGTGCTTGTTAAAAGTATTTTAAAATGCAGAATTCACTTTTTTTTTCTTTTTTAAGGCGATTGTCTGAATGAATGAAGCAATCGTTCGCACGATCATATGTTATTTTAGCTCTCATTCTCAATCTGATATCGTTCATATTGAGTTTGATTGCATATCATCTACCAAATTGGAAATATGTTCAATTGCGTCCAACATTTACGCCAATAATATTATCAGATAATACTCCAATGGATCCATTAATACGTGGCGAAGTTGATAAATATGTTGATACACTTTATCATCGAGGTAAATTTTATTTTTAAATTAAAAAAAGACAAGACAAGACAAGACAAGCAATTAAATAATCTTTATTCTAGGTGAAACTCATTCATTTGGCTTGTTAATTCATTGTATTACTGGTGATGAATGTGGAAAAAATTATTTACCTTCGTTTGAAGAAACAAATTATGGTTTATGTCATAACATAAATTATCATCGTCAATGTATATTTTCCAATAGATTATTAGCAACTAGTGAAAATAACTATGATAATAAATGTGCATGTCAACAACCGTTTTACGCTAAAATCATACATAAATTATTAATTATTTTAATTATTCTTGAACTTCTATTTATCTTTGTTAATACTCTTCGTTTGTGTCGTCGTCATTGTACAAAACATTGTCTAAATGATATTCAACTTCGTCTTATATCGCTTTTATCATCAATATTTTCATTATTATTTCTCATTATAATTATAATACAGTATAATAGCAATCGCCTTACTGAACCATTGGAATTCTTTGAATCAATGCGTCGTCATTATTCTCGTATACAGATCTATACGTTTTCAAAAGATCTAGAAATAATTATTCAACAATTTGAAAATGCTTTAGACTTTCGTATGGGCGCATCCTATGTATCGATAATGATCATATTATTCTTAACATTCATATCATTTTTAACATCGATAACAGTTGAAATAAAAATTTCCACAACGAAATCATCATCATTGACACTCAACGAGGACGAAGAAAAGAAAAATGATTTTATTCAAAATCATGAAAATCAGATATCATTACCGACGGAACGTTTTATACCATCGGGACGTTTGGAACCATCGGACCATTTCCTACCACTAAAACGTTTTGTACCATCGGACGAAATTCGATTTAAACGACAAACAAAAGTTTAGAAGAAAACTTTTTTAATTTTTTTTTCTTCTTTTTGGTATTATTTGTCATGATGTTTTGATTAGAATAGGCGAAAAAAATGGGGAACACTAAGAAGAGAAATCTGTTGTCATATACTTGATGATTGTTAATCAGAAAATATTTGTTAAGGGAACAAGAACAGCATAGATTTTTGTACTTGATTAATCTCTTCATTGATTTAGTTATGATGGAAAAATCAAACTAAATAATAAAATTATTTCCTCAAATCATTCAGAACAATTCTCGATACATCATCTAATATGTTAAAACAATATACTTACGTACATAAATATAATTTGTAGTCAAGAAAAATAGATATTTTGATTGCTATAAGTATCCATAGACGATTGTTCTTTGACGTCTATCTACGTCAAGTAACATGTTATGAAATTGCCAATAGAATATTTCCATTTTTTTTTCTGGCATAGCCAATTGTTATTCGTTCATGTTTTCATAATTTGAGATGAAGAATAAGTTTGCTTGTAACCACATGTAAAATTCATGACAACGAAAGTTTATAATAGCAAGAAAAATTCGAATTTAATGTAATTCTTAGAGAAATATTGTTCAACGAAGACAATCTGTCTGCTTTTTAACTTGAGCGAAGTGTGGTACCATGGATCATAGTTGGTACTGTTGTCATTGGAACAATTGGATTTTTCCATCGTACTCGCTACAGTCGCCGTGCCAACGGAGCAAATCTCTTTGTAAGCATCGTATGCGCCTCCTCTTGTCCACAGAGTATCATGAATGGACATCCGAATATCACTACATATTTCAAATGAGTAAAATAACGAATTCAAATATTTGCTGCCCATGGTTGAACTCGACTATTTGAAGAATAACTACCAAATATTAGTAAAATACACAATGGAACGTAAATACTCATATGCAGACAAGCGATGAACATGAACTGACTAATCATTCGCCAGTTACGCCTCCACAAACTGAGTCGATGGGTACGCAGTTGTCGTTAATGTACTATCATACCATGTCCAAGTACGACAAAACGTCGAATTTGAGAAAGCAACATGATTCTGAATGAGAAAATACAAACGAAATGGTAGATCAGTCCACGTCTATAAAAAAAACAAGAAAAGAATCCATTTTGTTAGAGAGAACGCCATTTACGTAGACACATCTACGAACAGTAGATAACTTACAAGAGTGAAATTTATAATCAATAGACAAATAATTAGGCAATTGATTGATTTTTTCGTAAATGCGGTAAACGAATAAAATTGTAGAATAGAAGCATGAAACAGATCAATGATGGCATGACAAGACTTGTAGGAAGATAAAATATAATATTTGAAGTTCCATCGGCAGTTTTGTCGATAGAAGTATCGGATTCATTCGATCTATTTCTATTTAGAGATGATGGACGTTTTTGTGTACTCAAAAAAAGTAAGTACACTCTAGATTCGGTCAGTATGTCCGTCCGGTCGTTAACACGATAACCTTTGAAAGCCTCATCCAATTGTCATGAAATTTTGTACACATAATGACCTGATTAATATCTCAGTCGAGTTCGAAGATGAGAAGGGTCCGTCAAGAAATGGCTGAGTTATCGAAAAAATTGTCATTATTGACCAGGCCATCTCTGAGGAGAGTGCAGGAATTTTTTCTTAGAATTATTCACAACATATATAAATCGACTCAGTTTTTGCAGTACGCATAACAATCGGATGCGAATCCGATGTTTCCTCATTTTTTAGTATTACCAATAAGATCGAGATTCGTTGTTTGAGACATAATATAGTCAAAAAAATGAGGACTTTTGTCGGATAACACGAGTAGAATGAAGTTTTCAAAATAATGTTGTCTTACAGTAAGTATTTGAAACTGACTAATAATATGCATGTTTTTGATTGAAATTGAATTTGCACTTTTTTTCTCCTATTGATATCTTGAAGATCATAATCACATACTTATTCTGACAAGTAAATTAGTTGAAGCATTAAGAAACTTCGTGAGAAAAAAAATTAAAAACTAGTGTAAAGAACATGAATAGGTAATTAGAAAAATCCTCTCACGACATAGTCAATAGAGGAAGTTGACTCTTCATCTACTCGTGCTAAAATTCTCTTTTAGCACGAGTAGATGAAACAGTATTTACTTGTGATGAAAGTTTGATGAATGCGTGAGCTTGCTTTCCAGTTCTTGAGAACTTTAATTATTTTTATTATGAATGAAAAAAAGACAATATCAGCGGATCCATTCATCGTAATTTGATTTGATGAAAAAGAGTAGGAAAAGAAATATTTATCAAAAAAGCAGCTAACAAATTTTTGTTTTAACGGTTTGAATTCTCATTCTATAAGAATCAAACTTTTCATCAATAGAAATCTTCTAGAAACTTCATTTGATTCACCGCAAAAAGGCCGAAAGAGAAGACATCGAAAATTTTACAATGACATCTTGTCTATTTACCAAGTTTAAATAAAATGCTCATTAAATAATTTGTTGTACATCACGATTATCTTGAGGCGTTGATAAATTTGTATAAATATTTATTAGTTGATGTAGTTTTGTTCAATTTGAAAATATATTCAACTGGCACAAGTGAACGTTTTTCTTTTTCTAATCGGACAAAGGCGTAATTCTCATCAAATCACGAATGTAGTGCTATTTTCAATTTTAACAGTATCAAACTCACAAAATTATCGCTTTTGTTAATATTGTTCTTTTTCGGCCAACTTTTTCTTTAAAAAAGCAACGGTTAGGAAGATAAAACAAACTTTCTCAAGGGCTAATTCCTTAACCAACTGCATAGAAGGAAAAAATCGGAAGTCACACGATGGCCTGCTCACATTTGAGTATTTAAAAATAAAAAATGCTACAAAAATTAAAATCTGTTTTGCCATTTGACTCCTGTTTTTATGCTTCGTAATTTGGCAACTTATTTGTAGCAGCATATTCAATTTCCTCTTTAGGCTAAGTGTCTTTTTTCACGGGACCATCTTCTTGAATTGCTCGTCGTGTCAATCAAACATGCGAAGAAATTGTCTATGAAAATCTGCTAATAATTGCTACTTGACTCTGGTATAAAAATAAATTCGACATTACATTATGACAATATTTAATGTAGTCCTCTGTCTACTAAAACGTGCGATGGTGCAGTTTAATTTAGACTCGTGTATTTTCTGTATTGTGAAGAATATTATGTACGAAACTCCATAGGATGTATAACTGTTGTGCAAAGTATTTCTATGAGCGTTCCTTTGTTTTTCAAGAATCAAGCAGGTTATTCAAGGTATTAAAGTCGATGCTGAAGTCCGATGTCTATTGAAATTATTGGATTGATTTGAAACAAAAGGGCATTTTGTTTTTCCACCAAGAATAGCTCTCTCTCTCTGTCTATTGTATTTTTAAGGAGTTTCGTTGATGAGTAACGCTTTGTCTACTTTTCATTGAAATTTTGTACATATTAGTCGATTACCAATTTTAATGAGGCGGAAAACGTACGTTCTTTTTGTTTGCATATTACAACAGAAAGAATTTTGCAATTGAAAACCGTGTGCACATGAAACATCTGTAAAACTTATTATTAAGTTGAAATTAGTAAGTCCATTTTGAACGCTGTTAATCTATTGTGCATTTCATCAATGGTATTCTTACTGTGACCTTTGAAAAAGAAGAGTTTGTTTAGAATAATCAGATTACGATAGGATAAAACAATAGTGACTTCTCTATTTAAATATATCGTCCCAAATATTCCAAAAAATACGATGACATCGAAATGAATTAAGTAAAACTTAATTAAAAAAAATTATTTTGTAAAAATTATGAACTCTACAAAAATAAAATAGTGAACTACGTAATAGAAAAGTGGTTTAAACGACAAGAGACAAGTACATTTTTCAAAAAGGTTGATAGAATTTCTTCAATCTACAGAACTAAAAATAACAAATAATTTTCCAAGTGCAGCTTCAGTTTTTTAACAACTATACGGAGGATGTTGATCGAGACATTCACCATGAAGGACTCTCAAGTGCACGATGAAGTGTTTCTTTAATCGATGGTTCTTTCCAAGATACTCGACTAAATAAATAGAAGAATACAACCTAACTTAGCTTTTTCGTCTTGCTGCAATCTTACTTTCACTGTAATTTTAACAGTGAAATTGTTTCAGCTGGAATCTTCTAACGGAACTAATTCATCTAATAGAAAATCAAATCATAAAAATAAGAAACTTAACTATCGAAAGATTCGTTCCATAAGTAAGCGACAAGGATTGCCAACTGACCTAAGATTGGATTTTTTCCTTTCAACATTTCAGATACAACGGGTAATGCAATAGTCTCTGAACAAATGAAACATTAAGAGTTAGATTTAGTGTTTCCAAATAGTTACTGACGTTCGACATATAATGCAGCTTAATGAACGAATACATTTTCGACAGCCAGCGCCCTATTAAGAAAACAATTTAGTTGTTTTTCCCCTGATAGAAGACAACTGATATTTTACTAAGAAAATAAAATGTATAGCAAGATCGCTGATTAAAAGTAATTGTTAATGCCTTTGCAGCGTTCTACAAAACTCGATTGAAATTCAATTGTTTCTCATATTTGATGTATTGAGCATCGTCTTCAAAAATTTATTGTATTTCTAAGCTGGATTTTGTTTTACATAAAAATAATTAACTGATATTCTTAACTCTATCAGTAAAAATCGGTAGGATTGTTCCATGATTATTAGGATTCAAACGAAAATTTGAATCATTAGTCTTTGAACATTGGTGTCGGAAAAAAACCACCTGGACTGGAGAAAATTGAAAATTGCGAATGATGTCCGATTGTGTCGGTGCTCGGTGTAGAAGATAAAATGATATTTAGATTAGGTTCTTTTCACAAAAGAAAACCACGATACGAGCTTGCTATGATATTTAAACAATATGCTTTGGCGTCTTTCCTAGAGTCCGTAGTTCATAAGAGGATTTTATTAGTCGAGCCACTTTCTCTTAATCCTTCTTACTATTTAAACAGCTAAGGATAATTTTCATTAAAATTAGTCTAAAAATATCGATGTAATTTTTCATGATATTAGTAAATTCTTCATTCAAGAGCATCTATCATTCTTTGAATTTGAACAAAATCCATCAATCGATAGAATCTATTTGCATACAAGAAGAACTCACAAATTGTTTTTCATTTTTTGTTCTATATCTTGTTCATAATCAATCCTTTCTTTAGTGTTTTTTTTCTTCCAAATTCTTATAAAATTTCAATGATATGTAAATAATATGACGTAGAAATCTTTTTGTTTACATAAAAAGAAATCTGAACATACTCATGCTCTCAACGCATCACATATATCAACTAGAAATATTTCCAAAAATCAATATTTAAATGTGATATATAATACACAACTTTATAATTTTCATCGGTCATCGTTACTATCTGATGAATTCATACTGATTAACAGTCATTTGCAAGCATTCGCAAGCTTAATTATTTGTATTATAAGTTTTACGGGCACCATATTGCGTATAAAAATCTTAATTCAACATTATGTTCGTAAGAAATCATTTCCAAGTCATATTTTTAAACAAACACTATTTGATAGGTGTCATTTAATTAATATTCTGTTTACGCATAGTACCATTATTGTTGTTTACGTTGGAACATAAAAAAAACATAGATATTTATTGTCCACTTTCAGCAGTTTTCTTCTCGTTGGCGTCATTTGGATTTATTATTCTGCTTTGTTTGAAAGCGTATCATCGGTACATGTACTTCTTCAAAAAACAACCTCAACGTAGACGTATGGACCATCGTCTGTTAGCACATAAAATTATTTTAGTAACATCAATAAGTTGGCTAATTTTAAATGCTTCCAAAATTAGCCTTAATTGAACTTTCTATCTAGTGTTATTTCTAAAATAACTCTTGCTTATTGTTACGTGAATTGTGTGTGCTTTCTACTTTCTCAAAAACACAATATTGATTATTTCTGCACCGTATTACTTTTTTTATTCCTTAAGTTTCCTTAAATAATTGATCCAAGGCATTTTACTCAGATCCAAGATGATAGATCTTACAGAAAATTTAAAGGAACTCTCTTTAACTATGGATATTAGATGAACAAAAGTGTCGCCTTTGCTTTTGTCATATCTCATCATTCTTCAGCCAACACTCATGTCAAAGGAAACAAGAGAAAAGATATTTTTTTTACAATATAATTTCTACATGAGATGTTTCCAATGAATTTTTAATTATCAGGTGTAAATTTGAGCGGAAGATTGATTTGAGATCTCATCGTTTAGGATTCACTTGAATTCGGATTAATCATGTTGATCTATTTTGTAAGTGATAGCCGTGCTAAAAAAATCGCTCCTATCATTGTTACCTCTTAATTAGATGTTTTTCAAGAAAATTAATTTGAAGGAATAACTTCAGGAAAAATAGTACAAAAATAACTTCCAGAATATATTATAGTCAGCAGTCTGCATTCCTTTGTGTTTTTTTTAACATGAAAATGTCATACCTTTTTCTTATTTCGACGGGAAAACACTCCACCCAACAAGTATTCACCTTTATACTTTTAAAATAGATCTTAGTACTGCGTTAACGCATGATAGAAAGGAATAGCTGTGATGAAAATATACTAATTATGGTATTGATCGAAGCATGACGATCTATTGCAACAAGAATAAAATGCATTTCAGTAAGTACCATACTATAAGGAAAGAAATGTTTCTCAATCTTGCTCAATTACATAAAATAATTACACTCATAAACTCGAATTTTGAGACATCCTTATCGTAATCGTTTTCAGATGATTATCGTCAAATATACACGTGTGTATTGAAATCGAATATACATGATAAACATTTTTATACACAATTATAATATTTATCTCTTCGGGCAACATATCCATTTAAAATATTTCTCAAGTGGAGCAGCAGTAAATTACATTATATATAGACTTGTGTGTGTGTGATGCACTCTGTATAGACAAGCAGCCTAGTCTAGGCTGTACTCAGCGACATCTCTATGACAGTGCAAGTATTTGTGATTACGCTTGCAATGCAAGAAAAGCATATATCAAGTTGTTGTTGCTGTTGATGATAAAAATGTATCAACATTTGCATCATTATTTGCTTGTACTAAATAGAATAGTTTTCTTGATAAAGGTCATAACACACTAACTAAAGGTGCATTCCGTTCATTTTATAATTATGTTTGCATGTTTTAAGATTATTTACAGCTATTACACTAACCATGTCAAGCAATGAAATTCCACTAGCACAATCATTTGTATTGCCATGTGGACTTAAACTATCTAATAGAATAGTGAAAGCATCAATGGAAGAAATGTTAGGCAATAGTGATAATCAACCTAATGAATATATCTATCGTCTCTATCAGCGTTGGGCAAACGTATCATTTGGTCTTCTTTTAACTGGTAACGTTCAAGTTGATGATCGTTATCCAGGCATAATGACAGACATGATGATTCCCAGTAAGGATAAAATCGATATTGAAAAATGGAAAAAATATGCAGATATTTGTCAAAGTCATGGTACACCAACTATTGTTCAAATTAATCATGCAGGACGTCAATCACTTTCAGGGAAAAGGCCGTTACTAGAACGTGCTATTGCTCCTAGTCCAGTTTCATTATCTTTTGGTAATAATCCTTTTGTTCGAACTCTACAACGATTAGCACTTGGTACACCAAAAGAAATGACACGAGCTCAAATCGATGAAACTATTGAAAAGTTTGTAGAAGCAGCAGAACTTATGTTTAAAGCAGGTTTTGCTGGCGTCGAACTTCACGGCAGTCATGGTTATTTAATTAGTAGTTTTTTGTCTCCGAAAACAAATCGACGACAGGATGAATATGGAGCGACACCAAAAGATAGAATAAGATTTTTATTACGCATCATTGATGCTATCCGAGCAGTCGTCCCTTCAACATTTGCCGTTGGTGTTAAACTCAATTCAGCTGATTATAGTACCGGTGGATTAACAGAAGACGAAGCATACGATCAAATTCGATGGATTGATGATCATGGTGGAATTGATTTTATCGAAATTTCTGGTGGAACATACGAAGCTCCTGCTATGGCTGGATCTGAAGATGATAGACGATCGGAACGAACCAAAAAACGAGAAGCTTACTTTATTGAATTTGCTGCAAAAGTTCGTAACACAACAAAAATTCCTTTAATAGTTACTGGTGGATTTCGAACTCGCGAAGGTATGAATGATGCTATAGTTTCAAATGCGTGTGATTTCGTTGGTATCGCTCGACCTGTTTGCATTCAATTTAATTTGCCACAAATTTTACTCGATCCAACTATTCCGGATAAAGATGCACGAGCATTACAATATGACATTCGAGGAAGTTCTATATTTAGCTTAATACCTATACCGGGCAGTCGTTCAAGTTGTGGAATAGTCTGGTATAATTGGCAAATGCAGCGAGTTGCTATTGAAAATCGAGAACCCGATCCAACACTTAGTATTCATGGAAAATTATTAACTGTTCTTTTTAAAAAAACAAAAAAAATCATTCCATTCTTCGTTCTACTCTGTGCTCTTTGGTATGCATCGTTGCTGAAAGAATTCATCTTGAACTTCAGGATGAATAAATAATTAATTAATTGATAGTTCAACGGTAATTTTCATCTTTAAACATATAAAATAACTATACTTAGTAATCTTTACATCACGTGTTGACAATATGTTATTATTTATTTTATGTGCTCTACTAGTTTGATTTTTTAATAAAAAAACCAGTGATCTATGCTGATATAATTCTGTACGTTTCCTATCAACTTGTCACATGAGATCAGTTTTCGGAAAAGGAAAGAATCGCTCATAGAATAAATTAAATTTGTTTCACAATTTAATATACGTAGTTAAGAATGACACAAAACAGACAAATAGAGTTTAACACAGAAAAACGAAAACACTTAATTGTTTTTCAAATCAGGTGCAATGCATGTTTGCTCCATTTGTGACCAAACATCATTTGGTGTACATGCAATTATATTCATTTTTCCTTCGCTATCACAAAAGATAAATTTATGTTTATCTAATGGATATTCATGATAGACAAAATTAGCTGCAAGATTTTCCAATGTACATGGATTTGAACTTGCTGTTGAATCTAAAACAGTAAAGATTTATTTATATTTGTTGAACATAAAACTTAATTATTCACCAATTGTTGTTGTTGTTGTCAATAGAATATCCTCTGTTGTTGTTGTTGATTTGAAATCATTTGAAATTGTTTCAATAAATGTATTTTCAGTAGCGACATATTGTGATAAATTAGCTAATATATTTAATAAACGATATTGATGACCCAATATTGATACTGTCGATGATTCTTCTTCGTTTGTATTTGTTGATGCATTTGTAAAATAAGTTTGCTCTTCATCATTTGCTTGATTAGTTGTCGTATTAGCAACCATCAATTCCATAGTTATTTCTGGTTCTGTTGATGTTACTTCATCAATATGAACCATTGCTGATGGTACCGACACCAATGTGCTAGTTGAATAATTTTGATTAGTTTGATTGTGATTACTTTTTTCTATCATTGTTGTTAATGAAAGAAGTTCAGTACTCATTATCATTTCATTTGCATGCTCGAATGCTTTAGTTGTTACATCGATTGGTTCTTTGCTCATATTGATTGTAGTTTCTTCAGCTTTGGCGGCGGTGGTGATTGTCGTCGTCGTCGTCGTCGTCGTCGTCGTTGTTGCTTCAGTAGTAGAAGTCGTTGTCATTAGTTCAATAGTAGAAGTCGCTGTCGTCGTAATTATTGGTTCGTATTTAATTCGTGGCGACACTTCTATAGATTAAAAAAAAACTCATTCATGGAACAGTTGATAATTATACTATTTCTATTCTTGCGCTACCAATTTTCTTGCATTGAATCCAGTTGACATACGCATTGCAAACTCCAATACCAGGCCGGTAAGTTCCACCAATAACGCGATTTATACCAAAATAAATATCATTATCTGGTTGAACACCGGGATAACAAAGCGAATCAAAACTGCACATAGAAAAAGTATTATTTATGTAATTATGTTGATTTTGATCTTACCAATTACATGTTACATTTTGTTTAGAAAGTGAATATAAATAAGGACTGCGAAGAATTCGATGGTATGTGCGATGATTTGTTAATTCAATACGTTCATTACTAAAATTGAATTGTTATTTTAACAAATAAACGAGAATATCTGTTTAATCAAACCTAACAAGAATTGTAATTCTATCATGTGGTTCGATAACATTATAATCTATATTTAACAGAAGTGTATCATCACAAATTTTCGTATTCGCCCAAACCTTAAAATAAAAACGAACAACACAATATTATTACTATTCTATTGATAATACTAACATAGAATCGATTATCATTTGAATGGATTTCAGCTGAATTTGAAGTTGTACCGCCATCCCCACCGTAGCCATTATTCGTTGGTGAATCACCAATATTAAATGTAAAACCGTGAACTTGAGAACCCATATTTAAATCAAAACGAGCTATACGTCGTGGTCCTTCAGGATCAAACGTCAAACGAATAACGCCTATTTAATATACGTAAGATAGAATTATGGAATTTAAAAACAAATTTACTAACCTTGTGCAGCACATTCGCGTATATCAGCATTTGGATCAAGATAAGTTAAATGGCTAATCCAAGTAATATTTTCAAAATCTTGTTGTTCAAACCTTTTATTATCGACATCAATATTCAAGGCAGCTTCTAAATTAGAAAAAAAAAATATTTATTTATTTAAAAGTAAGACGTTTTATTTTTTGAATATTTATTCATACGTTGATTAGTATAACATTCTATAAATGTTATATTAGCTAAACAGAGACCGATACCGGTCTGTGTTCCACTGACGTTACGATTAAGACCAATAGCGAGATGTGTAGCAGAAGAATATTGATCAAATAGAAAAGGATTGGTGTCATTAAAAAAAACTGTTAATCTTGATTGATTTCGTTGTTTATTTTCAATATAAATCCATTCGTTAGATATAAATATTGATAGATCGTCGCCTGGTCCAAGTAATGTCACGGATTGTTCAAAAAAATCGATTTTATTCTCATTAGTTGAATGATACTCAACCGATACTTGTTGATTGAATATATTAACAGTTCTTATCGTTTTATTATCTTCATCATTAAATCCTTTAGAATCGAAAGCAAAATAATTTTGTCGTTACACATGAAAGTAAAGAAAACAAATAATAGTACAATACCAATATCAATACTAAAATTATGTAAAACAGGACCAAAACTAAGATCAAATTTTATAATACCATGTTTACCAATTGTATCCAGAGGAATTTGTAGTAAAGCTAAATTAAAAAATCGCATGCAAAGAAATAATATCACTAGCTGTATAATTATATAGCTATGACCTTATTTCTATTAGAACAAAATTCGATATTGTCTGTTATCTCTTGCTCTCTCGTTTTTCTTTTTCATCCTCCCCCTCAATCTTTTGTAGTGAGCAGTGAACCAAGTGAATAAAGGAAATTACTAGTTTAACATCTGGAAAAATAGTTTCAGGGGTAAAAAAAACGTTATTCTGTGATATAAACATAATCAAAATAAAAAGTAAATGTTAAACTAGACATGATTATTTATCTACCTGGTTGTCGACATCGGCCACTACCAATCTGTTGAAATTTTATTTCAACACGTTCATTTTCTCGATAGATTCGTGCTTGACTCAAATCCAATTCAACATGAGCTTCAGATGGCGTACAAACATCAGCACATATTGAATTTGTTCCTAGATATAATAGAGATTATTATAAGAAAGAAAAATTCTATATATTTATTTAATATACCATGTAAAGGATTATCCGGTTTTGTCGCATCGTTTATATTGAAAAATAAAACAGCCAAGACATAGTAGTATACCAAATTGATCATGATTTCTGATTTAGTGTGGGCGAGAAACGAGCTTGGTATATAAGGTCAATGTGAATGATTCGTCCTTCTCGACCGTTATCTCTTATTTTTCTTTTCTCTTTCTGTGTTTGCCCATCACTTCCACAATTACTCGGCATTGATTGACCACACGCGAGGTCAAACACAGTCGCTGTTTTTTTGTTTTTGCTATTTCTAGTCTTATTGATGTTTTTTATCACTTTCTTATTGGTTATCTTTATGCATATAGCAGTCTCTCGTCATACTGAAAAGATCAATCAATTATACGTTGGCTTGTGAATCCTCTAGACACTCAAACACGCAGTGTCAATGTTTATATGAAAATATTTGAGTTACACAAAGCAATTGAGTACCAAAATGTTGATGAAGTATCTGTGTAAATCTATCCATAAATGATACATTTAATTATCGGTTGGCTGTAACTTGCTATGCCGAAAAATTAGAAATAAGCAAAAAAAAATCTCGCGTGCTAGTTCAATAATTAGGGCTGACGGAGAAACTTCATACTCCACCTCTTGTCTTTGAACTGCCTTAGATAGATTGACGTTCGTATAACATAATCTTGGTTTCCTGTTATTCCAAATCAAAGAGTAAAACAAATACAATTATGTTGTTATTTTTCCAGTAAATAATTGTATTGATTTCTTTTTCTTTACATAAATTCAAATACTTATGTATGTAGATATGTTGCCCTGCAACAGTTCTCTTTCTCTCTGCGTACGGATTAAGCTGTCGCAATTGAGCTTCCGCTTCCGGCCACCCATCTAAAAGCGTGAACGATGTAGAGAGACTGTAACTTCAAAGTTAGCACCATTGAATCACATTATTGGCCTTCCAAGTCTCTCTTTTTCTTTTTGTCGTTTCAAATTAATCGGATCAATGTTAATTAACGGTGTTTCACAGTCAAAATCTTCTTGTATTCTGTTCTTTCGAGTTACAATTGATGCGAATCATGATGAGCGTTTTCTTTTTTTGTACTTGTCACTCGGGTTTTTTTTCCCATCATCTAATCGATACATTGTCTACTGTCTTATTCTGTCTTCGATTCGCATAAGTAGCGTCAATTTCATAGACACGGTTATATGTAGATATATAAATATATGTAACAATGAAGAGTAGATGGATAGTAATGCTGGTGCCGTCAACAACGATGAATCCCTTCGCTTGTTATTTTCTTTTCGTCTAGTGCAGAAAAAGAAGTCAAAATAGAGAGAGAAAAAACGAGAAAAATATGCAAACTTTTTCTCTTCTCTTTTTCGTCAGAGTTTTTCTCAGTCTTCCTCTCCATATCTCTCTATGTCTCTTTCTACTCTTTTATTGTACGATTCTTGATGAAATCGTCTCTTATCATTCTCAGTTTTATTTATCATTGTAGACACAAACGCGCAAGAAGATTCTTTTTTGTAGTAAATCTTTTCTTGATTCGAGTATTGACAGTTAACGGCAACAATTTCATGCGAACAACCGACGTCATTTACAATAAACTAAGACACTATTAATTCTGCTGTTAGATTTACTTGATTTTCAATTTCATTACACTTCAGGCAACAATATAATGAGAATGAACATAATAACAATGCCCGTAAGTATTTAACGATGAAGTTTATATCATTTTTACAGCATCAATTTCAAATAAATGTGTAATTAAATCCGACAATATCTAAGATTGATACTATTTTAAATATCTTGTTGCTCCGAGAATTCCCGTTCGGCGTGTGGTAATAATTTCTATAGAACAGTATTTTCAATTAAGAAATCCATTCATTTTTTTTTAATTACCTAATTTGAAACATATGCTTTCACGTGCTACTGTAATATGTTTAGTGTCAAAATATCGCTTATATAAGTTCGCTATCATTATTTTCGAATAAATAGATCGTTGGTTCATTGATTTGGCATAGGCCTCCGTCAAGTAATACTATTATTGAAGATTCAATGAACCATAGAAATCAAGAGAGTGAGGACTAGACTTGAAGTAAAGGTATGAGTATATTGCAAAATGACCATTTTTCTATTTTCTATGATACAGGCTCATTTGTTTTCATAAACCATTGGGTTCATTATTTGATCTAATCGAATAGTATCTATTAATGTGGTGTTGTTGATGATGACGACGAGGAAATGTTTTAGAATTGAGAAAAGTATAGAGGAAAAGAAACTTAGCTTGCGTTTCAACACTCGTTGTTCACACCCCAGAGGCACTTAGCTGCATGTATACGCTCAATCATTGTTGACTGAGATATTACATGGAGTGAAAAGCGAAGAAAAAAAGACGGGAGAAAAGAAGCAAGTAGTCTATTGAAAATAAGAAAAAGAAGGTCTGATTTCCGATGAGCACACGGCTTTTCATAGCTTTTTTATTGATCAGTAATACGACAATGGAAATGAATCTAAATAATGGCAATTGAGAACATGTGTTCTTCATGCATTTTTCTTAACTGAATAACTATGATTGAATTTCCAATTCATGTATAAATGACTATAACAGCTTTTCTTCTTTCTTTTATTGATTTACTTTTGTTGATTCAACTTGCATGATTTGTATTCAGTAGCTAGACTCATTATTAAAAGAAGTGCATTCTTTTAATGATAGATCCGGCCAAGCAAAATGATATCTCACTGATCCATAATTACATCAATAAAACTTTGTTATCTAGTTTCTATTAGGCACGGAAGCACATATTTTGTAATAGATTACAAGTTTCAACTAATCAAGTTCCAAACATGAAAGAAAGAAAAAAATATAATACTTGTTGTAGAAGCAATACTTCCTCATGTCTATCACAGATTTGTGTAAAACTGATTGGCGCTATCAAGTATCTCTTAACTCTCTGGAGAATAAATTTATATATATATATATATAGACAAAAGATAAAAATATTCTAGCAATTAATAACAGACATAGCCGAAAAGACAAAAATGTGTCTCTTGTCTTTTTTACTTCTTTCTTTTATAATTAATAATAAATTGAATTTCCAGTCGACCATGTATTTTATTATGTTGCATCAAAATAGGAAATATTCAACGATTTAAGGAGGCGTACTTCTGCAAAACTTAGGAAAATAGAAAAATAATTTGACTGACATCTTCAGAAAATTAAAATAAATAAATTTGAAACTACATAATAACTCATATGAATATTGATGAGCTGAGAGAAAAAAAGAAGTCGATGAAAAACTGCGAACCTCTTCATATTCTCTAAATGACAGATAACAAAATGAAGATATTTAATTAATAGTCAAGTGATATTTATTAGTCTTCTAAGATAATATATTCTATCTCGTAATTCTTTTAATTTACTTTCTTTTCTTTCTTTTTCTTTTATGCCCATTTATCGAAACTACAGTACTTTTTTTTTTCTCTCAGTCCTAGAAAGACAAACAAATCAATAATAGATGCACGGATGAATAAATAATATTTACTGTTAATGCTAAGAATACATTGTCATTCTATCTAATTCAAGAAATAATCAAAATTCCTCTCACAGAACTATACATTTTCATGTCATCAATAAAAGCGTTATAGCGGTGCATAAATCTATTCAACAAAAGTTCTTTGTCTAGTTAATTACAAAGAAAATGAGTACGAAATATCAAATGGTTTGTCTTACTGCTCTCTCGCGATTATCCTAATCTTTTGTTTTTATTCTATTTGAAGAGGATCTGTATTTTGACCCAATTTGTATTTTTCTTCTTCTTTTAATTACATGCTTTCTTTTTGCTTTAATTTTTAATCAACTTCTTTCATCTTCTTGCATGTAATCGGTGAATTTATAAGGAGTGTCTGCTATACAGATGGAATATAGGCGAACAAGGTAGAAAAAAAATAAGAATTATATTTATTTGTTATTGAAATAATGAGAACATAAGGCAATCAACTGAAAGACTAAAAGTATATAGATTTGCTTTTGAGCAATGAATTTTTTAGAAGTATATTCAATCCCAAGCGATAGAATCGTCTTTAATTATAAACAGAGAAATGTTTCATGTTGTAGAAATCATAGATTGCTATCAGTCAATGCATGTTGATTTTCATGTGCTTATCACAAAAAGTAACTCGTATAAAAAACTAATTGTCTCCGAGCAATTCATCTCATGTATATCTTCGCAGATCAATTCATGTTCGATTCCCAGAAGGTACATACGCATCATATATAAATGTATCGATAACAAATATATATATATATATATATATTATCAAGTAAGGAGCGTATTATACAAATGGTTGATCTCAAACGTTCGGTAATAAATTCACGTTGTTTTATTTAATGAGACTTATAATTGTTGGTTAATAGCACTTGTAAAATTCAATGATTTTTATTTTTTGAGCACCTCTCTGTGTCGTTTGTGGTCTATTCATAGTACTCCTTTTTCCTTTCTTTGTTCTTCATTTTCTTTCTCGTTAACGCTCTAGAATACAAAAAAACACAACAGGACATATAACACACTAATTCCTATGGGAAGTCTCCGCTAGAACAGTTGTGCCGTTAGTCGTTCATTTTTTTTCATAAGATGCACACACACATCTATATATATATATATATATATATATATGCTGAAATTATTAGTCAACACTAGTCAAGAAAAAACGAAAGAATGAAAAAGTACAATAAGAAGAGAGAAGAAAAAAAGTCAAGTCCTGAAGTTTTTTTCCGTTTTGATTCTCATCATTACTTTTCATAATTATTATTGGAATGACTTCGATCTTTATCTTTCTGCAAATAATTTAAATATAAATGAAAGTGTAACATAATAACTTATCAGGATTATCTTGTCGACATGGGTTTTTAACAAATAAGAAAAGAACGATTGTGTAAGTATCGTCAATTATTAAATGAGAAACACAATTCTTACTGAATCTTTCTAACGAGCAAACAAAGCAACATTAATTTGCTTCTTGAGAGTTGTGTCAAGTGCATTCAATGGTTCTACAGCTAGCTCTTGCTATAAGTTCTTCGTAACATTCTTACGTACATATTGAGTATACAGTCTGGCAAGAACAAGTAAAAACAACGTTTGTCTCTATTTTTATACTCTCTTTCTCTTTAGATCTTTTTGGCACTATAATCTCAGGTTCATATATATATATATATATGTGTGCGTCTCATTGAAGAACTAATAAGATTTGCAGATACAGAAAATCTAATTCCTATGTAAATACACTTTTCTGTTTTGTTTAATAGACTTCTTTTTTTCCTCTTACTAAATTTTTATAGACTTGAAATAGTAGTTTTTGATGAGCGTAGGAGAATTCCTAACTATTTCCGTTCTGAGAATTGATGTAACACTAATCAAACCAGAAGGGACTTGATAGGAACATGAAGACAAGAAAGAATTGAGCGAACTTCATATCTCTCATCATTTAGATTTATTTCTTTTATTCGATAAGTGAGAAATAATGATTAGGATGATGAAAAAAGAAGAAGAAGAAGAAGAAAATGCTTTCATCGGTAGATTCTTTTATTTTTGTTATTACTTATTTCTTAGATGAATATGTTTCTTCTCGTACGAATGATCATAGAGAATTGATTCTATTTGCACAAGGTAGTTTTAATTAAATCAGGAATAAATATTATAAGGAAAGAAACAAGCAAAAAAAGAAAAAAGAGAATGCTATAGACATGCAATGTCAGGTATTAGATGAATCGCTTTGTTTTTCTTGTCTCCCTAAAAAAGATATTATCGCGCTAGTTATCTGTTTTATTTATAATGTATATCTATTCTTGCGATAATCAAAATGTTGATTGATTGATATTATCCAAGAAAATAAAGAAGAAATCTGGATTCTCTAGTTGATTTACACCGGCGCCAGAGCATTTTGCTTTATGTATCATGACTGTTATTATTATTGTTTTTGTTGCTGTAGCTTTTCAGTTGCTTGCTTGTCAACATTGATTTAAGAATAGAAAAAGGTAATAGAAAGAAGATTATGTCAGAAAGAAATGCTCACAAATGTCACACGCATCTTTTCTCATTTCCGAGACTTTCTACTACACCTTATCCATGTAAACATTCAAAAAATTTAATGAGTAACATGGTGTAAACTCGATGAATTTTGTGATATAGCGATATAAATATATATATATAGAGAGAGAGAGAAAGCGAAAGAATGAGGAAGAAAGTAGTTTCTATTATTATTGCTTTTGAAAAAAAGCCACTCGTCTGCTGCGTTTAGAGAGCGCCGATAGTATTATGAAGCACATAACTAGGAAGGTTTATGTACTTAAATTTATAGTAGCCATATTCTTTTCTATTCTCGAAATAGAAATAAAGTTCTTTGCTTCTTTTATAGAAACGATCAAATATAAATCTTAATCGTACTTATTGACTCCCCTTCTTCGTTTAGGTTACACGGCAAGACTACAAGCCGCTTTCAACTTTCGGCTTCTATGCTTATCAGTATACTTGCCGTCCGTTTTGTTTTGTTGTTCATCATGTCTATGTTCAAGGAAGATGTGCTCTGGCTCGAGCCACTCTTCTTCGATAGTAATTTCACTATGATTGAAGCAAAATTTGGCTATCAAATGACGTCCTCGTCATCAAATTTTTCCTCGTCCACAATCTCTATTTTAACCGCAACAGCAACATCAGTTGCAGGTAAACTCTCCAATCAAAATCGTGCTTTTGTCCTGAAATGGCTTGTTCGAATCGTTGGCGGTTTGTTAATAGTCATCGGTGGCATTGGCAATACTCTATCCGCTTTAACACTTAGTCGAAAAAAATTACGAGCTCAAGTTACATCAATTTATCTCATCGCATTAGCATTATCTGATCTAGGTTAGTCAATACTTTAGTTTTTTCTACATATGATTTTAATAGTTCTAATGTTTTAGGTAATGTTTTCTTTAGCGTATTAAATTTCTATCTTGTTCGATTGGATCCTCATCAAAATATGCGTTTATATAGCAATCTATCTTGTAAAGTCCATATATTTTTCACTTACTATTTTATTAACTTATCTCCAACATTACTTGTCGCTGTCAGTGTTCAACGTTATCTTGCCATAGCTAAACATCATTATTCAAAAAGGCATTGCACTGTCAAAAATGCGTACATGCTTATTGGTCTAATCTGTTTATTTTCCGTTATTATTCAATTACATTGGGGTATTTTCTATGAACTTAAATTAGTACCTGAAAACTCGACGACAAATTTAGTCAATCATACAATAAACTTTAGATCTATATGCAATGTATCAAATGAATATCCAAATTATTTCTGGTTTCGTTCAAATATGCTTGGCTATCTTCAATGGTTTTTCTTTACATTATGTCCGTTTGTAATAATGTTAATACTTAATTCATTGATACTTAAAGTGATTGCATCGGCCCGTCGTATTCAACAACGTATCAATCAAAAGAATCAACGTAAAAAGGCTAAGCAGCGTAATATGACAATTATGCTTTTATCTGTCTCATGCGTGTTTATTTTATTAACCGCACCAGCATCTACATTTATGGCATTTGGACATCTATTTAATAATTTACATGGTCCTAATTCGCAATCCTTATGGATTATGTTTTCACTCATTTATTATGCAAATACGGCTGCAAATTTTCTGCTCTATTTTTTAACAGCTGACGTTTTTCGACAAGAACTACGTGTGATGATTCTATCATTACCGGGGTGTTCGAAATTTTTACCAGCTTGTTCAAAATTCTTTCCAGAATGCTGTCGAAACGATGGAGAAAATGCAGTTGCTGTTGCTACCGCTGCTGTCGGCAACAATGCTGGAGCGGGTGGAACAGGACTACTTGCAACGACGATGGCAGTGAAAACTCAACTGACTATTTCTCCTTTACTTGAACCAACGACTTCTTTTAATAATGAGAACTCATATAGAACTCTACAAAAATAATTACTGAAAAAATTTAATGAAAATAATCTATCAGCAGTAAATTTTTCTCATCAATCGTCCAAATAAGCCTATAAGTCATAAATCTTTTACATGCTGATAGGTCATCATCATTAAAAAGAAAGTTCATTTCAACGTTTTCTATTCTATTTTAATTCAAATTTATCTTTATATATTCTTTTTTTTTCTTCCTTCTTCTTGTTTTCTGGTTACTTAGGATAACTTTTACTGAAAAATCTATCTATGCATAATTATATATATATATATATATATATATATATATATATATTGATTTATGTACTATTCTGTTGATTGTTAATTTGAAACGTGTTTTTTCTTTTTGTTTACTAACAATTTAAATTTTTGGCAAAAGAAAATTTATCAAAAGCAAATTACGTTGAGTTTTATTAAAGAAAAGATTGTCAACATAGAGAAAATTTTATACTAATATATTATTGCTCAATAATAGACTTCTAATAGCCATCGAGAATTCCAAATGGCAATTTCGATGCTAAATTATATATTCTTCCTCTGCCTATATTCGAATTGAAATGATTAGCATGTAAGGTTGTTGAGTTAATTAAATTTTTGTTTTTTCTTTTTTGTCAAAAATGACCTTGTGAACTAATTGATGTCAGTCATTCGAAGACAAATATGAAAGATGTATCGTGATATGACATTCTAAGAGCAGTTGTTGATGTAATAAGCGTATCTTTTTTATAGAAAATATATTGAATCAAATCTACTGCTATACATTATTGTGATGTGCATGGAAAACGTATTTCTATTTTAAGGATTTTATTTCCGTTTTCGTTCTCATAAATTTTTATGCCATATCATATTTTTCCAAATCGTTCGTTTTTTTAATTTTTCCATCACGACAACACAAGTCGTACTTTATTAATATTATACTCGAGAAAGTGCTCCTATTTCCTTAATGATATTGATTCTTACAATGCTCTAATAACATTTTCTAATTGCTTTTCACTTCGCAGGATGAATACGTCTTATCTAGTGAACGTTCATTATGAAAAGAAAGTGTTATTTTTAGTTTTCATAATTGAGTCTATGGAAGTCAAAGTTTATATATATATTTTTTTTTATCAGTTTGGAGACACCCTTGCTTAGTTTCATTTTGATTATATAAGTGCTTTAAGGAAAGAATCATTATTATTTAAATATGAGCGCGCGACACCGTTTATTCTATATATATATATATATAATTAAGTATTTTGTTTTTAAATAGTTTTCAGTCTTTTTTCTCAATAACATACAAATAAAAATCTTTTCAACAAGTCTATTTTATTTTTTGTCGAATAGGTGGTAAGTAGAATTTGATTGCTGTTGATGTTGTCGGTTGTATGTCAAGAGTTGATGGTGGTGCTGCTCGTAATCGTTCGATATTGTTTGAGAGAACTTTAAAATATCGAATATTTGACCCTCGGGATCTAAAATAGAAAAATGAAAACAAATAAATAAAAACAAAATTTCAATAAAATCAATTTCAATGTCATTTTAAAAAATAGGAGAAGAGAATAAAAATAAAAAGCAAATAAAGTAAAAATATGTATGCAAATGCCGAGTAGTGAAAAGCTTCAGGAGCATGAACACACACACAAACACAAACACAAACACAAACGTAAACACATGCTCTCGCGCTCTCAAAAGCCATCGTGGCGAGCAGCACGAGATTGTGCCCTGAGCAGTAATTGGGTGCGACTAACGACGGATTCTGTGAATGCCACTGTAGTAGAAGTGCTGTACGCTGACCGTAATTTCGGTAATTTGAGAACATTATATCGATTCCAATCTTCGAGCAGATGCTTTGATATACGAGGCTGCTTGCCAGGTAGACAATTATACACTTGGAGAAAAGCCATTATATCAGGTTCGCCACGGCATCTTTATAGAAGAAAACAAAACTTAAAAACAAACAATAGAATTTTTTTCTTTCAATACCTGTGTAATAATTTTCGTTGTCCTTCAGGAACATATGATAAAAATCCAAGTGCCACTGAAGCAATACCAATTGTTGTGTCATGTGATGATGAAAATAAATCACATAAATAATCGATTGCATTCACTGAAATTAATGCTTGTGGCACACCTGAAAGAATCATCAATTGAAAGACAATATGCATGCAACTAGTGTGTAAACATGAGAATATATAAAGTCGAGGCTATGGTAAGAAGCTTTTCGGGATGCAAATGCATTAAAGATAGTATTAAGTGCAATGAAGAAGATAAGGAGAAGAGGATATAAATTTTGGAATAATGTTACCTGTAGCCTTATGTAGTTTCGAAGCTATAAATCAAATATTTATACATATGTATATATATATTTTTTTTGTAATTACATGAACATGCTTAGATTTATATATGTATATATAGACAATAATGCTGAAAGATAACTAGTATGAAAGCAAAATGTCACCTTTGCATTGTTTACCTGATTTCAAGTGTGCAAGTCGAGCTAAACATTCAGCAGCTTCTGATTTTGCTTCTTCCAATTGAGTTTTTCGAAGAATATCAATAAGAATTCCACAACCAATAGCCGTATTATCAGATTGTGTTCGTTCACGAATTAAACCAGACAAAACAACAAGCTAAATAATTTTGAAAATCGTTATATAATAGGAAAAAACAGAATTATACGAAATCGTAGTATACTTGAAATGCTGCTGCACATCGCATATGATCATTATTAGTTTGAAGAAAACTTTCAAAATAACCAAATGGAAGTTGATGATGTTGGCCAATATGTAATTGTACACGTGGATTGTTGTAGACAAATGTAGCTAATGCGTTCGTAGCTTTTAATTGTACCATTGGATTTTCCGAGTCCCTTAAACTAAAAAGGTGATCATAGGAAAATTCTAATGTATTTTCAATGATCAAGGCACATTGAGGATTTACTAAACGATAACAAGAAAATTATTTTGTTTTTTACTACATATATTAATCTTATATCCTTACTTAATCCAACGCAAGCTAAAGCTTGTGCAGCTTCCACTTGAACGATTTCACTTTTAGCATGAAACATTAATGCTACCATGATTGTAACACCGTCGAATTTAGCAATAGTCTCTTGATTCCGCCGATTTGAAACATAACCAGGTGCACATGCAAGTAATTGTAATGTTTTTAAAACACTTAAAACAAGTGTTTCATTATCGGATTTCAATAATCTTATCAAATATGGTATTCCTTGTGCACGGTTTATTTCTTCTTGTATATTCATTTTTATACTTGCTGTTCGTTTCGCTAATTCTCCAAGTGCATCAGTAATAGCCAATAGATGCTCATCAGATTTAATACTAAAAAAGCCAATTAATTTTTTTACACCGATACGCGTTGCAACTTCACGTTTACGTAATGAACTATTTCCACATAGCGTCCACAATGTGCAAACAATCGCTATTTGTAAACTTGATAGATTTGTTTTTTCTAATAAACTTAATAATTGTTCAAGAGCATTTTCACGCAGCATAAGACGTTGCACAAGAACATTTTTATCGCTCAATGCTTGTATGGCTTCAATCGCAACTTGTTGTAAATCTTTCGATGATGCTGATAGGGCACTCAGCAAATGTTCACAGGCACCAGTTTTGGCAAGTACATTTTGTATTTGCTCATTTTTAAGTACTAACTCACGTATAAAACGCACAGCAGACAATGATAAACGTAAATCAAATTCTTCCAAATAATGATTTATCAATAATGAAAGAAATTCTTGAGAATTAGCCAATTTCAATTGATATTCAGGTGAATATGAAACAATATTAGCTAAACAATCAAAATAGGAAGCAATGATCTGCGGTGAACGTTCTTTATTAACAAGTATCATTAATGCTTCGAGGAGACCTTGATCAACCATTGGCACGATTAACGACTTATTTTCACTTAGACATGCTAGTACACGACCTAGTAACGTAACAATTTGACTGTTGGCCGAACATGTATGTTTTAACATTGAACTAAATGCAGTTTTAATCGATATTAATTCATTTTTAACAGCTGGATATTCTACAGCACAATTCAATAGTAAAAGATATGCGCTTACGAGTACATCATCATTTTTCGATTCAGTAAATACATGAATTAATGTTGGCACAAGGCCATTTTCAACCATAGTTGGCCAATATGGACAGTGCCGATGACTATTCGGTTCTCGACGAGTTATTAGCTCAAGGGCGCGACCACATACTATACTTTCGTCGTCACTCAACGAAGCAAATAATTTAAATAAAGGCTTCCAAACATTATATGAATCATTTGGAAAAGGTAAATCAATAATATAGCGAAGCGTACGTTCATTTTGCGATAGAGCAGCTATGGCAGCGATACCTAATCAAGAAAGAAAAGAATAGCTACTTGATTTTGTCAATCAATATTTATGAAATGTCAATAATGAAAAGTTTTCTTTCTTTCTCCGTTCGAAAATAATAAACTTCAACGCCGTTTTATTAAACAATAAACTTTTGTTTTTAATGATCGTTTTGCAAGGATGAATTTTTATTCAAAACAATATGCTAAAAATATTTTAATATCTTTGAAAAATCTTAGTGTTTTGTCAAAACTGACCAATCGAAACAAATAATCATTGTTTTTTTTTTGTGTAAAACTTTCTAAATTAAATTAATTAGTTCTAGGTGAAAAAGTCGATTTCTTTCAAGAAGAAATGACTTGATGTTCGAATATTTTCAAACAATTTTCATTTTAGCAAAGCAAAAATATGAATGATGATTCTTTTTAATGGATTAACATAGGAGTATTATTGATAATAATTTATTATCAATATTCATCTTCTATCAAAACCAGTGTTCAATTCAAATCAATTTTAAAAGTAAAGAATCAAAAAGTTCTTTTTCTCGTGAGGCAAACTAGTATCTCGATCGGTTGTATATTTATTTACCGTTTCCATTTGCATCCACTGCATTTACATCAACTCGATATTTAAGTAGACATGCAACAATTTCCAATCGTCCAACAGCAACTGCTAGTAGTAATGGTGTAAGTTCGTTTTTTTCAGTTCGAGCTTCAAGCTGTTGTTGAAGATCAGCTCGTTGTAATGCATCGTCTAATATATTTCTTATCGTTGCTTCATGCCCATGAAAAGCTGCTCGATGTATTGGCAAATATCCATTATCATCATAGACTAATAAAGCATCAAGAGGATCTTCATTTTTTTTATCAGCACGTGAAGCTCCTGATGCTGCTCCACTATTATTTATAGGCCAAAAGAAAAAAAAATAGAACTCTATTGATAATTCTCAATAAAACAAAGCTAACCTATTTAATTTTGGCATTGCTTCGAGTTTGCTCACACTTCTTACTTGTTCAAAACAACGTTTGATCGAAGCATTTTAAATTTATTTTTTATTTCCTTTGCATGTTTCTCTACGTAAATTCTTACAACCCGCTAATGGATTTCACTTTTCGTATTGTTGCTATTGTTATTGTTGTTGAAGAAACGAAACGTTGTGTTCGCTCAAGTAGTTAAAAATAAAACGGAAAAGAAAAAAGAAACTAACGAACACGATTATAATTTCATTTATTTGACAGAATGTCTATATATCACCTACTATGACATCAGCAAATAAAAAAAAAAGTTTTTACTCTTTCTATTTAACCATTATGATTTTTATCGAATGAAAAAAAATAATTTTTTTCTTTTGGACAGAAGCCGTTTTTAGATAGTTGATTGTATTTTTCATTTAGATGAAACGAAAAATGTGTTAAGAACATATTCGATAGATTCTTCGCAATACAAGAATGCTACATCGATGCGAATAAATAAAAAATATTTCAACAAGAACAGAACAGTACTCGAAAATATTATTTTAATTTCGATAGCGAATTCTGTCTTGAGTAACAGAGAAAAAATAATCAGAAGACGACAAACATATATTTTTTTCCTTTTTCATAGACCGTGTTGTTAAGTCTTGTTTGTAAGTATAACTTTATTTTTAAAACAAACTTCTAAAAAAGAATCGCGACTGCACAGGTGCCTGTAACGTATCTAGAGAGAGTTCAAATTTTTATTAAACCAATCTATCTCTGGTTAATTCAATGATTTTCTATTTGCGAAAAATAAAATTTTGTAAAATCGTCAAAACACCTATGGGCACAGAAGAGGGGGCGGGCAACGATTTTACTACTATTCTACAATTTTCTTTTCCTACTTGATGTAGACGGAAATAATAAATGAATAGAAAAGAAGAATCAATATAAATTTCTGAAAAATATAGATTATAACGGATGTTTATAATTTTGTTTTCTCTCTGTTTTTAAATGTAGCTATGGAGAATGAATATAATAGTGAAGGTCGTCTACCTATTCATGAAGCTGCTTTTCGCAATTATGACAATGTTGTAGAACGAATTTTAACTAGTTTGGGCTCGAGAAGTAACTCTAAAATTTATGAAAATGAAGATAATAAAAGCGACGACGATAATGAACATCTCAGTCTTCTTCATCGAACACGTATCCAAGAAATGATTGAAGCAATAACATATGATTATTTTCGTTTAACACCCATATTGGCTGCAACTGTTGGTAATGCACCTCGTACGATTGAATGTCTAATAAGTCATGGAGCTAAGGTGACCTGTCGTGATGGTGACAACCGTTCTATGGCTGCAATAGCTATTTTCAAACAAAATATTGATTTATTTCTGTACTTTGCCACAGCATCATATGCAAATGAACTTGATTTATGGAATACATTGATGACTATCTTTACATCTAAAGTTATCGATGAGTCAGCAGCTGCCGGTCATTTACTTGAACAATTGACATCCTCCCAGAACGTCAGTTTTGTATGGCCATTTATCTCTAATTTACATGTTACTGAAAAAACTATACAAGTACTTATACAACACGTCAATAATAACAATAACAATAATAATAATAATCTTGCAAACGATTCATTATTAGCGAGTTGTTTAATTATTTTTTATAATCTTATGTATGTTGATCCGAATATCCGAGCGATATTCAGTCAAAATGAAGATGGCGCACGAGCACTTGTAAAAATGCGAAAAACAAATGAAGCTATTGTACTTATTTTTTCTTATATAGTATGTCATTTATGTGACAATATCCATTGTATTCAAGCATTGATCAATCAAAATCTTCTGGGTGATTTACAAACTCTATTAGATACGGACACGATGAATATTCCAAAAAATCAAGTATGTCTCTATTTTGATATTCTTGGTAAAATCGCTCGTTGTAAAAAAGAATTTCAAGAAATTATACAATATTCATCAGCAACCAAACGAACAATTCTCGATCAAGCTATTGATTTACTTGAACGATTCGATCGTGATTTAACAATATCAATACTTCATTTCATACGTGATTTATGTGCGGATAACGAACAACAACAACAAATATGTGCTGATAATAATTTATTGATTGCACATTTATTAAGTGCACTTAATTCAACATATAAAGATGTGCAACGTTCAAGTGTTGATACACTTCAAGTAAAATTATTCTTTTCGAAATTACGAAAATAAGAGAAACACATGCACTTTTTTAAATCTCGTGTTTAGATGATCATTATGCATAACACTGTTTCGCAATACACTATTTTACAACAAGGTGGTGCTGAACAACTTCTTACATTATTAACTAAAGCAACATTACCGAAACTACGTGTGTCTATCATATCTACACTTTGGTCATTGACAGGAGAAGAATCGAATCGACGACAATCGATGGCTCGTAAGATCATTTGATTGAAAAAATAGAAATTTTGTTTTTCTCTTTAAGATGCGATCGGAGTATCTACTTTGATAGAAGTATTAAATGTAAAAATGACTGATCAATTGTATATTGTTCTTGATGCTATCAGTGAACTTCTTCGACAGGTACCAACAGAAAAGGGAAATATTCCATTAAAATTTGGACGACGACATTGTATACCATCGATTGTTCGTATATTATCTATTGATTATGAGCGTAAATTACTGCTTAAATGTTTAATTTGTATTCAACAACTATGTCTTTTGCCTACATATCGGCCGTGTCGAATAAATCAAACGATATTTCAAAAAGCTAATGGATTTAATCAAATCTTAATATTAATTCGTCGAACAAATAAAGATAAACTACTTCAAGCTAAAGCAATAGCAACAATTGCTTGTACAATTTTCGGTATGTTTAAAATCTTCAATAGGTTGCATTGATGAAATCCTTGTTTTCTTTTCTTCTTCTTCTTTAAAGATCATAAAGAAAATAAAGAAATATTAACAAAATCAGTTATACAACAATTGTTTAAACGTATTTCACTTTTATTTAATTCGTCGGATGACGACGTTAAAACTGAAGCTGGCCTTGGGTACAGAAAAACATTGACTAAAAACTAAACAACATGAATTTTTTTGCTTTCCTTCAGATTGGTTACTTTTGTTTGTAGTGATGTTAATTATTACAACTATTGTGCAGAAAATATGACTTTACAACATGAATATTTTCGACGATTATTAATATCAAAGAATATTGCTGTTCGCTGTAATGCAGCTTTTCAAGTAATTACTGGCTATATATATATATACTTTGTTTTTGAATAATAGGATAATAATTATGGATTTTAGATGATTATTTTAATTCGTATTTTTTCTGAAGTAAATGCTACCGCATGGATAGCTGAAGCATTAATGACTTTATTTCGCGTTATCGGTGATCGACGTATTGATGATGAAGAAAAAATTTTGCCATCAGATATTATTGGAAGATTAGCACGTATACCATCAGGTAAGTAGACAATAGATTTGCAAAAATAAAACAGATGAATAATTTAATGAGTTGTTTTAGGTTTTGGAGTGCATAAACATTCAGGTTTGAGAAATTGATTATCATCATACATGATTAATATTATTGCATGAAAAATGTGTTATAACCAACTCTTGCATGTTGTTTTTCTATTCATTTCTTTAAAAAGTGAAGATTTCGATTTATTTTCATTTCACTCGAGTCAAAGTTTTCTTTTGGATTAAAAATAGGTGTTTGCGAAGCAATTATTACAAGTGATGGTCTCGAACGTATGATTGCACTATTAAATAGTTCCAACATTCTTCTGCATGGTCTTGCAACTGTAGCAATAGAACGTCTTGTTCATGATTCACCAGAAGGACAAAGAAGATTATTGAAACAGTATGTTTATCTTTGTTTTTCTAATGTAAAATTCTCGCTTTTTGCTTTGCTTTATTAGATGCCGTACTCACATACATTATCTCGATATTCTGAAAAAATTTGCTATTGGACCATCAATATTACGAACACGAGTTGAAGAATTATATGCGTTGATTCATCATGAGACAGTACATTTTCCGCCGATTCGTACATCATGAGAACATAGAGGTGTACTAACAAGCTAAATAAATAAACGAAATAAAAAAAAGCACGAGACATATTTTTATCGATTAAAATAATATACTTTAAAAATTCACATCGTGTGGGTGTTATCACATATTATGAAAAATAAAAGATTATTTTTACTTTCTTAAAATGAAAAATTTTAAAGTAAAAAAACATCTGCGATTTAAATCATCGTTTTGATGATGAATCTGACTGACGAATAATACTTGTCTGTGCAATCCTGGTATACTTGAAATGCGTAACTCGATTTAGCTGATATCCTTACTGCAAACTAGAGAATGATCGAAATACTATTCGTAGGCGGTGAGAGGAAGGGTTAGATTTGATTGAAATAATGAATAGAAAGCAAAACCTATGTGTCCTTACATAAGAAACATCAAACTATAAACATCAATCAATACCCTATCGTTGTTGTCGTCTAATGAGATTTTCAATGCAGACTGAATTTCTTTCTACTCATTATTTATACAAATTAAAAATACAAAGATATCTACGAACACAAGTAAAAGTTGTTTGTTACATTAAAATGAAATTTTCGTAATCGGTAAAATTCAAGTTCAATCACTTAGTGATAGAAACGTATGAAAAGTTTCTTTCTTTCATACAGATAAACTAAGTAAATACTATTCTTAAGAATGGTTATTGACGCCATCCAAGCAACTTTAACTGTCTAAACGTAATAGTTTTCTTCTGAAAAGACGCTAAAAACAATAGAAATATGTATTTACTTACAGATTCATTGAATTAAATCAAATAGAGCTTTGAAAGTGTAAGTCAAAAGCTATACATTTTTCTTTCTTTTTTTTTTTATACTAGTGTGACATTTATGTTTCATATTACTATCTAGGTTCTAAGTAACCATTTGTAAACAGTCTGCACAACGTCATCGTAGAAATTAATAACACACAATAAAATATCGAATCAGTTGTTTCGATTTGCTTTGCTAAAAGCAAGAGTGATGATTAAAAAAAACTAGGCAAGAAATCATATATGGTCTTCGAAAATCAAGGATTCGCTAATTGTTGAACTTCTGATGACGTTATTTCACGGGTATGCAGGTAGAACTCATCGAGAGCACCAGTAAAAGGACCTCCATAACCTGGAGAGCAGTTGGTTCCACCTCCATCACTACCCAAAAGCATATACATAGGAACTCCAGAGGCGGCATATATAAAACTTCCCGTAGATGAATATAGAGTACCATTGATATATAATCGCAGGCCATTACTGTAACTATACGTGTATCCAATATGTGTCCAGCTATTTAACGGAATTATAGAACCAGTAGCGGTAATATCGCGACCATTCCACAGATGTGCGCTTAACGTTCCAGCCGAGTCCATCACTATAAAGTGAACACACCAACCAATGTTTTGTAGCACATAAACCAGTGTCGATGCAGCATAGCTACCTGTCGGGTTTGCCCATAAAGATATACTGAAAGGTTGATTACTAATACCCAAAAAGTAAAATGGTGAATAAGTATAATATATATAGGAACTCGAACTAAATTGAACTGCTCCATTCAATCGACCTGTTGTACTAACTACACTTCCCGAAGCAGTTCCATTGATACCATTAATGCCATTATCAACAAGAGAACCACCATCAAATGAATAATAGACATACAGAGTAGCATCATTCAACAGCTCAGTAGCATTTTTAGCTCTCGATTCAAATCGAACTTGATCGATATAACCATTGAAACCTGCAGCGACACCTGAGCTGAATGTGGCACCAATGGTTGTGGCTCCGTATAAACCTTGATAAGGGCTCGCGGAACGTGAAGCATCAAGCACGCCATTGAGCCAGACTTGTTGTATTTGTGCGGTTGAATCGTAAACACAAGCGACGTGGCTCCAAGCATTCATGGTTAGTGTAGTAACACCTGCTATGTCATCGCCAAAGAAACCGCAGTATAACATTAGGTTTCGTGATGTGAAGTGTAAGCATTGATTGGTAATTGTAGCTTGACATTGACCAAATATTCCAAAATCACTTGCGGTAAAACCAGTCGGATAAATCCATGCTTCAATAGTGAAACTACGCGAATCTAAAGGAATGACTGTTGGTGAAATATAAACATATTGTGATGATGCTTGACTAAGACTAATGGCTGCTCCATATCCAAGAAAACTAGTTGTATATGATGGAGTACCAGAAAGCACGCCATTAAGGCCATTGTATAATTCAAGAGCGTTGTTATCAAGTGGCCAAAATGCTTGATCAATGAATGCAGCTGTTGTAGTAGACGTAGCTAAAATGAAATTTTACAAATGTTTTCAAATCAAAATATATTTCAAATGCAAATCAGATCGTAGAAATGTTGAGAACTATAGGTGAATGTGTTTGTTTTAATGAAAATCAAAAATAGTAATTTATAAACTAATCGAATTTATAATTAGATCAGTGAAACATAACATCCTAAATAGTTTATATCTGAAGATCTATATCCGTATATATTCCCAGTCTCAATCTTGTTCACTCCTTGAGACACCTTGGAAGGCTCTTTTATGATTCTGAATCACAAGGATCTTGTCAGGTTTCAGTCAGGATCCTGTTTCAAATCCTTGTAATTCCTGCTTCCAGGATTTTTCAAGATGAAACAAGAACCTGTTCAGAGTTTCTTCAAGTTCCTGGTCAGATATTTTTCTAAGTTGAGAATACAGGATCCTCTCAGGATCGAGATCAAATCTTCGTACCAGGATCCTGTTAGGAATGATAGCCACATCAGACGATGATCCTGCCAGGAAAAGAACAAGATCAGTCAAGATACGAAAGTAACTCATCCTGCAAAGCTTCAATCAGGATCTTTTCCAGAGCTTTACAAGAATCTGCGTTTTTAAACCTTGCAGGAAAATGCCAATCCTAATCAGGATCTTGCTAGGAAAATGTAAGGATTTAGCAAAGATCTTTAAAGATTGTTGCTTAATCCAGTCAGTCATATCCATTTCTTGAGACCACTTTGAAGACTCTTTCAGAATCATAAATCTCAGGATCCTGTCATGTTTGATTCAGGATTCAATCCTGGATTTGTTCAAGTCCTTGCTCAGATTTTTTCTAAACTGAGTTTATAGGATCCTGCTAAGATATACTATTAATCCTATTGAGAAACAATGACAAAATCATAAAGAAGATTTCGTCTAGTTTTGATTAGGATTGAGTCAAGATCCGTTATAGATCTTAATAAGAGGATCCTGCCAAGAGTTATAGCTGCATCAGAGTAAGAGCATACCAGGAATAAGTCCAGTTGTGTCCGAATCCTCAACTAAAAGGTTCTGCCACAATTCGACCAGGTTCCGGAGCGGAACTGTTCAAGAAGAAGCACTTCGAATGCTTGATTACAATAAAAGTATGACCAGGCTCCTGGTAAGAAAATAGACGACGCCAGCTAAGATCTTTCCAGATTTGTGTTCAGAGACTATTCAAAATTTAATTTTCAACATCCTGCCAGTTTTTAGGTAGGTTTAGGTCAGGATCGTTTCAAGATTGGTAAATCTATAGATCAGAAAAGAATTTCAATACGAGTACTGATAAACTTCTGAGCAAAAACAAATAGAAGAATTTTTCAAGATATAATCGTCTTGCTGTTCGGACCTCGATAAAACTCTGAGAACTGGATGAAATCTACTGGTATCTTTAGTCAGTAACAAATCTTTCGATCCGACGTGATAATAATTTTGATTATATTCCAAAAAGAGCTCAAAAAGGACTTTTAATCCATTGAAAGCAAACATAGTAAATTTTCATCGACTAAAATAAATATGTAAAATGGTATTACATTTTCAGAATGTTTTTGAAATAATTTGTATACGCATAGAACTCAATAGAAGTTTATATTAGAGGCAGAAGTTAAGATATTGAACGTTAAACTGATATAGAATGACATGGCACATCCAGCTGACAAGCTGGTCGGTATGTAAACTGAAGGTCTAAAGATCAATACTCTATGTGTTCACTTCTCTGATGTTCTATTTAGAAAATCCTGCGAAGGTCTTGTCAAGAAACTGATAGCATCCTGAATGAAACCTAGTCCAATCCTACAAAGGCCCTGTCAAGAAAATTGATAACATCTTTGAGACAACCTAGTCAAATCCTGAAAGATGTGATTAGAAATTTTTTTTCTAATTTTGAATTATTAAAATCCTTACAGGATTCTACCATTCCGTGGCTACACACTTCTTTCAGGGAGCCTTAATTTCCTGACTAAATATTTATTTAAAAACCCATGGTAAACTTGTCAGGATCCTAGAAAATCTTGTTTTGAATCCTGCCAGAATCTTGATCATATCCGTCAAGGATCTTGCGCTGAAGCATCAAAGATTCTTCCTAGGGATACTTCTAGTTCAGAAGTACCAAGTCTATCTCCAATGATCACGGTAATTCATAATTATTAAAACACTGTAACGAATCTAATTAATTTTACTTTTTAAGGCATAGTTTCAAAAACTTCTCTGATATTTAGAATAGGCAAGAGAATCTTACAAGCTGTAGAGGTTGTCGTTGTGACGCTTGTCGTCGTCGTCGTAGTTGTTGTTGTTGTAGTTGTCGTCGTTGTTGTTGTGGTCGTAGTTGATGTTGTTGTGGTTGTTGTTGTCGTCGTCGTGGTTGTTGTCGTAGTAGTTGTTGTCGTAGTAGTTGTTGTCGTAGTAGTTGTTGTCGTCGTCGTTGTTGTTGTTGTTGCCGTGGTGCTTGTGCTAGTCGTGGCCGATGTAGCTATATCAGAATACAAATATAATATTCAGACTGCTAAATACAGTTTAATGAATTCCTTCAGAGTTTTTCTAACTAGAAAATTCTTTCATTAAGTCATATGTTATTGGACGCGATAGTTGTGAACTTTCCAAGGGGGAAAAAGCGCGACTCCCGTACTCCAGCGGACTCCCTGTACTCCCAGACGATATGATAACTGTGCTTCAAAGACTTTTAGCAATTTTAAGTCTACTATCCACCTGTGTTGCGGTATAGTAGCGGGAGTCCAGCCAGCTCACATCTATTTTGCAATAAAGTCAAAATAGTTCGTTTTATTTCATCCATTTTAAACGTTGGAATACAATGAAGTATTTTGGCTATATTGCAAGATAGGCTTGGGCTGGCTGGACTCCCGCTATTATACCGTAACACAGGTGGATAGTAGACTTGAAATTGCTAAAAGTCTTTGAAGCACAGTTATCGTATCGTCTGGGAGTACAGGGAGTCCGCTGGAGTACGGGAGTCGCGCTTTTTCCCCCTTGGAACTTTCTCATCTAACAAGTACACACATGAAGAGGGGACCAGATTCCATTTATCCGGGATACGGTGACAATCCACCCAATCCAGAGGGTACGGTAGCGATCCACCCTATCCGTACGATACGCACGATACATCGTAGATATCGAGGATACGAGTTTGTTCCATCGGAAAATTTAAAATATATAGGATAGATGTAATACGAGTAAGATGAGTCAATGTTGGTGAGTAGGTTCATTCGATTTCAAAGAGTGTTTAATGTTTTTTTGTCATCTATTTCTACCATGAGCATATTTCTTCATAGAGTGAAATGAATTTAATGTAACAGAAATAGCAATTATATTTGCACAGTGCTAGCTAAATCTACTTGTTTAACGTTCATTCGATCTGTGCAAAATATTTGACCGAGTCAATAGGTATATAAGCCGTCCCACATCAATAAAGACTGAACTTGTTTTCAATCGAAATTGTTTGACTTTGCTCACTCTCATATATGTATACGAAAATATAATTCTAAGGCAGACGGTACAAAGCTTTTGAAAAAATATCGTTCCGTTGTTAAGTTGTTTAAATGTTTTGAGAACCTAATTGCGAAAATTTTACTTTTTTGTGATTATATCTACATGCATTTGGCAAAAGCAATACATTCATTCAACTCGAAATGTTTAACATACGGACATCTCAATTCTTATCCACTTTTCGTATACAAATAAGGTCAAATGAATGAAATATGAATCAATAGATCAGTATTGCCATGCATACAAGTAAATTGTCATATTTAGATGTTTTGTGGATACATACTGTATTTCTCTTAACAATCACATTAAACAGCTGAGATTCTATTCATAAAAATATCTTCTTGAATACTTTCTGCAGCAGAAATCTCGGCTCTCTAGATAGTTCCTATGATCTATGTGTGAAACTGTTCAAAAATAAAATCAGGATTTTATCGAAGACATGGTTCTGAAAGGCAGCAGATGTCTGGTCAATATAGTCTTGAAAAGAGCTTAAAATAGGATGAAATGATCCTGTCTTTTTCTATTCCGTTGGATGAGATGGATCAATTTTCGTATCCCGTCGGATTTCTTTCTTGTTCTATAAAAAAAAGCTTTGATTTTGTTTTCATCGAGATGTTTTCAGCAAATACTTTATAGAAGCGCTGATTAATAAAATTTATTATAACTTCATTGTTGGCCTTTCTTCTTCAAAACAGATATGTTCGTTGCTAACTACTTTCTATTTGTCATACGAAATTTTTTTAATTTCTATATGTTTTATAAGCGCTTATATTTTTAACACCTTACTACACAGTCATTAATTTTTATGAATAAGAGGCTGGGTTATAAGAACTCTCAGTTTAAATGAATGTTGACAGAAATATTTTATTTACCTTCGATTGAGAACGAAGTAATACGCGCATATCAGATACTAGTGGATTATACATAGATTCTAAAGCTATTGATCACAAAAGAATTCCCAAGGATATCTAAAGAGACCGACTAAAATACACTGTAGTATAGTAAAAAAAAGTCTAGTGGCTCCTAACATTGAAAAGCTAGCAAAAATCAGAAGAAACTAATAATTCATGATAAAAAGATGCACTGCAGAAGGAAGGCTGTTACGTTCTATTGTGTAGACGTATGAAAATAAAATCCCATGACAGCAATAGCAGATTAAAACTTCAACGGAATCGATAAAACTCATATTGTCATGATTTCGATGAATACATCTTGTATTTACGAGAGTTCGTTAAGATCCTAATACCTTATATTCGCACTTTGATTCTTTCCGAAATCAATATGATCCATATGATTAGAATAATATTTAGATATCCAATAAACCGATCTCAACGTGCACGAATAGAAGAAACTCAGATGATTAAACGAAAAGCAGAAATCGACTCTAGATTTAAAGCAAATATTTGCATTAGAAGAGTTCTCCCATGGAAAACATTTTCCCTCAAATTATGAGCGTTGCCTTTAAAATGCAAACCAAGCATTATAAAGTAATGCAAAAATTGGCCTAGTATCTTGAAGAATGATCCAGCGGACCTTATTGAAATATATTCGACAATAAATGATTTTCTGTAACAAAATATGCACCCGATCATTCAGACGTTCATAGAAAAGCTGCACCATGCGAGATAAATTTCATCTAATATAAATCAATACCTGAGATTCTGCCTAATTTCATGAACTTTTGAATATGATAAAAGAATCTGTCTGAGGATTTCTCGTACGCCTTGCGATCCTTATTCGAACAAGTTTTTATGAAATCTTCATAAATTTCGAAGAAGACTGTCAGAAAATTCTTTTGTTTTGCTCTTTAGAGGAGTTTTTAGGAGAACCTATAGAAGATTATATTCTGATTTCTACTGAATAGGCTCTATTTCACTTTATAAAAATGTTCTATTAATTTTGTGGAATTCACATATATTTTCGAAGAAAATGGTGGGTGTAAGTTTAGAAGGGAGATTTTTACGACTCCCCCGCCCCCTCCCCATTACAGACATTAATGAGCTTAAAATTGTGCTAATTAGGAGCATGAATAATTAAGCTGCTATTTCTTCCTTTTTTAATTACAGACTACACAAAAAAGCAATGCGTGCCCATTACAGACCATAGAAACTAGCCTCTGCCATTGTTAAATATACGAGCTAACAATTAATATTCCATTACAGACATAAGCAAATAGACAATGACCTAATTATAGGTTTTGGAAATCAAGATAGATTTTTCAGATCAACTATTTTCAATTATTTTAGTAAGCCTAAGAGATATATGTGAGTTCCACATTTTAGCCCCAAAGGGGCTGCGCTAGTAAGCTTTTCCAGTGAAATCTAGAATATTTTCAACGGAAAAAGGGTTGACTGTGAGTGCCTTCCAATGAGTCACCCAAATATATTCTAGGAGATCTCATGCTAACTCTTGCAGAACTTTACGGTGTTCATTATGCACTTCAAAAATCACACCAATGGAACTTCTATTGATACAGCATTTTGTGAAATCGGTCCCTGACAGTATCGTGTTTTCAAGTATTTACAGCATTAGATTTTCGTGACAGAAGGTGCTCAATGAAATTTTGCAGTCAATATATTAGCTTTCTAGCAAGATTTCTTCATGGAGTATCTATATTCGTATGGTATTGCAAAAATGATCATTTTACTATGCATCTCTTCGTATTGATGAAGTTATTTTTTACGATTATTATATGAAGTTAAGGCATGCAAACACTGAGCAGCTCAACCAAAACGGATCTGTTGTCGCTGGAATATGTCTGTTATAAAAAACCAAGCAAATCTGCTGTTTTGAGAATAGCGTTCTCAGCAATATTTGCGTACTTTGGGAACTAAGCAGTATGTTTGTCAACAATTTATATCAAAAGTCTTACAACTTTTATTTCCACTACATATGTCAACATCAGAAAACTGTAACAACTTTGATTGAAGACAAATTCAGTGATGTTGCATAAATATTGACTTATACAACGGTATAAATGAACTTCTAACTGTGATACTCAGTAGTTTTGACATCACCCTTTTTGCCCAAGAAAACAAAATTGGATTCGTGAATACGTCATATCACTTTCTGATCATTTCTATTTTCATGATATTCTCGTATCCGGGATACGATGGCGATCCATAGAATTCAGAAGATCCCGCGATCCGCTTTTCCCTCTTGACACACACATGTACTACAGTAAACGCAAGTGTATTCGAACTACTTGATAATATCTCGATGTACTTAAAATTGACTATTTCTTATAAGTAATCCTAGTTACGAGAACAATACTCGAAACGTTTCAATTCAAACAAAATACTTAATCCAAGATAATTTTTTGAAGAAATTTATTTCATCGTTGAGAACAAGTTGTTTAGTACTTGTCTTTTTTTTATAGGAAGTTTGAACCGAAAAAATGCGTCTCCGATATGTTTGAGTCGTCATGTATATGGGCTAAGTAACGTGTTTTAAATGATTCTAATTCGGTTTAAAAGTCATATGGGTGCAATTTATGTTAGTTTACCTGCGTTACTCATTTTAAAAGTTAGTATTCTGTAGTAATTTAATACAAATTAAAATAACAAATCCACTTCATACTTTTTGCTGATAGATCTTGTATGTAAGAGGTGGTGACAACTGCCAGGGCAATGCCAACTACTAGAGCTCCAATAAGAACACCAATAAAGAGTGCTTTATTCGCCAATATTGTACTGCAATGAGACAATCAATTCAATAAATTATGATAGAGTTTGAAGTAAACAGAACCATTGAATTCATTACCTTTTTACTTGACTTATCCAAATAGTTTTGGATGAAGTCTCACCACTATACTTAGCTGGATTCGAAGAGAATTCTAAATCCCACTGATTGATATTTGAGGATGGTTCTGACTTCCAAACACTGAGCTGTTTAGATGAGTTCATACTTTCAACATTGATTTTGGAGGATGATCCGGCAGCCCAAACACTATTTCCAGTATACATATCTTCGTCAACGATAGAAACGGAAAATTTAATTTGAGTTATTCTATAGTTTTTGACTGCTTGAAAGTCAATGAATCCTTGTAAACTCTTTGCAAAGATGTGAAAGAACAATGAGTTTTATAGCTTTCTTCTTTGTTTAATGAAAAAAAAACGCATAGCGATATGTATATTGTGAAAATAAACTATCGGTGCAAGCATCAGTATGATGTTTTTATTTTTTTCTCTTCTGAAAATGACAACACAGAATGCATGGCGCGATCATTGAAGAAAGAAGTAAATACATATATTCACAAAATCATTATTGATTACTATGGTCAGAGGCAGTTTGCTTTCAAATTCAAAGTACAACGAAGCAGTTCTACGTTTTCAAAGTTATTTTTAATCAATTTCTTCAACAGAAACCAGTATTGCTTTTCTCTACACAATGTCCAATTGTTTTTCTATGCCATTCTCTATTGCGTATTTTAATTTAAGCGGCTTACACAAAGAAACCATTGCTGGCACTCATTCGTTCTGTTGTGCTTTCCTGGGTTGCTTATTAATTTATAAGCATAAGTTTTGCATAGAACATCAATGTATAGCCCAGTTCTATGTTACAGAAACATTTGCCTCCATGACAAAATCCTTGGTAGTAATCGATTTATTCAGTTGAATGTAGTAGCGAAACACACTTATTGAAGCTATGCATCTGTTGTTACTAACACGATATCTTATATTTGCTCTTAGTAAGCTCTCATATCATGCTATCGGCGAAGAGAAATTGCAGTGTAGCCTTTAAGAATTTTGATATTCATTGCACTACGAATGGTAGTTTAATTTGGGATACATAATTTATAACAATTACACTGACTTGTTCTGAAACCTTGTACTTTATGAGAATGAGACAAACTGAAGCCGTAAAAATTCTTCTAACTATTCATTCTAGTTGTCAAAGGTACTATTTATATAACTGCTGAATAGTACATCGAGAAAAACAAATAATAATGCGAACGAACGAACGAACGTACACACCCAGGTCGAACATTCCGCCCACCGGATCCCGTAGACAGGGGCGTAAGTCAGATCTCAGAGCAGGGGGGGGCTGTAACTCTAATTTTTCTGTTTGCAGGGGCGTAAACTTTTTTCTTCTGTTTTGGTGAGCAAAAAATAAAGAACTTTTTAAAAGCAGGGGGTGTAAACCCCTTTTTTCCTAAAGATTTTCGGAAGCAGGGGGTGTTACGCCCCACTCGCCCCGCCCCCTCTGCTTACGCCGCTGATAGTAGTGTATGACAATCTGTAAACTCTGATATTGTGTGAATTTGGCCTGCGAAAGATGTCGTAAGTAACTGCGTATGCAAAGTTTACAAATACGATTCGTGACAACGAAAGTATGTTTCTGTCCAATAAAATCCTAGAAGAATATATAGCGCTTGTGTCTCTCAGTCGATCGAATAATCTCGATTGAAATATTCAAACGATATTCTAAATAACCATTATCTTTAGGTGAAAAACCAACTGAATAGAAATAAATGTTATTTCTTTTTACTTTCAGATGTCGTCAAGTCCCTTACCAAAATCGAAATACTCGCGTTGGGGACATCCACTTGTATTTATTGCGTCACTCATTGGCATTGCTGGTTCTAGTGCTGTCTATTATGCTCAAATTCGTGCTCGACAAAAAGCTCGAAGTGGATTGTTTTACTTCTCTATTAAATTTTTTTTCTAATTCCTTTTTGTTTTAAGATCTTTTTCTCGAGCAAACATTTTATACAGAAGCACTTGAATTGACTCGCGGTTACAAGCCGATAACCGAAAAACTTATCGAGCCTATCGAGCCGCTTCAAATTGATCCAACAAGTAAATTCAATACTTTAGCTCATCTTGGAGCACAAGTAAGTTTATCGGTGAATTTTTTTGTTTTATTTTTCTTATTTTATTATCAAATAAAAATATCTACAGAAAAAAATAAGACTCAATAAAACGTTCAAAGAACAGAGTCATTCGTACATTCTAGATAAAATATCTAGATCTCTTTAAAAAATGCAACATGACGATGTTATCTGGTCTGTTCTCAATGGACAATTTTGTTCGTATAAACAACAAAAAGCTAAAACACAAATATTCTGTTCTAACGAATATAATTTAACTGGCTTATGTGATCGTCGTTCGTGTCCATTGTCTAATTCTCAATATGCAACTGTTCGAGAAGAAAAAGGTATTTTATATCTTTATATGAAAGTTGTTGAACGGTCTCATTATCCGAAAAAACAATGGGAAAAAGTCAAATTGCATGAAAACTATATTCGTGCATTAAAACAAATCAATGAACATTTGATTTATTGGCCACGTTTCGTTCGACATAAATGCAAACAACGTTTAACAAAACTAACACAATATATTATTCGAACACGCCGTTTAATGTTGAAGAAAACTGGGAAACAAGAATTGGTACCAATCAAAAAGAAAGCTGAAAGACGTGAACGTCGTCATGAAGAAAAAGCATTTGTAGCTGCGAATATTGATCGAGCTATTGAAAATGAATTACTTGAACGATTGAAAAAAGGAACGTATGGAGATACGTATACATTTCCGGTTAATGCTATTTCAAGTAAGGATTACTTTTTTTTATTGTTGATTGTTTTTTTACTATTTACATTTTTTGTTTTGTTTTAGTGGATGAAGAAGATGAGGAAGCTGAAACTGATGAAGAAGAAGAAGAAGAAGAAGGCGAACAGGAGAGTGAAGAAGAAATGGAGTATGTTGAAGATTTCAATGAAAGTGATGCTGAAGATATCGAAGACATGGGTGATGATGATGATGAAGAAATAATCAAAGCATTACCATTGACAAAGAAACGTTCACTTGAACTTGAATACGAACCAGCAGTAACGAAGAGTAAAGAACGTTTGAAACATCGACGACAAGCGTCCTCCAATAATACCCATACATGAAATACACGTTTTGTTTTGTTTTTCTATGTTAAATAAAAAAGACCGGAAGAAAAAAAAGAACCTTTTCGTTGATTTTTCAGTTCTTTTTATGCGAAAAATGATATTCTTTAGGTTGAAATACCTGTTCGAGGTGCTGAACGAGCGGGAATCGTTTATTGTTATGCTACAAGAGATTCTGCCGATGATGAGTAAGTCATTTGACTTTTTAATCACATATTTTGCATTGTATCTAGAACATGATCTCATTGTTTTTATTGTTAAAAGCTAGTAATCAAATGCAAGACAACGAAAATAGTCATTTTTTGCAATAATTTTCAATAAGATCAAGAGTTCGAGTTTTCGATTCGAAAAAAGAGAAGATGTAACCATAGAAAATCGAATTGTACAAATTATTTGGTTTATTCTCCTTTTCTTTTACGGTTTACAATTATTAGGATTATGCTTAGTTTATTTCTCTCAAAGGTTATTTATAAGTTTGTACCCCTTTGATTAATACCATTAAGTTAATGATTTTTTCGAACGAAGAAGAAAAATATTATTTCTGATAGCTGAAAAAAAAACGATCGAAATTGAGTATATACAATATGTCTGAAGAAACGGAAAAAAATCGTGGTCACTTTTTTGCCAGTCTTGTCTTAGCTGTAATAATGGAATAAATGATGATTACCATTTAATATTCGTTAAATACAAAACAAATACCTATTTCTTGTAAAATATAATGATGATTAAAATTCGATTAGCCCTTTTTTGCTTTTATTCGCATTCAATGTTAGATATCATATATTTCTGTATAGAAAAGTATGTACTTTGTATTTGAATTGCCATTATATGTTCGAATATTTTTTACATAGCTTGCTATTCTGACTTTTTTCATTTTTTTTTAGGTGGCATGTAGACAAACTTGAATTTAAAGCTACCAATCAACCATACAGCTATCTTTTCTATGATCGAGCATTACGTCGACTTTCATCACCAGACACAACTACAAAATAGGAAATTAAATCATCATTTAGGACTTTTTCTTTGATTTAAAAAATAAATTCAACTTGATTTCCCTTGTCTTTTCCTTTGTTTTTTCTGTTCTAGATGTTAAGCATTTGTTTTCTTACATTCCTATTCTTCACCTTTGGTGATACTAATACTTGGTCTGACCTTGATATTCCCATTGAACATGCAACTTATTTCTTCACCAGTAATCCGTCAATACATGCTCAATGCCTTGCCGATGAAGCTCGTTGTCCCTATTATGAACAAGCAAAAAATCTTCCACCGTTTGACGTAGCTTGCTGGGGTTATGAACCAAATTGTAAAAACAATGCATCGCTTGTTCAATGTTCCGGAGATAGTCACGGCTGGACAACATCAAAAGAAAAACAAATTTTGGAATTTTGGAAAACAGCTGACTTTGGCTATATAGCAGAAAAACGTAATGAATTAAGAGAATTTTGTTCATCATCACTTGAATGTGTTGATCATCTACGATTTTGTCGAGCAAAAAATATTTACATCGATTTTCGACATACTGAAACATCGAAACATACTGATCGTTATCGCGAAGATATACTTAAACCTGGTGATATCGGTGGTCACTGCAAATTAAATCGTGATGATTTAATTAAAAATGGTGATCATAAAAGTCCATTACAAAGTTGGTTTTCTGAATTACAAGTTTTTACGGAAATCAATGGTACAAATTCATTTAATTGTGATATAACAATAACTAAACCAACGATAATAATTAAACTCGATAGTGGATATAATATGTATCATCATTTTTGTGATTTTATTAATTTATATGTAACACAACATATGAATAACATGTTTTCAAAAGATATACAAATTATTTTATGGGATACAAGCAAAAATGATTATTGGAGTTTTTTTTCTACTACATGGACCGCATTTACATCCAATCGTCTTATTCATATTAAAGAATTCGAAGGAAAACGTGTGTGTTTTCAAAATGTTGCTTTTTCATTTCTTGCTCGAATGTTTTACGGTAAGATGAAATACAATATGAATTTAAGTAGTTCAATTTTTTTGTTACAGGTTTTTATTATAATATGCCACTTATACCGGGCTGTACACAAACGAGCCTATTTCGTTCATTTCAACAGTATATTGTTCATCGTCTTCGTATACCGCAATTAGGTCCATTGAAATCAAATCAAATCCGAATAACATTATTAAATCGTACGACACAATATCGACAGGTTTTGAATGTTAAGGAAATTGTTCAACATTTAAGAAATATTTCAACGAATGAAAATAATGAATATTTAATTAATGTCGTAGATTATAATATTAATATGCCGTTTATTGATCAACTTAATATTACGCATAATACAGATATTTTTATGGGTATGTTTTTAAGAAGAATATTCTTTTAAAAAAATAATCCTTTATCATTACAGACGCTTGAAAAAATAATTTCCTATCAACTGAACAGAATTTATCGTAGGTAGAAGTGCCGGGCTAAAATCTAACGTTTTCTTGATGTTCGAATTATATGAAAAAATATGTCTTAGTTCGAATTAAAAATTATAGTTCAATATTCAGTATTTTTACTCTAAATTATGCTATAAATAGATATGATAAGAATTAATTCTTAATTGTTTTATTTCTATAGGGTGTGATCTAGAAAAATCTTTTCTATTAGCTGGATACCAATAAGAGAAGTTTCATTTTCTCTTCCGATAGGACGAACAAAACGATCATATTTATTATACTAAATAGAATATTCGAGAAGGTCAACTCGATCTTCATAGAGCCACTATTAAAATAAAACCTATTCATTTATTTAATAACGTTTATAAACAAAAAATTCTATCAGGACGAATATTCTTATAATTAATTATGCATACCCTGCATTCATTGACTCGCAATACATATTGATTATATAGTAGTGTTTCAGGCTATTATTTCTCTATAGTTAATAACTGGCCAATCTAAATTAATAAATTATCCACAAACAGCTATTTTAGTTTATCATAGAAATATTTGACATAAATCTTGTTTCTTTTTTCTTCTAGGAATGCATGGTGCTGGTTTAACGCATTTACTGTTCTTACCAGATTGGGCAACTATCTTCGAAATTCATAATTGTGAAGATAAAGATTGTTATTTGGATTTAGCTCGTCTTCGCGGCGTAAAGTATTTTACATGGGAAAATGAGGCTAAAGCCTATCCACAAGATGAAGGCAAACATCCAACATTGGGAACACCGCATAAGAAATTTACAAATTACGCATTTGATAAATATGAATTTGCTCGTGTTGTACGTAAAATGGTGAAATATGTTAAAGAACATCCTGCGTATCGCTCTGCGAAACGAATGAAATACTCCACAACGAATTCTATACCGACTTTAGAAGTTGAACAACGACATACAAAAACCACCAAAGATGAATTTTAATTTTTCTCAATTTGTTTTTTTTTTTTTTTTTTGTTGTGCAATCTCACCAATGCAAGTTTTTACCATGAGCTTTTTATCGTGATGAAACAAAACTGATTCTTTTTATCTCAAAATTTAATCTGCGGGGTGCTATTTTATAGAATATTATTGTAAACGAATTTTGTTTACAATAATACATTGTTTTTGTTTAAGAAGGGTTGTTTAGAAACTGTTATAATATGTTTTAGATCTCTTAAAATAATGGCTGATGATGATTCAATGAGTGATGATGAACAACTTGATGTAGGATATTTTTTCCGTGTGCTGAGCTTTCTATTGCACTGTTTTCATAGATTCCAAACAAGACAAAACATATTGCATCGATTCGATTAGGTCAAGTTGATATTGATTGTTGGTTCCATTCACCATATGTTGATGTAGAAGATGGTTCAAATGATACCGATCGACCTATTGATAAATTATTTATTTGTGAATATTGTTTACGATATTTTCTAAATAATCGAAAATATCGACAACATACGGTAAGAGAATCAAATCAATTCGAGTCTCATAGACGTTAAGACAATAGTTCCTGAGTACATCAATAGAAACTTGAATTTTAGAACGAATGTACTCGTCGACATCCACCTGGTCGTAAAATCTATGAGCATCCTGATGGTCTATCTGTATATGAAGTTGATGGAACAGCATCACAAGTAGAGTCTAATACAACTCCGATATTGAATTAATATAGTTTTGTTTTTGTAGCTCTATTGTCAATGTCTTTGCTTATTAGCAAAATTATTTCTTGAGCGAAAAACAATTTATTTTGATGTGGATCCATTTCTTTTCTATGTTCTTGTTGAATCAGATCCGCGTGTAAAAACTGTTCAACACATCGTCGGCTACTTTTCAAAAGTAAATCTTATTCATTGCAATTTTTTTATGAAATTTTGTTTTATGAATTTTTCTAGGAGAAACTCAGCGATGAGTTTTATAACTTAGCATGTTTAATGGTAAAAGAAAACTTTTAAAAATTGTTCTATTAATTATATTTATGCTCTCTTAGGTTCTACCACATCGTCAACGACAAGGTTTTGGCCGATTTCTAATTGCATTAAGTAAAAAACGGTTTTTTTTCTATATCGTTGAAAGATAATAATTATATGAACATTTAGGCTATGAATTAACTAAATTGGAAAAGAAAACAGGCTCACCTGAAAAACCACTATCAACACTCGGTCAAATGACATATAAAAGCTATTGGCATTCCACAATCTTATCAAAACTTGAAGAATATCGTCCTTTGCAAATGCATGTTACTGTAACACAGCTCAGGTTTATCTTTCTTCAAAGCCAAAAAAAAACCGATAACGAAATAATAAATTTCTTTACTTAGTGTGGATACTGGCATATGTGTCGAAGATGTTATTCAAACGCTAATTGATCTCCGTTTGGCTCACACAGGAAAATCAATAAGTGAGACTAATTTTAAACAACATGAAGTACGCAATCGTCGCCGCCATCAAAATCAATCTGACGATAATAATAACAACAACAATCTAGATTCATCATCTCTATTAATCATTGATACTGATGCATTGCGTACAGCTCTATGCCGTCTATCAACGAATAATGCAGCATCAAAGCAGAATCAAAATATTTTTGACCCTGCATATTTACGTTTGCTCAGTCGACGATGACACAAAAACGAAAAAAAATCTCGGTCGAAATTCTTTTGTATATATTGAGAAAACAAATTTTGTTCATATTGATTGAAACCCTATTTTTTTGTTGTTTCGTATCTACAAAAAAGATTATAAATACGACACTCGAAAAAATGTAGATAAGCATGAATGTTACTTATAAATAGATGTACTATCAATCGATTGTGATTGTTATTTATCAAAACTCACTTTATTTAATAAAACAATCAGTATAAAAAGCAAAAAATGAAAAACATTTGAATATGTTCGTTATAGAGCTTCGCTGTAAACATTTCGCTCAGACTGGACAGAAACTTGCTTTTGTGTCTGAATTGATATTATATGGTCCTGAAGAGAACAACTAAAGATTACTATGATAATAATTTTTCAAACCTTAAGCGTACTGAAGAATCTGAGTCTTGATATGCCTGTGTTGCAGACACTTCACATACACTGAATTTCCCTTCGCGATATCGTTCTCGAGACTTATGAATATACATGAATATTGCATCACATACAATATCAGCTATAATCATAAAGCCAATACCCGAACCTTTTTAAAATATTCATTTAATAATAAAGACAAAAAAAAGAATAGTTTCAGCATACCGATAGCGACAAATAAATTAACTATATTGAATTGTCCACCCGTTCCTGTTATACTAACAACAAAACGTAATCCATAAATCTTTGATAACGTTCGACGATCAACGCCGTCTATTCGATACTTTTGAGCTGCCCTACATAAAATATATAGCTAGTTAAAAGAAAAGCATCTGAAATGTTGCATTTTTAGGTCTTACCGATAATTTATACCAGGAGATTGTTTATCGTCACCACTTTGTAATACAGAAAATGCAACTGTGGGAAAACAACTATTTTTATCGAAGTCAAAATTACATGTCCAATCTTGACGAATTTCAATTAAACCGCCCTATATCATTATAGATTTCATCGTTTTTATTCTCTCGATAGAAAACTTACTTCATGTAGAAGAGCTGTTTTGTTCGTTTTAAGACTATCAAGAATATCACCAATACGAAAGATAGGACAGCGTCGATCATTAGTTTTATCATAACGACATGAAAAATTAGTACTATCACGAACATTTCTCCTATAGAAAAAATAAAAAAGGCCATCGTCAATTTCTTGCATTATAACTATTATCAAAACAAACAAGTTGATATTAAATGCTGTAAATGTCACTGCTGTTTTTATATAAACCGTAAAATTAGCCAAATCATTACTATCCACAATATATTCACTTTAATAAAAATAAACACCAATTTTTACACAAATTTTTATTGGCAATATTTTTTGCTTACGTTGAATTTGAAAGTTCTTCAGGACACCATGCATGTATTTCACAAACAGTTATATTATAATCTTCCAAGCTTGCCACGCATTTTCCAGTAAAATAACCTGAACATCTCCCTCTATGAATAATATTGAATCCAACGATAAAATCTACTTACCAAATGTGTTGGGTGTTTGTTTATCTTTTGGACACGCATCTAGTTGTGTACTATTACAAAATAATTTATCATCTAGAGCCTATGAAGAAAATAATAAAAAGAATTCGTTTTTATAGAAAGAAAAAGTTTTCTCTCAACTTACACTAGGACATACGCCTTCTTCTTGGTCAAAAGTAATTATCTGTCGCGTTGCAATAAAGAATGCATTGTTTTCCTACAATAAACAATGATCATGAACATCAAAATAAAAATCATTGATTCAACATACCATTGGGGGCACTTGATATTCAGCTGTATCCCATAGATGTTGTGAACTTGAATCTTAATTTATCAAAAAAACGAAATTGTTTTCGTTTGTTTTTTATACAAAAGTAGTTTTGATCTTCTTGTTACATACTTCCGTATCCCGAGGTAGCATTGCCGAATACTTTAGTAAGTCCTTTAACTTTAATTATACTTGTGGCGCGTGGTTCTTGAAATTCTTGATATCCTTTTTTATACCAAACAATATAACTGAAATTAAAAAAATTCATAGAAATGTCTCTCGTGTTGTTTCGAAAAATGTTTTTTTCTGTTTACCATGCTATGTAAACGACGATGGCAAATTGGAGTAGACGATAGAGACTTGCAATTATAGTGTGTGGCACTTGAACTATTTTGACAGTTGAGTAAGTGTAAAACGTATCAGTTAGAGCAGAAGAAAAAAACCTTTTCACTAAAAAAATTCAATGAAGAAAACCTTATTTCCATATTCCGAAAGAGTCATTCTCACTTGAGCTGCCCATTTCTTTCTCTCAAATGAAAAGAAAAAACAACAAATGCTGTGTAATTATGTCAATAGTATCTTATCGAAAAGCATCGAGCGAATATTAGTATGGATTTTGTGGGACTTCTTATCATAGGACACAGAATAATAAATTTTATATACACCTTTGCTGATAAATACAGACATATTTTTATAAAGCGCAGGCACGTAAAATTTCGAAACCTGTTGAATTTCCATCGTTAGTAATAATTAAGGTTACCCTAGAAATTATACCCAATATAGTTAGAATGCGACTATATGTATACTTAACAAATCCTACTAGTCCATCGGTTCCTAACTAATACTAAATAACAGGAAGTCTACAGATTATCATTTATTATTGTTCAATAAATAAACTTCTTCAATAATATTCAAGTTTATTAGTTAGTGCTCATCATAATAACTATGTGATAATAATTATACGCAAGTATAGTTTACCGATAACAAACATCTAAAATTTATCGTCGCCCGTATTTACCCTAATGGAATCGAACCAAAAAAAACAATATCACCGAATTAGTCGACATTTGATTTGTGACGCATTAGTGAAAATGTAAAAGGAGCGATATTAGAGCAGGATACACATATAGCAGACTAGATCTTTTCGTTCATCAATCATACATGCAACAACAGTACGATTGAAAAATATGAAACAAAGATATCAGGAAAAAAATCGATTCAATGATATGTTTCCGGCTTAGAGCTGCACAGAGTAAAATGAGTTTGTTACAGTTCCTAAATTATATAAAATGCGATGAAACTCAAAGTTTCTATTTATTTTTTGGTACTAAATAGGCCTGATAACTTGTGAAACTTGAAAACAATCTGTTTTTGTCGAATTTAATAATCATTAATTTGAAAATCGTTGTGGAACTGCTTAGACAGGCATCGTAAATTTTTTTGTAGCTGAATTGTTCTATTTACATTCTGATTATTTCTGATATCTTGAGAGAAATAAATAGCAAATGAAATTCGTCATGATTAAATTAAAGTCATTTTTACACAAGACGAGAGAGTGCGAAGAATGCAAGAAATTATCTTCAACGTCAATTTACTTTTAATCCGCCTTTTTTTCATCTTAGATCGATAGAATCATAGATAGAACACTCCACTTGCTTTCAAGATAAAAATCACCGGTAAATAAAGGTTACGATTTTTTAACTATATGCCATAGTAGAACAAATATATATATTTCTTCCCATAGTATGCAACCTGGAATGTGTAGTAGTAATTCTCCTCAACGATAATGAAATAAATCTAAGCAAACTTTGAAATACATATTTTTTATCCCTCCTGTTACAATTCAGAGTACTTCAACAGTCATCACATGTTGAGTAATCAAAAACTGTGTCTATCTGGCATTTCGTTTTGTGTTTTGGTCAGAGGAAACTAATCAAAACTAGATGGTATTCAAGTTTCACTCGAATACGACAATTTAGAGAAATCTTGAATACTTTTTATGTCGGCATGATGAAATTCATCACTGAGAAAACTCTATTCTTACTTAGCGATCTATTCTTAAGGATCGATTTCGATTGATCGATTAATTTCCGCTATGATTCATTATTTGAGATCAGCTGTAAATGAATAGAGTATAGTGAATAACATATGTTGATGGCGTCACTTTAATTATCTCGCTATAATTTCTTTCATTTTCGTCATTTTGGAACGACATTTGTGAGTGAATGGAACTTCAGATTGAAGATTCGAAAACAGATGTAAGCAGTTCGATCTCACGTTTGAACGACCTTTCTATGATTTATGGTTCTCGAGATCATTGCAACACAAAACGACGAGATGTGATGCGTACGTCGAGAAAGAAAAAGAAAAAGAAAACTCGCGACGGACTACATAAATGCGATGCGAAGCATAGCATTTAAAATAATATCGATTTATTTGATGCATTTCAATCACTCAAGAGCAAAATACACATCAATGATATGATTTCAGCGTCGTACTAAAAGCAAGTCTAGCAGAATAATAGTTTCAATTACGTTAAGCTTCTCAAAATACAACGTCATGCAAAACGTTTTCTTAAGTACGCCTATGAGTAAAACTGGCCGGTACTCTTGACCAATCCATGCTCATAGTGAACTTTAAATCTTAAAGAAAAAGATTAAAAATGTTGTTTTCCTATTAAATTACATAAGCTCTGTTTCTAATATCCGAAATCTGAGAATAGCTTTTTTCCAGTTACATATGAGCGACAGGTATTTCTCTTACATGAAAAATGATTTTTATCGAAAAATCCTTTGGAAATATCTCTTGCGAGAGCCATAGTGTTCATCATAAATATCTACGTTTGAATCTTCGCTTTCACATGTATAAGATCGATTCTCGTGTCTCGAGAATGGAGCATCTATTGAGTGAAATGGTCAATGGGTCAATCTATCAGAAACTGTAAATTGGAGGATTTAAAAATAGAACTTCAGTATCCACAGAAAGTTCAAATCAATATCTACAATCAATGATCGAAACAATCTGTAGTCATCAAATGAAATAGATTACCCTCAACTATCAAATACAAAATAAACTTTAATCTCATTTCATTTATATCTTATTTTAGTAATTATTTATGGATCCGATACTATATATCATATAGAATATATCAATAACTGCAAAAGAGAAAACGTTATTTCCCTCGATAAAATTTTTTTACCTGATTTAAATACACTTGTTATCAGCATTTTACTGTATAGTACTGAATTCGTCAAAAACGAATTAACAGATCTATTTACAAAAAAGAGAAAAAGCTTAAATCAATACCAGTCAGTTCTCTTCTAAATAGCACAATTCAAGTGGCTTAGTGTTACAAGAGCGAGAAAGGAAAAAAAGAATGATAATGAAACAAATGACATTTTATCACATAAAATAAATCATACTAAGTATGGCATTCTTGAAAAAAATGAAATTATATTGATCTTCAATATAGATGGCATTCGCTGAAAAAATTTTAATTATTTATTCTTAGATAATATCGAAGTTAAACTTGTGGGATAGGTTTTTTCATACGTGAATATTTATGTATAGAAGAACGTGAAATAGTTGACGTTGTCTTCGTCATTTTCTCTGAGAAACTCAATTTTGCTTGTTTCTGCTCGATTGATGATAAAGTATTTTCATATTGATAAACATCTGCTAATTGATTTTGAAATTCGCGATATCGTCTATCATTTAATGCATTCATTTGAATAATATTATTTTCACGCTGTGACATAGACAATAGATCTTTCAAAGTAAATTTATTTCGATTTTCTTTCGTTCGTAATTCATAGCAGAGATGACGTGCCGATTGATTCCATGATGAATCAAAAAATAATAAAGCTGATATCGATTTTGATAGATTAAGATAATTTGATAAATCATCTAATGCTGGAATTTCTCTGATGAATTGCGGTCGACTTAACAACAAGTCAATCAGTGGTTCTACATTTTCATTTGTTGAAAGTGGAAATTTTAAATGTTCGAAATTTAAAGGTTTGCGTAGAAAGTATTCACTCCCTATTTATTAACAGATTTCATTATAAAAAGAAGAAGAAAAGCTAAAATAATTATAATTACCAAGAAAAACTAATGGGATCGTTTTGCTTGTTGGCAATGTATTTGCATACATATATATCGAATTTTTTTCGTTCTGATTATTTCGTTGAAAAAAATAACCAGATGAAATAGTTCTAACATTTGGATAGATAAAACTAGCAGAAGATTGAACAAAGTCCAACGACAGTAAATTTGTCAATTGATTTCTTGGCCGAAATTCAATAGTAAGATTACCAATACTTGATGATGAATCCGGTTGATCATTAGAATGGATACTTGCTTGTTTACTGAAATCTTTATCAGTGGAATTTATTTCTATTTTATTTCTATTAGAATATGATGATTCAACGTATGGTGAACTGCGAATGGCTCGATGGATGTTTGGTTTATTGGAGATTGTTGAAAGACTCTTTTGTGGAAATGAATTTAATGAAACATCTTTTGTTCTATAATTAAAAAAGCATCACTAGAATTTTTAAAAGATTGAAAGAAAATTTATGGAAAAAAAGTGAGGTCATTCATTTTCGTAAGTAATTCGAAGCACGAAGCCATTTTTAAAATAAAAAACTAAAATATCTAATTTTATCTCTTAAAATGACAATCAAGACAACCATTAATGTCCTCGGTAAGCAAACCAAAGGAAAAACGGCGGACTTGAAGTAGTTGAAAGTACCACCCAAGTAGCCCAAAGTAGGAACAAGTAACTTCAGAACAATTTGAAGTTGAAAAGTACGTCAAAGTAAGCTATTTCAAATAGCTGAAAGTAACTTCAAGTCCAAAAGTTCAAAAGTCTGCCGTTTCCCCCTTGAACCAAACAGACACAACACGGAGTGAAGGTCGGGGCAACATTAATTATGCATTCAATGAATTTCTAGAGATTTCGTGTTGTGCGCGATTTCTATAGACATCAAGGAGAACTTGCAATGAAAAATCATCCTATGTATTCTTTCATAAAGAGTAGATCATAGATTCCGACTAATTTTTCTATGATAAATGTTGCTCGAGATGTTTTCTTTCTAAAATACCATTACAGAAAAATATAATCTTCGAGATGAATAGTCATGAATGCTTCTAGTTCGTTTTCTAAGATACTTATTAGCCTAGAAATGCATGCCATGTTTATCAGTGAATGAATCTTATTCCGAATTCGCTTATAAGCCTCCAGACAATAAAAATCCAGATGAATGTGTGCCGTTTATCACTAAGAGCGACTTCTCTTCTTTGATGTTTTTCTTAATATCTTTTCGTCTCCTTTCCGTCACAAACATGAGAATAAATAGTTATTCTTCATTTTAGAAACCTTTCGAGAACATCTTACAAATGCATTTCAAATAATTTTAAGTTCAACGCAACTAAAAAAATATATAAAATATAAGAATAAGGCAAAGATTCATACAAAATGTTGGTCAAGTTAATCTTATGTGACAATAAGATAAATTGCCCGATAGATTGTTGAACTTCTCATTTGAGCACTACATTTTGCTGCAATCGTTAACTAGATATACCGACGAGACGCGACAATATTCTGTAAAAATTGATTTTTAAAAGCCATATTTCTATTTCACAGCGCTTCACAATCTAGATGCCCACCGCTGACCAGAAAAAAAAACAGAAGAAAAGTATTCAGTAGTATTGCTAGCATCAACGTTAAACACTCGCCTATAGTCGACGTTTTAAGTAAAAGATGAATTTCATGGTCATGGCATGTTACCTTACAAAATCAAGTGTTAACAAAGAAACGCGGATTATATATAATGTTCGTCTTTTTCCATTGCCGTACATCCTTTCATCTAACGAGTTAATGAAATTGCAACTAGTGGCGTCACCAGAAATTTAACAGTGATGAGGCTCAGCCCCATCTCTCAGTCGAACGTACTCGTTGACTGGCTCCAGGCACTAATCATCATAACAAACTTTCAAATCTTATTTCTAAATTTTAAAGTTTAAAATTTAAAATTTAAACTTCCGCTGCACTACAATCAAATGGCCGTATCATATGTGACATATTTGTATCTTATATACGAAGATGCCTATAGTTTATGTATCAATGGAGAAAATATTTACACTCTTTTCGATTCAAAATTCAGACTTCAGTGCTCTAAATCATATTTATTTCTTTAATTCAAGAATTCAATCGATAAATTAGAATAAGGATTGTGAGGCTCCAAAGCCGGTGATGGGGCTCAGCCTGATCTGGCCCCACCCTAGCGACGTCACTAATTGCAACATAAAAGGATACACCTGTGGTATATTAATTAACTTTCACCAATCAATCTACTTCTCTCTACGGTATTCATTATTATGAAAAGAAGACGAAAAGATATTCAGAAGGAAAGAAAAAAAAAGAGTAATCGCTCTTAATGATAAACGATATGCATTCATCTCAATTTTTATTGGCTGGAGGCTTATAAGCGAATTCGGAATAAGACTCATTAATTATTCATATAGTAAATGAAATGATGTATTGATTAGAACTGAAATAATGAGTTCGTATTTTTTGGAATATTTTTCTAGTGAACAGGATATCTAGCGCATTAATCACATATAATTGTAATCATACATTAATTTTTCATTTTTGACAAAGAAAAATCGCAACATGATTATAGTACACTATACATGTGAACAATTATTTTTCTTTGACATTAATTTCGCTTCTACGTATGTATATAAACTGCTCAGTTAAGCGGGTAGGAAAAGTTTTATATCAGTATGATTCATCGATAATATTAGCAATTTTCCAGGTATGATACTTTCCTTTAAAAAAAACTAGAGATAACTTACGGTAAAGATTATATATATATAGTTAGTAGATAGAGCTTGAAGATAGGTTTAGCATACGAATCAACTATTCGAATTTTTGCTCAATACGCAATATCATTTTTCCTGATTAATTTGCTAATGAAAGCAAGATGTGCTTCGAGACTAATAAATTTCGTACAAAATTAATCGCAGGAATCAAACTCTAGTCATGCAAAAGAAATCAAGACGTCTATGTCATCCGTCATATCTTGTATGGAAGACCTATACATATGATGATAATAATTCATAGGCTATTTTCACTTTTACTTTATCTAGAGAACGTCTATGTTGATCTGTGTTCTTTTTAAGTAAGTAACTTTCTATTACTTAAAAACATATCCTGTCATCATGATATAATCGAATTGAGTAAGTCAATTTTATATTTTCACCTACGATAATATTTTTTTGATATGATTAATCGAATTGCTTGGTTTTAATCGATTCGGTGATCTCTTGTCAATACCAATCATCATTAATTGATGAAGTAAAAGATAAAAGAAATATGCTTTCTTTCATCCAGCTTCTGGCGCCGGATGTTTTATAATTGATTAAAGAAAGTAAATAGTTGAGAGATAAAAGTTTAGAGAAAGACATTGCAATTTAGACACATCCACGCACACCGATTGACAAAAAAAAAGAGGAAACATGAAAGAGAAAAAAAGTGAGAAGAAAAAAAAAATAAATATGAGGAATACATTTGTTTAAAAATCAGAAAATTCTTTTTCATGTAAATTAGCCGATGAACGAGCTGGCTCTTCGTCTTCAGCATCAGGAAAGTTGTTTGCACGAATATCTGGTATCCAAGGTGCACGAAGTTTTTTCAAAAATATCTGTAACCAATCAATATCACGAAACCAAGGATGTTTTTTTATATCATTAACACCGTTGAACATCATGCCAAGTCGTTTTGTTAAATCTTTTTGTAATAAACCACGAACTACATCAATTAATTGATCTGTAAAAGATGATCGAGGTCGGAATTTGGCATTAATTATTTTATGATAGATTTTTTGTTGATCTGCATCCTATGAAGAGAAAAAAGCAAACGAGATAAATTTTAATTAAAACAAAAATAAATGAATATAGTTCGTACCCAAAATGGAGAATAGCCAGCATTCATTTCAAATATCAGCACACCTAAAGCCCAATAGTCCACTAGAAGATAAGAAAAAGAAACGATGTTAGTCCGACATCAAGAAAACTTGTTTTTTCTTTATTATACCCCCCATATTGTAACCACGACCAAGGATAATTTCAGGTGCAAGAAATTCGGGTGTACCGCATAGAGTATATGCTTTTCCACGATCAATTTTTTTAGCAAAGCCTACATAGTATAAAATACTTTTAAGTTTTAAACGAACAATAAAAAATTTTGTTTTTGTTTTACCAAAATCACACATTTTAATGTATCCATAACGATCGATGAGAAGATTTTCGGGCTAAAAGAAATACATGAATTTGATGAGAAAAAAGAAATTGGCAATTTTTCTTTATCCAAATACTTTGAGATCACGATAAACAATACCCAATAGATGTAGGTATTCCAGAGCAAGAACAATTTGAGATGCATAAAATTTGGCTTTCTTTTCTTCGAACCGTTCAGAATCACGTAGATGTCGAAATAATTCTCCGCCTTCAATTAACTCAAGACCAATATAAAGATTTGCATTGTCTTTAAAGGAAAAATAAAATCGTATGATAAATGGAAAATTTAATGCTTGTAATATTCGTTTTTCATTAACAACATGTTCTTCTTGTTTCATTTTATATGCACTTTTTTTATTGATAATTTTAAGTGCAATACGAGCAGATGTTATTGTTGAATCAGTAGGATTCGTTCGTTGAAGATAATCCGGTATTGGATCGCGTATATATTTCACTTCTTTAACTGAGCCGAATGCACCACGTCCAAGTGGTCGAATTATTTGAAAATCTCGATAGGCTATTTGAAATGTAGCTGGTGTTGAATATCGGCTATCAAATTCTTCACGGGCTTGTTTATAACATTCACTCGGTATACCTCCTGGCGAAGTCGATGTTGAACCACTGGACGATGACGGACCTCCTCCCATTGGCGCATACGTAAGAAGAACTAGAAAAATAAATTTAAATTAATATTAAAAAAAGATTTTAAAGAAACTTTTAGCAGACTTATATTATTCATAGAAAATGAACAACCTCTTATTTTCCTTTCATCACTGACTGAACAAAGAAACTACTCAGAATATCTTTTGTTAGTTTCATCAAAATAGATAGGTAAACGAAACCATTCATACTTTGACACTATTCATACACAAATTCATTTTCTTAACTGTATCTCGTAAATCAATATATAATGTATCATAACTCATAATTGCCGATAGTTATAGTGTGGGTATCCACAAAACGATAGTGAAAGAAAATTTGTTAGTTTTTTGTTTTTCATAAATAATCTCAAGCTCTCGACAGAATTCTCAAGCTGCATTTATTCCATTATCAACTTCCTTGAGCGTTTCTATATCTAAAAACAAAACAAGACAATAGTTTTTTTTCTTCTTCTTCTTCTTCTTCTTCTTTATGCTATATTTTTTCATTGATCACGAACTACTGCCATAAATCTTTTCCCTGTCTTAAGCAAAGGTATTTATAACTTTCAATAATATTGTCAAAGTCCATCAATTTGTAATGTCATACAGAAATTATAAATATCCAATTTGCATTAAACATTAAATAGGGAACAACATCGTGAAATCTCATATCTCAGTATTAAAATATAAATAGAATTATTTAAGATGATTCCTGTCAAAATAGACCAACTTGATTTGTCGAAAGTATTTTCATAGGATTCGAATGGCTTTTGTTTTTGAGTCAATAAGATTTCATATGGAAAACGAAAGAAAAGCAAACATAATGATAGAATGTATTGTGATGACAACTTGACATTCAAATTTTAAAAAAACTAAATGAACTTCTTTCTATTCATTTTTTACTTATTTTCTGTAAGAATTCGAAGAAATAACAACAAAAGAGACATGGAGCTGTATTATAGCTTTTATTTTCCTATCAAACTGCTTCCTGGTGTTAGTTGCAACAATTACAAAAAAAGAAGAAAGGAAAACGTTAAAATAGACTTTTTCCTAAGTATATAATTAAAATAAATATCGATCAATCATGTGTCTCATTAAAGAAGTGAAAAATAAATAAATTCTAATGGCTAATAATCCTAATGCTAATCTATTTCACTAGAGTCTCTTGAGTTCGTATGATGGAGAACAATAGCGTAGAAAACGAGGGAAAATATTTTCCTTGACTATCGAGCTCGTCACGCATTCCACAAGCCACCAGTATATACATACATTTCTTATCAAAGACTTATTACGCTTCTCTTTGTATGATCACTAAGCACAGAATCAAAATGAATAGTAGCAACAGCCATAGTTCGTGTTTCCTACACCATCATCATCATCAACATCATCATCATCGTCGTCGTCGTCGTCGTCGTCGTCGTCGTCGTCGTCGTTTCTCTCTCTCACTCTCCTCTGTGTCTCTCGACAAAGCAGTTCTTTTGCCACTGCATATCACTCAGCACAAGAAGGAGATTCATGCACGCGTACGCTTTTCCTTACAATTGAATTGAACACAATAATAAGCAGTGAATGAAAGAAAGGAACGATACTATTCATCAACGACACACAGTCACCGGGTCGGGTACCCAGTATCAGACCGGACCCAGGACATGGTTCCGGTCTTGAAAAAAGCGAGTCGTACCGGTTCCAAGTACGAAAAGCGATACCCATACAGGACACTACAGTCAACCAACACCAATTTTCGATTTCACTCAATTATTGTGGACGTCCACGTTAAGTATTCTTTACTTTGCATAATATTTAAACAGAACGAAAGATTCTCGAGATGTCACCAATACGATTGGCACTATTTTTACTTATGTCAAACATCCTTGATGAATGAATCCAAAAGAAAAATAGCATGCCTAGTTTTATTGTTGTTCTTTCATGTCAAAGGAGAAAAGAAATCTTTCGTCGAGATGATCTTAACGATCATTAGTTATGAAACAGAGTGATGATAATGAAACAAAAAAGTCTTTCTGAGAAAAATATACATTTGGGAATGTGTCGGCAATGAAATCTAAATAAAGATGAGCACATCGAAAACTCATGCTTATGCTGTCTTACTTTATTGTTGCTGGTAGACGGATTGATCACTTTCTTGTTCTATTCCTTTTTTCTCGTCTTCTTTCATATTTTATACTTGTGTTTCAAGTAATCAATATTTTTTGTGAAGAAAATAATTTAAATCTAATTTCATAATAAAGAATGACGAAATAAACTATAAAAATATTTTCAAGTATCTTATTATACATATACATATACATGTTTCTACAGGCTACGACACATTACTTGTTTGCTTATAAACTGGCAATCGAGGACAAAAAAAAAGTAAGAAGAAGAAGTAGAAGAAGAAGAAACGTGAAAACGAATTTTCTCTTTTTCCCGCCTCCCCTCCTTGTTGTATGACTTACGTCAAGACTTTTTTTAATTATATCGTGTAAATCATTATTTCTTGAATGGCTTCTTTATTCTATTGTTCTTCATGTCTTTATACTCACGTATACACAAAGGAAAGAACGTATTGTGGAATACAAAATGCGACTAGTGTTCATCCATCTGGCTCTTTCTTTTTTCTTTGTGCATATCGAAATATTATTTTGAAAGCTATTTTATTTCTAATTATTCAAGTTAATTATAGACAGAACAGCAATTCTTGTCATCATCTTTTCTCCATATTCAGGATATCAAATAAGTTATGACTTCCTCCAGCTATACTTTTGTTTTGCGGGATTGCATTTTAATGGTACTTCATATTCATAGTTTACAATACTAAATATTTAGTTCAAGATTTACTCACTCTTTTTTCTTTTATTTTTTTAATGAACTATTACTAATGTGAAACTAATAAAGATTATTTCGAATTATAGTGAAATTTTTAGTTACGGAGAAAATACTATCTTTTCAATCGCTAACACGTCAATGTTAACACATTTTTACATTTCAAAAGTCATTCTTGCGTGTGTGTCATTTCGATCTGCTGTCATATATATATATATATATATATATACAGCGGCCGTCAAAATGATCCGACCACTTGTGTTTCTGTTCTATCTTTGCGCTCATCTAAACATAAAGATTTCTTCATGTTACACCATTCGAAAGAGCAAAATGTTTTCTACATGGTGTGCTAGTTTTGTTTTGCATTGGTATACAGAAAAAGTCTAAAAAATAGTGTTTTGAGTAGCCAGCTACGACTTTATGAGTAAAAGGCTGTGGGCAAACAATTTTTTCTACTAATGATCGGGCAAATCTAATGGATAATGCACCGTTAGGAAAAGCATTAAAACCTACATTAGATAAGACGTTTAAATGAATACGGCGTGACGGTTAGTTGAGATGACCGTATTCAAAATGTACACCAGATCGGTATAGTTGTCCGTATATTGTCTCTTTATCCGACTGAAAAATCATTTGGAATTTTTAAAAAGCCCTTAATTTAGTAGATAATTGTTTTCTTTACATAGGCTACTTCTAACAATCTAAAACAGGTTGCATTCTCAAGGTTGAGAATGAATTTTTCAACAAATATGATAGAAATAAAAATTCCCCGAAGAACCTCATCACAACCTAGGGCCATGTTGAATGAACTCTGAGGGGATTTTAACACACGATGTATCAATGGATGCAGCATTGAATTTCAACTTAATTTCCAGGTTTAATCTGATTCAATAGCTTTCTATTTCATTTAATATGTATTCAAATTGTTAGAAGTAGCCTATGTAAACAAAAACAATTCTCTACTAAATTAAGGGCTTTTAAAAATTTCAAATGATTTTTCAGCCGGATATAGAGTCAATATACGGACAACTATACCGATTTGGCATACATTTTGAATCCGGTCATCTCAACTAACCGTCACGCCGTATTCATTTAAACGTCTTATCTAATGTAGTTTTTAATGCTCTTCTTAACGGCGCATTATCCATTAGATTTGCCCGATCATTAGTAGAAAAAATTGTCTGTCCACAGCCTTGTACTCATAAAGTCGTAGCTGGCTGCTCAAAACACTATTTTTTAGACTTTTTCTGTATACCAATGCAAAACAAAACTAGCACACCATGTAGAAAACATTTTGCTCTTTCGAATGGTGTAACATGAAGAAATCTTTATGTTTAGATGAGCGCAAAGATAGAACAGAAACACAAGTGGTCGGATAATTTTGACGTGTGAAATATATGACATACTTTTTTTTCATTTTAATAAAAAATCAACAACACGAAGTTCTGATATGAAACTAAACACAAACGTACTAGACACTGTGGTCTACAACATGGTAACAGTTACGAACCTCCAGTCACTTTTTTTTGTCAAATACAGAATAAACAAAAATATTTTTTTAGGTGGTCGGATAATTTTGACGGTCACCGTATATATATATATAGAGAGAGAGAGAGAGAGAGCGCAAGGAGAAAACACAATATCTTATGATCTTTTTAATATGCTAATAATAAAATCAACAAAAGACAATGCATACGAATGTCGTTATTTGAAAAATCGAATAATTGTCATAGTAAATGAATGAAGTTCATGATTGGCTGTCATATTTTAGAATCAAGTTACAATTCTTGCTAATTCTTTGCATTAACTGAAAGTCATTAACAGAGAAATGAAGTCAAATAGTCTATACTGATTAACATTTAGATAATTCACAAGATATGGTAAAAACGTTCTTAAATTAACACTGTCGGAGCTTTTGCGAAGCGTTCAATGTTAAGAGGTGCTCATGCATATATCCCTACAAAAAATTGTTCTTGCCGGAACATGAAAACTTTATCGTAATGAAAGGTGTTCATCTATGCGAGTTGTTTGCTGTAATTCAACATTTTTTTCATCAGTCGTAGCCATTAACAGAGTAAAGTGGCAAAAAAAATACGCAGATATTTGTTTCTATTACAACATTATATTCGAGAAAATGCCTTCAAGGCATTGTTTTTTTTTCTCTATAATTATATGAAACATTACGGATAAAATATCGAAACATATTCATAAAAGTAATGCAATTTTATCATTACTTTTATCGATGTTGACAATAAAGAAAGTCAAAATTTTCATCGAGAGAAAAAAAGATAATTATTTTAGGTTCGACGAAGTACTAAGTGTATGGATTTGCGCTAAAATAGAATATGACTTAAAAGAATCAAAGCTTATTTCAGTGTCATTATGTTCTTTGTGCGTGCCAACATCAGATAGACAAGAGAATGAGAGAAAATAGCAAACGAGTCAATGGTACTTGACACACACTAAGTGGTTGACTTCCTGCTTGCCGTCCGGCATAAGCCCAGACGCGCGCACACACTCGCACACACATATATATATATATATATATATATCGAGAAATATGTTTATTAACTTACAAGGAGTACGTTCGAGTTTGAGTAAACGTTGAAAGCGTTCATCAAGTTGACGAGTGATTGTCTGATAGGTTTGAAAACGGTAGTTATTTGCCATCATATAATGTACAAAGAGAAACGAAAAAAGAAGCTATCTATCAAAAATTTTTATCAAAATGTGTTTTGTTTTTCATGTGTTGCGTGTATATATTTGCAAGTATTCCTATTTTTTTTAAATGTAACTTGTTCTATAGTTAGTCATTAATGGAATTTACAATTATTCATCGAAATTTAGTGCCTATTATGGTATCAGGCTTGCCTAATGAGGGACATTTCGATGATGACTACGTGACGACATATATTTATATAGGAAAAAGAGAATATGTGTAAAAAGAAAAAAACAAAACGAAAAGTATTCTCCATTGAAATATGGCATCTATAAACCGATGTGTGCATCGAGTTACAAGTAGTTAATAGAAAATCTATTAATGAGCAGTAGCCACCTATTCATCATATTAAAAAATGTGACACATAGCTATACTTATATTTAGATCTATACGAATAGTAGGCATATAAAGACGTGTGTGTGACTTTCTTGTAAAAGATTATTACACGATAAAAAAAAGCTTAAACAATATATTTAGCTGACCTTTAAATGGTGAATCTTTGAAATCATCGATAATAATTTGAATGGGCGGTGCTCCTGGTGTTTGATCATTATGTTCACGTTTAAATGATCCATGCGATTGGCCAAGGTGTCCTTTCACGCGTTGCAAGATTGATTCATGTTGATTTTCACCATTTCCATCGGCTGTTGTATCATCTTTATTGGCATGATGTTCAGTAGTTTCTTTCGCTTTACTACCCAATTTCGATACAATTTTATCGAATTTCTTCGCTAAACTATTACTCATAACGTAGAAAATTGTTTATAAGATATTTGTTTTACGTGATAACTATTCAAACACGACGAGCAAAAATAAAGTATATGCCGTGTTGTTTATTGATTACCTATACATATGTAAGATTGTTTTGTGTGGTCGTATCTATTCGTCAATCTATTAAGAATAAAACACTAATGAAACGAATGCATGGGAAAAATGCGTAAAGGAAAGAAAAGTAAGAACTAAATATAGGTGTGAATCAGAGCAATGCTTTAGTGAGACAGTAGTGATCGTGATAATGTTGATAGGCGCAAGATAAAAATAGTGATAGGAAAATGAGTATAGAAGAAAGCAGGCAAGCAAAAGAGAAACATCTTTCTCTATATTCCCTGAGGCTACCAAGTAGCTTTTAGTCTCTCTTTTTTTTCTCTTTTTCTCATCCACGTTACTGATGCCTGGCTATATCCTTTTTTTTTATCGCCAAGAGGCTAGTAAGCCATCCATTTACCACCATCGCTCCGTTAGACGTTCATCTATCATCATTGGACAACAACAGGAAGAAAACCAGCATAGGCGCGATTTTTAACTTAATAATAGTAACACGACTGACATCGAAGATGAAGATGCCAGAGTAACAACATTATGAGGTTATGTTGTTAAGACTGCTTTTCTTCTTCTTCTTTCGTGTGAACATTTTCTCTATTCTAAATTCAAGTTCTATAGCATTAAAAGAAAATCTATTTTCGTATTCACGTCTCCAGAGCCTAGGAAAATACTGTGTTAATTAAAATTTTGACACTACTAATTATTAGAGAATTCTTCAATAGACTTTGGTTTTGATATAGTTCAAATAAGTTAATAACCTGCCACATATTAGATGCAAAGTTACTCAAAACACGAATAAATCTTATGATAAATTAAGATAGCTCGTCTATTAAATTCATTTGAAACGAATCAAACAGTAGATTGTAGCAAGACAATGAAGTCACTTACAAAAATAAAATTTGTCTACTGGGAAAATACTGTTTTAGGACACCAGAGAAGATTATCGTTTTAGATAGTTGATCTTATTTTTTCTACTTTAATTGCATGTCTCAATACTCAAGAGAATCTTCGATTTATTGTTTTCATGCGTGAATCAAGCAGTTTCATAATTAATCATGTATCGATTCACATGCGCGACATTATCACAAAATCACTGAAGTCGATAATTGATCGACATACACATTTATTTTATAGGCTTTACCACAACATAGAAAAATAACGACAAAACACCATAGAAACACATACTCTCAGTTTGTTTTGCTTGAACTAATTTGCTTCAACTTGCTGCACATAACAATGACGGAGTAATTATTGACACACAAAAGATAATATTAATTATTATTATTATTATTATATTTTAACATGTTTCTGCCAATTTATACTCATTTTATGTTAGAAATCAACAATCATACATGACTCGTGGAAACAAGCTGTGTATGCACATGACGTCAAAGCTGGCTATGCCATTTCCGTCTCATATCTCTCCCTTTCTAGTTTTTTCTTCTTTTTTCTTTTGACATATTCACTTAACTTCTATTGTCAGCTCATATTTGTTCAATTCATTTGATTTTTTTGTGGCTTTTTTTACAGTGACAGATGAAAAACATGGCCAAAAAGAATAAAACTGAAATGACTGCATTTCATCGTTTGACAGAAATATTTTCTTCAAAATTTAATAAAAATCTAATTTCCGTTCATCTTTGAACAGTTCTTGTCGGAAACCACGATCCATCGTGTTTTCATACCAACAATAAAAAAAACACGAAGCGTTGAATAACATATCAAAACTGCACCTGCCATCAGCAAGTTCCAACTGAATCAAGTCTTAAATTGTTGTTTTCTTTTTTTTTTAAATAATGTCCGATATGCACAAAAGCATACATTTTGATCTTAGGCAATAACAAAAAAAAACACAAGTTGGCACATTCAGATAGAAAAAAAGTAACGAAACACTGGAGAAAGCATGTACGATTGAAAAACAGAACCAAAAAAATTGACAAAAAAAAACTTTTTATATAATACATTGGAAAAAGTCGCCAATAATGATGACGATTTCACTCTTATCACAAGAAAAAAGGGAAGCAAACGAAAAAAAAAGGAACTTGAACAAGTCGTATAATCAGTGAAATAAAGAAAGAAAAGAAATCACAGATCTATGGAAATTTTTGTTTTGTTGTCAATCAAGCAAGCAGAGAACTGAGTAGTAATGGTAGTAGTAGTATAATAATAGGTCTAAGTCGCGTGCTTTGTTGAAATTATCAAGATGAAATATGTTAGGAAAGAAAAAAATCAAATATCTCATGCAAGAATAACAAAAAATGAACATTACATTTATTAATTGATTTTTCTCTTATATTTTGTTGGACAAAGCAAAGAGAAAAACTAACCTTGCTAACTTTTTTGTTTTGTGGTGTTGTTTGGTGTTACTGTTTTTTTTAGTTATTAAGAAGATAGAAGTCAATAACAAAGAGATTTAAGTTCGATTTAAACGAGGTGCTTGAATTGTGTAAGGTTGATAACGAGCAGAGGCAGAAGAAGCAGCTGCTCCTTGTGTGACGTTTCCTGCAGCATTGTTGTTTGATGTTCTAGTAGCTACACCTGCACGGTAAAGAAGAGAAAAGAGCAGACAAAAGCAGTGAGATATTATATATATATAAATATATACATCCAATTAAAAGAAATCAGTTTACGTTTGTCAGTCAATTCTACAGCGTTTACAAACAGAAGAAATCATATAAAAAACCTAATGCTCAAAAAACGAAATAAGAGAAATTAAGCGTATATTGTCACATGCCTTTTTTTTTGTTTCATTCATCATGGAATCAACGACATCAACGAGCCTAGAAGGAGAGATAATTGCATTCTATAGAGAGCTACTCTCACCCATAGCTAAACTGACTACCTATCTAAAGAAGCACACCACCTGCTGTTATTGCCATAAGATGATTATATTCTGATGAACTACACTAGCTTAGTTGTTGTTGTTGTTGTTTTTTTTTTTAATAATTGATTTAGTTAGAAAGTGCATTTAAGTGGTTTGTTTCAAAAAAAAGCAAGATTGTGTATGTGGCATGTGTTTGTTGATATTTTTTATGGATTATTTTTTTCGATGTTTGGTTGTTGTTTGATGGTGAATTATGTAAAGAGAAATCATGCGTTAAAGCAAAGTTTAGAGAGAGAATAAGAGAGAAAGATAAAAAGATAAACAGAAAATATGGAGGGTTATCATTCTAGCTTTTGACATGATTAGGAACTTTTTGATACATAGACTGATTGTGTGGATGATGATGTTGTTGAAAATTCTGAAGCTGCTGCTGATGATGATAATGCTGTCTGTCGTGGCAATAACAGCAGGTGCGTGATGTCGGCCGCAAAGCGGACGACAAGAGGTATAATGAGTTAAATTTGATACCTGCTTGGTTATTGACTGCTGGACCGGTCAGAAACGGAAATGCTATAAAAAGAAAGCTAAATTTTTGAATGACAATCTAAACTAAAATATCTTACCTGCTTGATTTGGATCGAGATGTGTTGGATATTCAAATAAATGTGTACCACCAGCAAGCATTCCTCCCATTTGATCAAGCGTTTGTAATGGACCGAATACTTGAACGAAATTCGGTTCACCATTGGCTGATGTCGTTTGAATAAGTGAACCTTGTGGAAGGGCCGTTAATGTTTGTTGATTTGGAGAACCAGTTGTCGTGAACATAGTCGGTCCTCCACCTGATTGAAGTTGCGCAGCCAGAAGATTTTGTTGCATACGCGGTGTTAATATCAATGGTGCACCTATTGGCATTCGATTATTTGGAAATTGCAATTGTTGTAGTTTTTTTTGAAATAGATTCGGTTCGCGATATGTACCATTAATAATAGCTAATTCCATTAGTTGTTTCTTTTTTAAATCATCTTCGCCTTCAGCCTAGAATTTTTTATAGATCGTTATTGAAATTATATTTCAACGACAATATTTTTTTTTAAATTTATATACCGCTGGTTTTAATAGTTTCATAATTTCTTCTTTAGCACGTTCTAATTTAACTAATGCACGATTTTCATGATCTTCACATTGTATTAATACATGAAGTTCTTCATCTAAATGTTCCCAATTAGCTTTGCCTCGATTTTGATCTTCCTATAGATGACAACATTTTTTTTTTATAGTGATGAAGAGAACGAAACGAAATTAAATGCAATCGTTTTCATTACTTTTTGCTTATCTCTCATTGATCCACGACCACGAACCATTATTTTACAACCAGTATCTGCCTCTAGTTGTTTTGCTGTCATTCCTCGTGGACCCAAAATACGGCCAACGAAATTGAACTACAAAAAATAAAGAAGAAAATAAAAGAATTAAAATTAAAAGAAAAAGAATTCTTAGTTATTTTTAAAAATTAAAACACGATCGAGTAGTGATATGAACACAAATTGGGTTGGAAATTAAATTATATATAGATTTAGATAAACATATAGTAATTTTATTAGCTGATGTTTTTTTTAATTGTTTTTGTTCGACATGTGACACGCACAAACGAACGATGGACGATATTTAGGTTATTAATATGAAAAATAAAACAACGAAACGATATGGATTGAGCCAAAAAACATGCAAATCAGAGTATGATTATATTAAAAAACAAATTACCGCACACACCCATGATGATCAATAGAAACTAGAAAAACAATTAAAAATTGTTGTTGAAAAAACAATTTAGGCAAAAAGAATTATTCAGGCATGACGATCCGTTGGATTAATTTATTTTAACGGATAAATATATTGATATTATTAGAGCGCCATTATGAATATACGCGAAATCAATCAAATAAGTAGTTTGTTGATTTGTGAATCAATGAGTCGATTGAAGTGTTGGGTATTTTTGATTTACTGTGCATAAGCGTATCAAAAGGAGATATATATATATATATAAAAGGATGTGCTCGTGATTTTTAGACAAAATATGTGTTGTTTTTTGTTTTATTGAATTGAAAGAGCAAGAAACTGTTTGGCCCAAAAACGAATTTTATTTACCGTATGTGAATATCGATGAACTAGTCAGTCTAGAGTATAAAATATTTTTGAAACTCTATCAGATCAGTATACTCGATAAAAGTATAAATTATGAATAATTGATATAGCGTATCTAAATTTTGAGTCATCTCATTCTGAAATATACTTTTTCAGTAAGTAATACATGCATTTGTTATGATTCATCGATAAAATAACAAAAATTATAAATATTTAGTATTATAAATATTAGGTTAGTAACCGCTATCTCATATAAACTCACTTCAGGATGTTGTTGCACCGGAATAAATACTTTTTCTTGAAAAATTTTCTTTTCTCCATTTGGTTCAGGTAATTCCATTTTTGGACGAGTACTCAAATTAAATAGATTCACTCGAACTTTATTGATTTCTAAAAATAATGCTTTAGTCAATAATATGTAACTAATCAATCAATTTACTGACCTTGATCAAGTAACCTTTCAATATGCATAAACATATTAGGCACCGCAGCTAATTGTCTTTTATCTTTCAATAATTGTGATAAATACTCTGGATTATCTGCCAACGATGGATCAGTTTGAGTTGACGGTGGTGACGTTCTATAACAAGAGATTAATTTTTAATGATGAATTACATTTTTTTTATTTACTTACGAGTTTAATGGCGATAGAGCTGGTGATGCCGACGTTGGAACTGGTTGACCCGTTTGGTGAATGGTTAATAATTGTGTAGGAACTTGAGGCATTAACATAGTTGGTTATTATTTTGTGTATTAAATATAATTTTTCGTTTGGCTAGTTATATGTGTACATGCACGTTGTAAAATGTTGTTCGTCACACGGATGAATGAATGAGAACGACGCAGGTAACGACAACGAATGAAATAAGCTAATAGAAGTAAAAAAATCACGTCTAATACGTGGACTACGAACAGAACAAGCGAATCGATTCGTTGATTGCTGTTGTTGTTGATGTTGATATTGTTGTTTGTAGAACAAGAAGCAGGAATAGAAAGCTAACGAAATGATGAGAAAAAGAGTAAAAGAATGACTGAGCAATGGTGACACATTGTATAGCGAATTTTTATTATGTTGATCTCTAATCTGTCTTCCGTTCGGTCGTCGCGATACAAACCAAACGTGGGCAATAGAGTGATTCGTCTTTCTCTTTCTTTCGTTTTCTCGCTGTCTCTCTCTCTCTCCCTTCTCTCTCTCTCCCTTCTCTTTCTCTCATTCTTCAGTCACACCATGTCCTTCTTTTGTCAAATACGAACATCGTCGCTTGCTGTGCACATATGTACAGCCGCCAAGACGACGACGACGACGACGACGACGACGATGATGATGATGAAAACTAAAATCTTCTCCGTTGCATTTTTTTTTCGTTTCTGCACATCGCCATACGTATGTGTATATATGTCTGTATATATATATATATATAAGCTCGATTTATTCGTTCACCCTCAGGTGAAAGAAAGGGAGAAAAAGCGTCGCACCTTTGCCACTATGGCAATTAAATTCATGTATATTCTTCCAACTCTCTTCTCTTCTTCGCTTCAGTAATTTTCTCTCTGTCTCTTTTCACTAAATAGCTCAGCCATGTATGCGTACTACTATATATGCACGGGAGATTTGAAAAGAAAATATTTACAATCGAAAAAGAAAAAAAAATGTAGGCTTCTCTTTCGCGTTTCGTTCGTTAATCATATGGTCTTTCTTCCTTTTCTCTTTCTCTCCATTCTTCTCTATTCACTGCATTTTACTCATACCTTATGTAAATGGAAAAAAGATTCGAGAGAAATTTTAATCGAAACAGAACAAAAGACTTCAACGACTCTTAATATCGGCAAAAATAACAAGAATGTTGAGTTTATTAAAAAACCATGTAATTCTCTTGCCCTTCTTCTGCTGTGCTGATTCAATGGGAGGCGACTCATGGATAAACTTATTTGCCTCCACTCAAATTTCATAATAAATAAAATGAAATCTAAAAGCGATTTAAGCATTTGTGAAAGAGTTTTTCTTTGTGAAAAATCAAACAATAACAGTGTGAGAGGAGTAAGTAAATAGCTCGATAAATATACATAAAAATGAGTTCATTATGCGACTTTAGTAACAACATCTCAATGGGTGGTAGCAGTTCAACCGTCACTCAATCTAATCAGAATCCACCATCTCAAGTACAGATTATTCAAGGTGGGAAATATCGTTTTGAATTTTTAACTAAAGAATATAACTAAACGCTTTTCGTTAACAATCAATTATTAAAATCTATTTATTCTATGTTGATTTGTAAGAAATAAAAAATTCAATTTAATATATATTAATAATAAGAAAATACTAATTCAACGAGAAACTTTATTGTTGCAGTTTAAAATAAAAAATAAACGAAGAACTAACGTTTGAGAATTTCAGCTATTATAATATAGTCGGTATTTGTACTTTAGAAGAAGTTCCTGAAAAACAAGTTCGCTTAGATTCGCAAGAAAAATCGGTTCAATTAGATCCTCAAGAAATATCGGTTCAATTAGATCCTCGGGAAACATCGGCTCACTTAGATCCTCAAGGAAAACCAGTTACAAATGACCCTCAAGGGAAAACTGTTGACGTCACTCCTCAAGAAAATCCTGATACATTCGATTTAACTAAATTAACCCTGCCAATTTCAATTAGTCATGCAAAAGCGGGCAATACAATATGTGCTAATGATCACGTATTGCTACTTCAAGATGGCTCAACAACAATAGAATTTCGTATACCTCCAAAATTTCAATCAAAAAGTATTCGATGGAACTATGGATTAATTCGAGATATTATTTGGTGTTCTAACTTGAATATATTTTTACTTTTAACCAAAGACAGTTTGTTGAGCATATCTCCAGAAGGAGTCGTAGTTCCAGCGAAAGCAACAACGAAATCTTTAGATGATTTTAAAATCAATAAATATCCGACAGTAAAACCATATGATCAGAATGTTGGATTTTGGCGGTGCACATGTATTGGTACATCGTTATACATCTGTTATTCGGGTATGCCTATCGATTAGATCACTATTCAAAATCGAATAGTTTTACAATGATACCATCTAAAATAGAAAAGACTATTGAGTCTATGATATAATCTTACGAAAGTAATAGAGATGAATTCTAACTGATCTATATCGACACATCCCCAAAAAGAACACTACTTATTGAAGATATTCTCATTTCAATCTTTCCTCAGTAAACGTAAATTTTCATCAGAAAGATACAAAAGTAGATAGATGTAATAATAATGATAGGATAACACGACGCTTCGTCTTTCATGCATAACATGATTATGTTTAGTTCGCACTATTAGAATATTTTTCTTACATCTTCTCGGTCGATGCTTTCTGAGTGCATATTTTAGAATGCCTTAAGGAGCTTCATCATAGCTAATGGCTTTTATATTTGTTTGTTTGAAAGAGTATGTCTAGATACAGGCTATGATAGAGTCTCTTTCATGAATTGCGGCGTATGTTAATATCGGGGCTTCGTTTTTTTGTAGACATTAAACTTAAAATTTTTTGTCGTCTCGTGAAAAAGTAAGAAATTGAAAAAAAACGTCTTTGCCATTGATCATTACTAGTTAGTTTTCTCACAAAAATTTCATGACATATGATCAAAACATTTATCATGCTTTTTTCACGACAATTTTAACACTTTCTGAATTTGTCATGTGATTCGAACGTTCGTGAACTTTGATCATTTTTCGAAAGAATACACATCAGTTGACATGAAATTAAGCGTGCCATTCGTTTTCTAGAATTATTCCACATTAAATAAATCCATTCGATGCAATCAATAATTTTTCTCATGAAAAATGACTAGTATTGTTTTGCTGAATAGGATATGGTACAGTCATCGATGAGTATTCAATGGGAGCAACTTCATGTAAAATTGTGAATCGTTTTATACCACCAAACACATGTGCTGTATATGAAGGTATCTGGTGTATTCGTTCTCAAGAATCTACAAATCTATTAGGTTTGACCGTCATGGACGCCAGAAATAATCAATGGCGTGTAGAACTTCGTAGTGGTAAGGACTGCAGTATTGTATGGAAAAGTGTCTTACCTATACAGTTCGGCGATTGTGAAATAACTATTTTGCCGAATGAAGAATGGCTTATTGTTAATTCGTGTGGAATACGTTTAATTCAGATAGCTAATCAAAAAGTAAAAGCCGCTGTAGAATATGAACGTGAATTAAAAAATGCTGTTGGAATTGGTAAATCATATTTTGCTATTCGAACAAAAAATACCGTTGAAATCCATCGAATGAAACAATTAAAATAATAAACAGATTTGAAAATTATTGTTTCATGTAATTTAAATTAATTTCTATTGATTTCGATGAGTCGGTTTCATATATGTATTTTGTTTGTATTATAAAAATAAAATTATGAAACTAAATCGATTACGGGCTCATCGAATTCGTGACGTATTATTGTTTGCTCCCGAGCAAGATGTAATGAACGGTGAGATCAATCGATGGAACTATTGTTTCTCGTCATATAGAAGCAGTGTCAGTTCATATGAATTTATTCATGCCAAGATAGAACTTAATTTAAGGCAAATATCTATCAATTTTTGCTCTCCTGTACTAGCTGTGTTGGTGTCTATCTATTGTGTGAAACTAAGTTTTGGTTTTATGTCGAAAAAAACTAAAAAATGATCTCTATAGTGTGTATATATTAAATCTATATCAAGTAAAAAGAGTTTATTACTGTTGTTATCAACTTGATGTTTTAAAGATATGTATTGTTGTTGCGATATTTCTATCAACAAAAAATGGCCTCTCTTATTCAGCAGAGAGAAATCTGATATTTTTTGGTTTTTTTTACAATACAGCGAAATGTTTTGAAAGAAATAAACATGTGAAATGAAACGTTAGACATTGCCGTTTAAAAGTAATCCAAATTACTTTGCTTTACTTCATGATATTTATAAATCCTTGAATGCAGTTTGAGTTAGTGTTAAGTAATCTAATATGCATGAATGTATTTCTACGCATTTCTGAGATTTATTATTTTTAATGGGAAATTCATAAAATGAAGTTACAATGTTTCTCGAAGATAAAATATGATCTTTGGCTTCTTAAAATGCTTTCAAGTACTTAGAAGAAGTAAAACTGAGTACTCGAAGGATTCGTTAAGTATGGTTAAGTTGCATGAATCACATTGAAACATTCTACAAGTAGAGGTTGACTCACTGATAAGCTGATTGATATGGATTCTCAAACCTGCTTCAAAAAATCAAACTGAAAATTCTTTCGAACAATCATCAACATGTTTTGTTTTGAAATCTCTAATGAGATATTGATCAAAATAATCAGATGCATGGTGTCGATAATGTCTTTTCTCTATCGTTTCATTGGTTAGATTATACGTGTTTCAGTTCTTTGAGTAAATAAATAGTTGCACAATTATGATCAAGGTTGATGACAATTAATCAATAAACATATCGGTATACGGAAACTATAGGAAGTGTACTGGTCAAAAGCAAGTAATATTAATGTCTGATGAAATTCTCTCAACTCTTCTACGATTATCTGTTGAACTGGTTTATTGCGTTCTGGATAAACTCGATGAATTTACAATTTTATGCTCAGTTCGAAACGTACGTGTACGACTTAACTTGATCACTTATACATATCATCGGTATCAAGTAAATTTGATCTACATCATTTGCTAGAGTAAAAGTTCAACGATAAAATTTGAGTTAAACGAATACTCTGTAGAAAAACAACTAACACGGTATAATATGCGCTTGTGATGTTTCCAGAGATTTCATGGAGTTTTGTGCGTTTTCTATCCTATTGTAGGATATTATAATTGGATCTACGTATATATTAAGAATCAAAATTTTGTCCTACTCACAATAGTTCTGGAGTCAATTGCACAATTCTTACAATTAGAATTAATTAGTAAGGCGAATTCATTAAAAAGACAGAGCGAATATAATATAAAGAAACTAACAAACTTAAGAAACTCCAGGAACATGATAAAATCACAATAGTTGAATATCAATAGATCTTGTGGCACAAGAAAACAAATAAAAGATGATTTTCATTTTCATTTTACTTTCGTACGTATTTTAACCGCTACAAAAAATAAATCGTTACATATTGATGTTTTCTTGAATAGAAAATCACGCACGAGACGAATAACATCTACAAACTGCTAGCTTACTTAGATCATAATTCGTCCCACGTCAAAATATATCTTTTAAATATCAGTGTGACGCTAGCACGACAGAGCTAGCTCGATGAAACAGAGATTCAACTATAAGTCTTCTCAGAAGTATTGCCGGCCCATAAAAACCAGACCATTCGACGCAGAATTTAATTCTGGATCGGATGGTGATACTTTTATTCCCCGGCAATACTTAGGAACAAATTTTACCTACACCTTTGTTTTGTTCTAAANTAATTTTGGTGTTCAGACATTCTAGAATGACTCATATATCCCATGCACTTTTTGCAGTACACATAACTTTCGGATGAAATCCGAAGTTTCCACATTTATTTCTAAATAGGACAAGAAAAACCGGATAGAATTTTTTCAAAGTATTGCCGGGGAATAAAAGTATCACCATCCGATCTAGAATTAAATTCTGCGTCGAATGGTCTGGTTTTTATGGGCTGGCAATACTTTTGAGAAGACTTATAGTTGAATCTCTGTTTCATCGTGCTAGCTTCACACTGATCTTTTAAATCAAATCAAAACATGACTAGCATGATAATACATGGATGAGTTTGATGCAAGCTTTCAATTATTTTCATTTGTTGCTCCACTATAAATGTAAATATTTTTTCTATTGAAACATGTCGATTTTGGATTTGTATCAGTTAGTGCACAGCATTTGTCGTATTCTTACATCATAAGTTGTTAGTTAAAAATTCTAGTACTTAGTAGAAAATGCGTTTTTCTTTCGTGCTACGAATAGACATTATGGTCGTTGAATTTTTTCTTATTTCCTTCCAGAATTTCATCTTTCAGTGGTTTGTATCGTCAACTTACATTGTTGTGAAAGAATAGAAATTGTTTCATAAGTAAATAGCTATTCAATAAAAGGTTTACTCTCCATTTTAATTAGAGCCTGAATTATGAAAGTATACAAGGCTATTTAACTTGTTGACAAAGTCTACATGTCGAAACTTCACTAGAGTTAAATTCATAATAGGGAAAGAAAAATACTGAATTATGAAGTATCAAAATCCTTTACTAGAACTATTTGAATTTCTATGGCCATTTCCTAACTCACCGTCTCGGCCTGTGATACAGACATTTAGAATACTCAACGTTGTTTCGAAGAAAATGGGTAGACGTGGGATGCAGCATTTTGCCAATACACAGCAACAATCGAGGGGAAAACAGCAGACTCCAACTCCCCGGAGTCAGGTGGAATCAAGTGGAGTCATCCGGAATCACATGGAGCCAGCTGGCTGCATAGAATCACATAGGATCCCAGGGAGTCATACCTAAACACGAGGATTCGCACGGAGTCTCTTGGAGTCACAGTAAGTATCGCAAAATCCCTGCTGATCTCGAGAAAACCATTATAGAAATGGGAAACTGATACGTTTTTACTTTTTCTTGTCATATGTATCCTTATGTAAAATAGTTATTAGTCTCCTTCTTTATCGGAAATTGTCCAAAAAAACCTCCCATAACAGAACAATATTACTCAGTACCCGAAAGTAGAATTCCCAAAGCTGAACTGTTTATTCTGTAATGGGAATGCAACTTCCGGATACTGAGTCATACTGTCAAGAGGGAAATGAGAGACTCCATCTTCTTGGAGCCAAGTGGAGTCAAGCGGAGTCAGATGGAGTCATGGAGTCTGCTGTTCCCCCTCCCCCCTTGGCAACAATTCGTTAAAATAATATTTTCAAGTCAGCACTCTTCCCTATTTCCATTTTTTATTCAGTTCCTCAACACCGTCTATCTTGATTCGAATCAAATTACAGGCGTAGAAGTACAACATCTAGCTTGGGTTCTTACAAAAAATAAAATAAAACCTTTTGTTAATCGCTAAACTCTAAACTATCAATATTCTACTCACAGACAATTACTACGCGCAATCTTCATTTGAATCAAATAGGAAGTGAAGGAGCGAAACATTTTGCTAATATTCTCATTAACAATAACGTAAAATACACTTTTCTACTGGCATCGCTTTCTATGATCATAGATTTGCGTACACACATTCAATCTATTAAATCTTGCCGTGAATAGGATCGGAGACCAAGGTATACAACATTTTGCAAATGCTCTCATCGAAAACATGGCAAAATAAAAATCTTTTACTATTCGAATCATTCAACATGTTGACGTTTCAAATAGGCACTCACTAAATTGGATCTGTCTGCGAATCAAATATGATTTGAAGGAACATACTATCTTGGCAATGCTCTAACTCAGAATAAGATAAAAGATTAAAATAAAATCATTTGAATTTTATTGATCTCGATGTTTCATTCAGACACTCACAATATTCGAATTTGACTCGAATGGAATCGGTGACGTCGGTGTACTGTATCTTTTGCTGAGGCTCTAATGGAAAAAAAACAGTAAAATACCATTTAAATCGCTTACAGTTATGGTATTCTATTACTGTAGACGCTAATAATATTTGGTCTTGAACAGCATTCAATCGGTAATCAAGGTACACAGAACCTAGATGGGGCTCTCACAAAAATGACGTAAATGAATTATTTTCAAATCATTTTGTTCTTAACAGTTATGAGCTTTCACACAGACATTGACTACCTTCAACCTAAATGGGAATCAAATCGGAACCGAAGGAACTAGACATCTAGCCCATAGTCTCTCCCACAACAAGGCATAATATCGTTTTCATTTTCTACACATCATTCATTTATAAACAACCTTGACTTCTATTTTTGTTTATAAAGACACTCACCACGTTAAACATCCGGGGCAATACCATCGGCGACGAAGGAGCAGAGCATCTTGCCGGTGCCTTGATTTTTGTTTTTCGCAGGCACTCATCACACTCGAACTAAGTTCATTCGAAATCGGATTATATGGAGAATATTGTCTAGTTAATGTACTCGCAAACAAAAAGGTAAAATAGTATCGTGCTCCTCTGCGCAGGAGTCACTACCACTTATGTTTACCAGTAGTCACTCATTATACTCTATGATTGATCAGATCAATTGAAATGGAAAATTTTAAATCGTCTCGTTCCATAAAAGTCCTTCGTGAGCTTGTTCATAAATATCAATTTAATTTCAAATTTAGAAAATTTCTAATCACCAAAAAAATGTGACCGATTCGAACTGATAGCTAAATAATAGATTCATTTGTTTCGTAAAAAGTTAATTATTCTAATAATTAAATTTGCACTAAAATGAACTGTACTATTTCTATTTTAAAGCTTTCATCTCTGTACTACACGTAAATGATACTCTTTTTCTATCAAGCAACAGTGCTGATGATTCTACACCAGTTGTATATGTTCTATTCGATAAATTGAATTCTCCCGATTTTCCGTGCGTAACTTCATCATATATACTAAAATTAAGTATAGAATATAAAATATCCTCTCGTTCAATTATTGTTCTTGGAACATCCGATCTCGAATATCGATATTACGTTTATCACGATGAGTTTCAAATTCAAACGTTTTGTCAAACTTGTTCTATAATTCGTTCTTCAGAATGAATTGGAGCAAAATGATATATTAAGGTATGGCAGCTAGAGACGTGCACAGGGCAGGACGGTCCTGTTGTCCTGATGCCCTGTACTGTTCTGCCGCCCACCAGGACCAAGGTAGCCAACAGGACAGGCAAGGACAGGAGAATAAATTATATCCTGTGTTGTAGCACGTCTCTAATGACAGCATTCATCTGATACTCAACTTTCGAAATTAGCCATGTATCTTCTTTTTATAAGTAACGAGCTTTTTCAGAATTTCGTATCATGAAAATAAATGAATCAAAAATCAATTGAATTTATTGCGTATGAGATTCCATTGAAAGTCTTCCATAAAACTGTAGAATGTGCTTCATATACATGGAACTTACTATTATCCGTTCCAGAAGTCGAGGTAGTCGGTTGTTTTTTGAGTAAAGTTTGATAGGAACAAGATAGAGACCTGCGGTTTTCACTGTTTGATAGTCAAGATCCAAACACATATTTGCACAAGCAAAATCTTTTCTAAGGAAAAATCTGAAGATCAAATTTTCAGAGGATCCCTGAAAAACCACTCTGGATTTCTGGTAACTGTTATAGAAGTCTATAGATTTTCTTACACATTCGGGATCAGCATTAAAAGCTGAGCCGATCAATACATATTTCGAATCTTTCACGAACTTTTGTTTTCGTCGAGAAATTCACCCCTGAGGTCTCGTTGACGGGTCGGTCAAAAAGTAAATTCCATCAAAATGCTGTTTTTGTTGATTATTCATTTACCATTTTGGTTTCTAACAGCATTCTACAAACTTGGAACCTGCTCCCTACTGTCCAAATGGAATTTTTCTGGAGTTCACTTTTTGACCGACCCGTGAACGAGACCACAGGGGTGAATTTCTCCGCGAAAACAAAAGTTCGTGAAAGGTTCGAAATATGTATTGGTCGGCTCAGTTTTCAATGCTGATCCCGAATGTGTAAGAAAATCTATAGACTTCTATAACAGTTACCAGAAATCCAGAACGGTTTTTCAGTGATCCTCTGAAGAGTTGATCTTCAAATTTTTCCTTAGAAAAGATTTTGCTTGTGCAAATATGTGTTTGGATCTTGACTATCAAACAGTGAAAACCGCAGGTCTCTATCTTGTTCCTATCAAACGTTATTCAAAAAACAACCGACTGTCTTGACTTCTGGAACGGATAATAGTTTCATGAATGTCGACGTTATACATGTGTAAAAGTATTTTCTAGTCAAAGATTTTTTATCTCATATAATCAAACAAATTTTGAACAACATTCTTAAGAAGAAATATTCGAAAGTCCACACACAAATAGTAAACAGCAATTGAATTAATCGAAATACACACATTGATACAAAAAAGAAAACAAAAAACATTTCGTCCGCATTGATTACTGTTCGCAATTAAATTTGAATTATCTGTTTACAAAGATACCGTTATTGTTTCATATAAATTTCGTAGAATTAATTCGATCGAACAATATCCGAGAACATTTTTAAAGAAAACATTTTGAATTTCTGGTGACGAAACTGCCCGTAAATTAGTTAATAGAGATTTTAATTGTTCGAAACGTTGTAGTTGAAGTGGATATGTACGACGTACGTGAGTTTCTAATGCTATCAGATGATCACCAAATAAAGTATGTCCATTCATATTATTATTATTATTCATGTTTGGATCTACTAAAAAATACATCAACAAAAATGAATAGTTTCATGTTTATATGCTTTTTCTAAATGCATACTCCATCGACAAAGTAATAAAAGTTTCAAATGAAAATATTCAACACAATCAAGATTCATTTGTTGAATACGATTATAAATATCTTGCATTAAATATAGATTTTTTATATCAATTCCATCTGTATTCAATCCTAAGCCATTTGATCGGTTCGCTGAAGAAAATCAGATTTTTATTTACTATGATTTTTTCTCTATCAAAAGAAAAACTTTACCAGAATGAATTAAATTTATCCATGGTACATCAAATTTATATTCACATAAAGTTAAAACAAATAGCTCATGCCAACAACGAAGAAGACTAGCAATCTTAAATGATTTTTAAACAAAAATATATTTTCAATAAAAAGTCAGTATGAATTTCAAACCTGATCTTTTACGCTAATCATCTGAAATTCTTTTAATGAACGTAACCAATGAACCATATAAAAAAGAATACGAGCAGCCATTTCATAAACATATAAATCAAGTTTAAATAATGGTGTTGATTGAACATGATTATTAGACAAAGGTACTTGTGTTGCCGTAGGAACATATGTTGACTAGAATTTTTTTTACTTGAATTTTAAACATCTATTCAAATGAATATCGAAGATTTTTACCTCTGGCTTAACACCAAACGAGCCTGTTATATGCATATGTCGATCGGGAAAGGATTGTCGAGGACCGCGTTCATTTTGAACAGCTAGTTTTTTGTTTTTGTAAAATACAAATTAGTATTATTCGATGATAAGAAATTGAAAGTTCTGCTATCAGGTAAAAAGTATCAAACATTGAGGCCACTTTTGAGATCACAACAACGAATCAGTCTTTATATTAACGATGTCAAGCTAGATCATTTTCTATTCAAAAGACGATATCTTACACTAGTAAATGAACATCATAATTACGGACTCAATCTATTGTATTTTGTTTGATTGATAGAGTAGTCTTTCTGTTATCTCTACATTAAAGTTCATGAAGATCATTGAGAACTAGTTCTATCATTAGTAATACTGAGACTGTACCAGGCAATCACGGTTATTCTATACTTCGAAATTATAACCAATTTAAGTAAAGAATCAAAAACGAAACTCAATTTTAGAAACTCTAGGGAAAAGCTTTTCAGCGCAGCCCCATTGGGGCTAAAATGTGGAACTCACATATTTCGGTCAGTTAGATACTGATCAAATAGAAGTTTTATTTTTTCAGTGTAGTAAGATCATATTTTGTTCAAAAATAAGATAATAAAACCTTTTTAACATTTGAAGCTTTTTGAATCTATCAATAGGAAAAATTACTAGAGAGAACGTATGAAAAACTTTTTGTTTAGAACATGTCGGTATGCTGAAGTGTTTAGTGGTTTCACTGAGAAATATTCTGAATGATAATAGTTTAAACAGTATTTAGGATATAGCTATCAATATTGTTGAGAAATTTATATTTTTTCGTATTATCAGGTGAGAAATTGATACATTTTTTCATACACGAAAATTTGATAAAAGCTTCCCAGTGGATGGAAAAGTAGCGAATTGTAAATACACTAAAGTGGATTCAAGCTCTAGAATACGGTATCTGTATGAGAAAAAAAAATATTAAAATCTTCATCTGTTTATTGTAGGTGGTAGAAGTAACGAGTGTAATGGTAGCATAAACTAGTTGCTAGCTTCTGTAGCGGTAGCATACACTCGTTGTGAACGTCTTTAATAATAATAAAAATATGCGCTATTATCGTAACTATGGATTATAATAATAAAAACGACAGATTTTGATGATTAATTAGAGACTAAATGCTAATTATAATGATTTCTAATTAGTGAAACTAGATTTTTATTAGTGATGTGAGTAGTGGTGAACATAGGCAATCCATCTGTATAAAAATCTTATCTAATTAGTGCATCGAAGTGTTAGTTTTTTTTATGTTTTATGTCTTTAATGGGGAGGGGGGGGGTGGGGTACAGGGGAGCCGCAAAAATCTCACAATTAAACTTACACTCACTATTTTCTTCGAAAATATATGTGAGTTCCACAAAAACCAAGACGGGGCTTCTGTTGGTCATTATAGTTTATCAAGTTTCATTTGCAGGCAAAAGAATTCGAGTTTATATACTTTTAATCCAATAGCAAAATTTCTAGCGAATATTATTTATGAATCCTACCATCTTTATTCATGCCTGCATCAAGACATCGTCCTATGAAAACAAAATTATTGACTATGAAAGAAAAATAGAAATAAATGACTACGAACGATAACGGCAAGCTCGACATTGATTTCGTCGATATTTATCCACAACACATTTATTTCGATTTTTACAATGATAAATACGATTGCGCCGTACTGACCGCTTGAAAAAGCCAGCACAACTAAAGTTAAACAAAAAAGTTGAGAAATTCTAGTTCTTTTCCAATCAATTGCATCCTAAGAAGTTATTTCAATCGAGGAAAAAATCTTTTTTTTTCTTATTGGTTTTCCTTCAATCTAAGGTCTCTCATGATCGAAAATCGAGTTTGACTTGTTAACATAAGACGTCAAGAAAAAAACACATTGCTTAAAATATTCATTTTTAACATTATAAAGTTTTTTTTCTGCCAATTGCAACTCTTTAAACAAGTCGGAGCAGTATATTTCAAGGGTTGAGTCAGTCATTGTACGACACACTTCTTATGAATCTCGATAAGTGCCTACTACTAATGTATGAACAAGACGTGTGTACATACATACACACATCGTTATACAAAAAAAGAAAGAAGAAAAAGGTGAGAATGTCTTCAAGCGATTTCGTTTTCTCTCAACATATCGATGTTTAACAACATCATCTTACAAGAACAACATTACTAACCTATTCGAGTTTAAAAAAAGCAATAGAACACTTATTTCACATACCCATCGCATGCATATACGCTATAATGTTTGCCAGATGAATTGTCGTGACAAACTGAACATGGAACATTATACAATATTCGACCTATTCATGCGAAAATTAGTTAAAAAGAAGAAAAAAAACAAGTATTTGGAAAACGTTCATTAAAATAGAAAATCAGATTAGTTCACATACTTCCACTCATAGTGCCAAATAAGTTTAGAATAATTTTGTACGTGATAGAATGACTTTCGACTAAAAGTTGTGTGCTCTCTTTTTTTTCTGCTTTCACCTACTATTATATTATACTTCAATAACAACACCAACTTCGATTCGATTTCAAGTGGCAGTATGTTCGACTAAATAACCAATCGGAGAGCGATGCGCGAGCTATGAAAAGGATTCAATCAGGCAAAAAGGTAAATATGAGAAAGAGAGAGAGAGAGAGAGAGAGCGAAAAAAGGAGACATATCGGTTGCTGTTCCGACTCGTGTCATACAAATTGTGACGAAAGGGACGTAAAGAAAACACAAACAAATTGAAGCTTTTTTTTCGTCTTTGATTTTCGTATGTTACTTATAAATCAATAATATTTGATGACTTCATCAATATGACGATCTTCGATTTTTCTTTCTTTTTTTTGATCCATTGATCGGAAAATTGAAATTAACGACGATGTTTCAAATATAAACAATGTTTCAAGATGAATTCTAATAAAAATGTAAAAGAATAACAAAAAAAAATACAGTTTCAGTCTTTCAGCCGTCGATTTTTAATCAAATATAATCTTCAAAATTTTGGGAAAATGTTTAAATCGACTATAATATACACCTTACAGAAACAACACTGCTACATAAGCAGTTTTTTCTCTCCTACAAAGTTTGTTTTTGTTATTACTTTGTTGATGTCGATATAGAGTTTTTCTACCTGACCTAAAACAAAAGATTTAGTAGTCCAATTTTAATCGCAGAATAATCTTTAATGAAAATCATTCATTTTATTTCCAAACATCAACCTTAATTTCAGAAAACATAAAATAAAATTTTTCAGTTCAGATTAATTGTATTTTATGTTCTAGAAATTTTTCGATGAAAAGAATATTTTATGTTTTGGCTGATTCGTATGCTTGAATTTGGTTGCTCATCTACTGAGTCGAAAAAAACAAATTCACCAATATGCTAATGGTTGTTATACATAAACAAAGTTTGCAACAAGAAAAACGAAGAAGAAGACGCGTGCCGATTCATTGATGACATTTGTAAGACTTTTCTCGTTACACAGAGATTGTTTCTACTGCGAGTGCCAATCTCAAGAGTATTACTTTTATTCTGTAATCAACACATTTCAAGCGATAAAACAAATAAAAAGAAAGAAGCACAATACGCTCATTTAATTTAGGCGCAGTATGATTGTCGGACACAACAATAATAATCATGAGTAGAGAAGACCGAAAACTTTTAAAAGTAGGGGTTTTATCAAACCTATGGCACGGAACAGCATGTAATCTAGGTCACTATATAGGGTAATTATGTGTTAATCAAATGCTAAAAAAGAAATTCTTCGTCTGTATATCTTTTAATTTTGAACGAAATTGATCAGGTGAATGATGTAAAAGAAATTCTTAGTAGTGTTATGATGATATGATGAGTTTGAATTAAAAACAGAGCTACGTCTTGTGATTTTCAATTTTTTACTTGAGGATTCAAAAGAAATAGTTGTCGAATGAACAATCGAGTTGGTAATTCAACTGAGAACTAAACGAATTTCCAGATAGCCATGCATCGGTAAGATATTTGCAGATCTGATAAATAAAGAAATAATTCCATGCTAACGACTCAAGGACTTGAGGAAAATGTCATGATATTGGTATGCGAGAGAGAGAGAGAGACATATAGACAGACAAGAAATATCCTTTTTTGTCAAATCAATATTCTGTAGCGAACATAACGGATTTACCAATCGAATCTATAAATTCTAGACACTTATTCTATATTTGGTATTCAGAAAAAATGAATTGAACAAACTTCAAGGCCTAAAACCATTTTCTTAATTAATTTTATTTATCTGTCAATATTCAGTAACAATAACTCGTATATTACAAGCCTTGAAGACATGAAGCATTGATAAATGATTATCTAAGTAACATTTATAATAAGCATGTATAAGTCTACTTCTTATCAGTTGAATGTAATAAAAATATCTTATGCGAAGATTCATTTGAACAAGTTTAGGCCACGAAAAACAAAATGGCTACTGTCGTACATAGAGAGAGAGAGTGTGCGTTTGTGTATAGTATTTCAATTTTGATCATTTCAATACTACTTTACATTCTATTGGTAATTTCTCATTGAGACATCACGAAATCGATAGATGGCCACAGTCAAAAACAAATATTCGCCATAGACGAACTATTTATCTTATTCAAAATCGATACGACACAGCGATGAATGAATCCCGTTCGATTGAAAATTGTCTGACGGGAACCCGGTCGCCGGTACCAGTTAACTATAACAGAGATCAATGATGAGTTAAAATAGTATGCATAAGGAAACGGTTTTAACACTCACTAAATAATCAGGAGCGTAAATAGAGAGAAGAAAAACTCCTCTGCTTTTGAAATATTCCTTCAACGATAGTAAAAATATAATCTATGCTTATATTGTGCCTCCTCCCCCTGCTTTGAGAGCTGAGTTACTGCGCCCTTGTAAACAAATTACTAGACAACATACAATCAGATGGCTTACAATCGTGTCGAGTTCTAGTTGATTACCAATCGTCGTCTACGATATAGATTCTACTTATTCAATGACACGAATTTGTTAGTAGTGTGTTATCACATGATAAGCAGTATAATTTTCATAAGAATAAAATACTAAATAAATTTCATTTATATCGATGAAAAAAAAGAAGAAAACTATGCTTGTTAATTAAATGAAATTCACTTCGTTAATCTGTCATTATCTTTTTTGTTTTGTACAAGGAACTCACATCTTCTGAGAGTTTTACAGAATAGATTTTTCGTTATAAGATGCAGACGAGTCGTAGAACAAAGAGAAAAGAAAAAAAAAGAAAAGTTAACATCTAACAACAACAATATAATGAACATATGAATGCAAGACGAAAACGAAAAGAAATAGTATCAAGACTAGACACAAAGAAGAGGAACAAAGAAGAGAGATTATTTATCAAATATGTTCTAAGCAAATGGAGGTACTGCTGGATGATGTACAACAGATGATGCGTCCGAATTAAAATAATATGAGTCAAAAGATACGGGTGGACGTTCATATGTTGTACCAGGTATATAATTTGTTTTAAGATTATTTTCTACGCCGTTCGCATAATAATTTGATGTATCAAATGGTGATGCTGTTGATTGTTTCATACAGTAGTTTGCTGTCATTTCATACATATCTGCTGGTGTAGTTGTATTATAATCGATTTGATGTTGAAATGATTTTGAATAATTTGATGGTGATGATGAAGAAAATGATACAGACATTGACGGAGGTGGTGGTGGCGGCGGTGCTGCTTGATAGTAGCCATGATGTTGTGGATGATGATGATGATGATGATGATATGAACGAATAGATAAAGATGAATTTAAATCATCTTTTTCAGTTGTTGATGTAGCCAATGGAGAATTATTTAAGTCTATACCACAGCCACCTCCGTAGCTTGTTCGACTTTTGCCATCTTTTTTATCTTTCATTCGACTAGTAGTATAGTAAAACAAAAAATGATTGATAAAATAAAGAAAGTAGAAATAGTATTTTAGCAAACGCAAAACGACAGATGTTTAAACGTACCGATTTTGAAACCATATCTAAACAAAAACAAAATAGCAAGATGTTTCTTTTATTTCGATAAAGAAATCAAAAAAAGCTATTTACCTTAATCTATAATCGACGAATTGAAATTAAAATAAAATAAAAAATAAATGAATTATTTTTGAATTTAAATTATATATTGTCTATGCTTACCTGTCTTTCAGTTAAATTAAGTGCTCCTGCTAGTTCAATCCGTCGTGGACGATTTAAATATTTATTATAGAGAAATTCTTTCTCAAGCTCAACCAATTGAGCGCTTGTATAAGCTGTACGAGCTCGTTTTGATGGTGTCGAATTGCTTTTATCTATGACAAAATATTTTTAAAAAGAAAATAACTATCTTAACTATTGATCAATAGAAAAGAAAACCTTTCTTCTCCTTTTAGCACAATGACAAGACTCAATGTTCTGTATCCTATTCGCTCAATGAGAAAGCGGCGGTATTGGATGAATAATGATATGGTCATTTATCATCGTCAATAGTAAGAGATGCGAACGGGCGCGCGCGCGCGCGCCTGTCAGTAAACGAAGATGAAAAACATGTATAGGTCGAGACAAACAAGCGGTTAGATCTTTTCTCAGTGATGAGACAACCAAATAACTATTTCTATATAGGTTCCTCGATGTCTAGATTGTTTCTTCTTAATCAAATACATGTTCATGCTTAATTCTATTGAGATTTGTAAAATGGATGACACGCGAACAAAACTAATATCATCACCTGATGGCAATCGGATAAATTGATCAGAATAAATTAAATCATTTTTTACGTGTTTGCGATGCGTGTCGAACGAAGGACACCTTAACATTATTTGCTGTTTCGTTTCTTACTGCTAGACCGATGAATTTTTCTCACTTATTTACGTTCTATTTCTCAGAAAATCGTTGACCCTTGAAGACTTAACACATCTCTTCGTTTCTCATCTTCGCACTTCATTCACAGAAAACAAAAACAGATTTTTCTTCTCTACCAGATGCTGACGAAGATGATGATGTTGATGTAGTGTTTTGTCCTGAATGATTTTTCGAACCATTTTTACTTTTATTTGTTCCATGTTTTTTATCACTCATCCATGCATAAATTTCTTTAGGTTGAGGTGGCGTTGTTGTTATTGTTGTTGTTGTTGATGATGATGAAGTAAATTCATTGGATGGTGATGCCGAATTTTTACCAGACATCGATCGAGATTTCGGTGTTGACGAAGGAACAGTTTGAGGTGTTACACCTGTTGGTAATGGACTAAGTTTTGAATCAATAGTTGTTTGAGAAATTCCATTACAATTTATTCGATTTGTATTATTTGTATTATTTATAATTAGACTGACATTTGTATACGAAGTTGATGGTAAATTCATATAATAATCAAGTTGTTGTTGTTGATGATGATGAGTTTCCCATGACATCGGTTGCAGTTGATGTTCGTTTTTTACCATTATTTTTTCCAAGGTGAACCCAGAATCTATTTACGTACTAATGGTAATGATGAATAATTTCGACAAATAAGTTTTTCGTACTGTTTGAAATAATTGTAATTTAAATGAATATATCGAAATATGGTTAATGGAATGTAATGTGGGCAATTAATTATGAGTAAGAGAAGAGACGATTTTTTCCCTCTTGCAATGAAAAAGAATATATATTCTATATTATGGACGAGTAATTTATTTTTTTCTTCGTGCTCTCTCTTTCTCTTTCGCTCTGTATCGTTTATGTGCGCAATTAATTCTTATTCGATAAAAAAAGAACCCCAATAACAACCAATCAATAGAGAGAGAACAACAAAAAAAGGTGATATTCTCTTTTTTCTTTCGAAAGATTATTCGATGAATGTCGAATTTTCTTATTCTCTCTTGTCCTTTAACTTGTCATAGTTTTGAAAGACATGTAACATTTCAATACAAGAAAAAGTAAAAATTAACGATAAAATAGAGCTCTTGGTATTTTTTTGAGCAAAAAGAAATATTATGAATGTCTTTTTGCCCTTTTTCTTTTATTGAAAATTGTACACGAAACAAAAAGAGCTAAAGAATTGGTGGGTTTCTTTTTATTTTATTTTATTTTCATTGTGTTTTCATGGTCTATAGGCAATGTTGATTGACGAGGAGGGTGTTTCTAACTTGCCATGTTTGATTTATGGCATTCAAAAGCATATTTTTTGTTCTATATTACCTGTTCGAAAGACAGATATAATTACCTTATTTCGTTTGGTCCAACCAAACGCTACGCATGATCAAAATGCATTTATTATCGTTGACAGAAGTTATTATTGCCTTTTTTTTTCTCTCTCGATATCATGTTGTGCGTATGCAGTGAGGGAAAAACGAGCAAAAGTAAACGCCTACGATTGATCGAAGTATTATTTTCAATGTGCATTCTTGCAAAGAGTTGTTCATTTGTATTGTAATGCAAATTAATTACAACACTTGTTAATTTTTATTGAGTTTATTGAATAATTGTTGTTTTTTGATCTTTCTATCTTCACACAATTTGAGAAGGATATTGAAAAAAATATATAAAAAGAAAAAAATTCTTTGCTCTTGACGTTATATCGGTTAATACAATGATGACAAGACGGAAGTGATGAAAGATTTCGATAGGCGCACACAGACAGATATTCCGAGAAAGAACAAGGTGGTACACATTATTCATTTGTCAAAAGAAGATGAATGATACCAGGCTTGTTAGAGATAAATCAGATAAAAATCTTTCTTTGTCTTACTATGCATGATTTCCTTCTTGTTTTGTTTTTCTTCTCTGTAGTTATTTGTTTATTCAACATTTCTTATTTCTTTTGACGTTCCATTACATTCATTCGGATATCCGGATGATGTCACTTCCAATCAAGCTAAAAGTTTTTGAGAGACACACACAGATATCAGGGACTAGATAAAAGATATGCCAGTGTTACATCTTATCCTCCATCAAGATTTCAGTAACCAGCATCTATGATAGGTTTTCTTAGCAACACATAGAATTCTCTTATGTACGAATAATATAGGGGAGTTTCTTTTTTTGTTATGATTCAAACAATTATTATATCACTCATTGGAATTATTTGAAATCTTAATTATTGTTGCGTGCGATTACCTTCTACTCTCGCTCTCGCTCTCTCTCTCTCTCTCTCTCTCTCTCTCTCTTGTCAACAGCGAGCTTTTCATTATTCAATCATATAGAACGAAGAAATAAAATAGAGTATGTCTTTCTTTGATTTTCTTTTTCAATACCAAAAAAAAAAAAATAGTAAGGAATCGATCATTCTACGTCTAGTCTTGTAAATGTAAATCTGCGAAACAATGCTCTCTTTACAAGAGTGATCGAGCGGCACATAAACACAGTAAAAGAATCTTGTAATATTTGCTTGTTGAATAGTACTGTTCTTCTTAAAAGTGGCGGCATAGGGGTCCCGCCTTTGTTCAATGAGCCATACAGTGTTGTGAAGTCAACTTTTTAGCGAACAAATAATAACACCTGAAGAAGAGAAAGATCACATCTTCTCTGCGAGTAGACACATACTTGACTCACTTTCTCTCTTTTCTGACAATTGCAAGCGGCGCAATACTGACGTAACACAATTATATAGAGAGACACACATCTACTCAACTAAGAAGAAAATCGTACGAAATGCCGACTGTCAATCGATCACGGAGAAATCAAAATAGCCACCAGGCAATTTTTTGATCTCTAGAATAACTGATCGAACCGAAAGATTCTTTTCTCTCCTTTTTCTCTTCGTTTTAAACTTATAATCATCAATATCTTTAAAGTAAAAAACAAAAAACATCTGACAATATTTTTCGGCTTTTAACTTTCATTTTTAAACAAGAAATACAAAAGAATATGTTAAGTGTGGAATCAAATTAACAATCTATATATGAACATGTTCTTCTTTTAAATATCTTGCGTCGAGTCAATTGAGTGTAAGATTGAACAAGGTGTGCATATGCATGCTTCTGTGCATCTGGTTGCCGGTCGACAGTCAGAAATGAACAAAATGAAAAATGATCTTTTAATGAGGCAAACATACAATTCTATAATTCTTATTTTGAATCAGTCAAGAAACAAAAAAATTCCGATAGACGCATACATACAGACACACGCGTGTAAATATTTATCGAGACTTGGGATGACAACGTAAGTCATTATCATTCTCTCACTTATGTTCAGTAGCAGCATGCTCATCGATCATTTATTTCTATCTGTCTTATTGAACAGCAGTATCTTTCTTAACTTTTTAACGAAAACGATTAAAAGAAGATTGAGAAAGAAACGAAAAAAGACGAATCAGATTTAATCATCTGTATTTTTCATAAAAAAATTTGCTTGTTTCAAGAGAACAAAAAGTGTGCAAAGCCTATTAAAATGAATAGAAAAAAAAACCTGAGGAAGAAAGATTAAATACAAAGGTAACCTCAAGAGAGAGGCTATTAATCAAATCGACGTGTATATTGTGCGGTTGGAAGACGTCGTCATTCAACGAAATGTATTGGCGGGAAAGAAAAAGAGACATCAAATAGAAAGCGAACAGATATATCGATAAGTACTCAATTATTGTTGTTTTCTGTTGACTTTTGAAGTGAAAATCTAAAGTAGAAAAAGAAAAAATGATTCTATTGATATAAAGAAAGTTGTTTTCGTACGATATTGACAATGTATCATTTATTGTTTTCTTTCTCTTTTGATTGCGATTGTCATATACTGAAGAAATAAATCTTGACATGAAAGGTATCGATGAAATATGGCATGAATTACATATTAATATAATACAGACGAATGTCTAATTTAATAATATATAAATATTGAGAGCTCAGGTTGATTTTTTTCCAAGTGAGCACTCTAGTGGAACCGGGTTGTTCATTTGCATCAGCTTCTTGAGCAAGAAAGTCATGAGTATAAAAGAAAATATTCTATGGACAACGAGCATTTTGAGTTCGAATCAATTTCTAGGTCGAATATTTTTCTCCTGAATATAAGTTCAAATTCTTAAAACTGCATCGAGCGGTTTTTATTGCGATCTTAAGGAAATTTTCCGGGGTTGTATAGATTGATCTTCTTTATTTTTTTCAATAGCTTTTGGTTCGAATAATCATCTATTTTTCAAGGAAAAAAAGTCAATTTTTAAAACCGAGAAAAAAATATATACTGGCTTGATTCATTTGGAAGCACAGTCGAACATGAAAGAAAACATTTTTTACTATTTATTTTAATCTTCTAAACCATAATTAAAAAAAACCGGAAGGTTTCCGGCATCTACATTTCTTCGAAATACGTTCTTTAAATTCATATTCTTCTCATATATATCTCGCGATTGCTTATCATGACGTAATATGCACGTAGCATCAATTTTCTTGTTCTGTGTTGAAATGATAGAACGTAAGTTGTTGTTTCTAGTCTTTGAACGAAAAATAGACATTCACATAACAAAGGTTCTTTTGTATATGATTTTTTTTTAGTTTAGAAACATAAATGCATTGGCAAGGCGATATAATGTGAATTTTCTGGAACAGCTGACCGTTTGATTCTCTTCGGATTTTCAGCTAGTATCGTATTCGGAATCCATTTGTTCAATGATGTTTGTCATAGTAGGTTTTTCTTCATGATTATCCTGCTACTACTATTCATCAAATGCACGTGGAAAACGTGGGATCATGTATCAATTAAGGAAAACATAATAGATTGAAAGACTTTGTAGGACTTCATGAAAAACGATGACATATCTTATAATTTAAAGAAGTTCTACTAGTTTTTTTTTTATATTATAGATCAAGAGGCTATGAGGATCGCTTGATAGGGATAAATAAAAATGTTTAGCAGTTTCATAATTTCATCACGAGAAAGAAACAGAATCAAATAAAAAAAGATAATTAATCTCATGAAGACGGCAAAGTTGCAGAAGTTTCAGAAAGATTTTTATTACAAATGGTTTGTGACATGTTCTTCACTTAACTCGTTCAATAATTTCTTTCCAGGAAATTAATGTAAACTAACTTTTCGTCACAAGCTGCAAAGGATTCGAATTCTGTGGTTGATTCACAATGTCACTAGGTGTCGCTATATAAAATTGCATAAGTCTTTCCTCATTCTTAAGAATTAGGAAGTTTTAGTGACTTCAATATCTCAACTTCAATCAAAGTATTGCCACAGACAAATAGTCTACTTGCTAATTATTATCCTATAGTACCCAGCATAGTATTATTTGTCAGCAATGTCTACCATTTTATGTAGGAAGAAAAAAGAATTTATCTTTTATCTCATCATTTAGTACTTGGGACTCGACACCATATAAGTACATTCATCTTCACTGTAAAGATATTAACATAAATATTAATGGCTCATAGATTGCTTAAAATGTGTGTTATTTATAAAAGCTTTGTTATAAGTTTCATAGTTGAAAATTTATAAAGCTATACATTAAGTTCTTTTATTTTCAAAAATAAAACTGCAATTTTGTTTTCTTTCTCTTTTCAATAGATAAAGCCATTCAATTATCTAATAATGATGTCATTTATCAATAAAAATGACTTCCATTTATGTGTGACGTTTGTATCTATGTGATGAAGTAGGAACATAAAAGATCATAATTTTCTATTCAACAACCTATAGTCTATTTTCTGCTTAAATCCAAGTCATTAATTTCCGTAAAAGTACTTGTTTCAATTGCTTTTACGCTCGAACAGACATCAAGTCTTTGTTGATTAAAAAAGCCTCTATAGTTGATTTAAAAAATAACTCAGCAACGAAATAACTATAACCGAGTAAAAAGATCCTCGAGTTTTTAACTCGAAGAAAATCACATTATTCTTTTTATAAATATTTAGTCGAAATAAAGCATAAGATTTTGCTATTTTTTCATAATTACTATTTTAATCAACAAAAAGCAATATATATATATATATATAATGGTACTTGATTCGATCATAGAAAAGTTATCATGAAAGTATGCAGCCGACAAAACAATACTCATTAAATAAGTTGGTTGATTCTTAAAGAGTAAATAACTTTTTCTAATATAAAAACATTGCCATGATGAAAAAGTTTACCATCGTATACCCATGTAAAAATAAATCGCGAAAAATCTGATTATAATTGATTTTCGTGTGATTATAAATCTATTTTAATGGCACTGTTATAACCCTAGTTTAATCATTTTTTAGATCGAAAAAATTGATTATAATCGATTATTTTAAAATCTATTATAATTGATTATTGACCAATCGATTATAATCAATTTTTTCGATCTAAATAATAATTAAACTAGGGTTATAACAGTGCCATTAAAATAGATTTATAATCACAAAAAAATTGATTTTAACTTATGGCTATCTTGATGGGAATTCATCGATCCACATATTCTCATTCACTTAATCCATGCTCATATTTTTTATTAATTGTAATATATTATCATCTTAAATCCATAGTAATCCATTTCTTATATGGTACTCAAGGTATTTCCATTTTACTGATTCATCGATTTGAATCTATGGTTACGTGTTTTGTAGATATTAATCTCTTATTATCTTGTAATCCATTTAATCAATTCCTAGACTGTAAACCATTATAATTTATTATTTCCTTGCAATCGATTTTAATCTATTATCACATTGTAATCAAATTTAATCATTAGGCGCGAAAAGTGTGCTTTTCCCGAGATTCGAACATAAAACCCTAATTTTTTAATGATTTTTTTAGATTCCTAATATTCACAATCAATTGCCTGTGAATCAGAATCATTCAAATATAGTTAAGTTGGAACCCCTATATAAGTTAATTCCATTTGAGATGGCGCAATTACATCAGACATCAATTAAAATGGATTATAATAGAAAAATCAATTAAAATGGATTATAGTAGAAAAATTGATTAAACTTGATTCCCTTGCATACTATATTAGAATTTCGTCCTATTATAATTGATTTCACATAGTTGACTTCGTTAGGAAAACGCTTGTAGTTTAGGAAGTCTTTTACTAATTCTCCTTGTGCTCATCAAGCAATATATAATGACTGAAGATGTGTTTTTTTCCGGAAACTTATTTCAAAAATGATTTTCCCATTTGAATAGTCATCATACACAAAAGGCAGGGGCGGCGGAACGATTTCAGTCTAGGGTAGGCTCAATTTTTCAACCAAGACAGGTCTACCCATGTAAAAATATTTGAATTTAAATCAGATTAAAATCGATAAAAAATTGATTAATAATTGATTATAATTAAACGATTTTTATCGATTTTTAATAAGTTTTTAAAGAATTTTAATCGACACTAACCGAAAAATTACATTTTCGTTTATTATCGCCATTAGTGCCAATGATAGTCGATTATAAAACTTCGTAACAAAAATTGATGATCAGCGATGCAAATCGACGAAAATTACGTGATGATTTTCATTTATCACAGAAAAATAAATTATTTTCGATATCTTTGAACTTTNCGATTATCTAGATTTTTCTGATTAAAATGGATTTTAATCGATTATTGCACATGAAAATCGGTTTTAGTTGATTATTTATGGGAAAGTAATCTAATATTAGTTGTTTTAATCGATTTTCCGAACAAAATCAAATTTAATCAGATTTTTCGCGATTTATTTTTACATGGGATTGGAATAAGTAAACTTGGCTTTCAATGTATTCTTTGTTACTCTAAGATTATCATCTTTAATCATTCTTAATCACGAATTCTATTTCTTGAGATATTTTCTTAAATTATTTATTGGCAGATACTATAAAATTTAAAAAAAAAGCTTATTATTATTATTATTTATCGATAAACATTGTTAAATATTGCTATGAATAAATTATGTGAATGTATTGATTTATCGTCATTCTAATAGAAACAAAATTGAAACGGAGTATAATACTTGCTTATCATGGAAACAAGAGCAAATCTTGACTCATATGCGTGAGCACAGCAGTGCAAGCTGCCGTCGAGATAGTACGCTCTGACTATGCGTGTCAAGGATAGTTATCACTACGGCTCTTAGATAAACCGGCTAAACGTGTTTTTCTTAGAAAAAAGAAAAATAATATTTATATATTGTTTATTTATGTGGGTGTATGCTTCGGCGTGAAGGAGATTCTTTAAGATATTAATTATTGCTGCGGCATTGCATTTCTTTTCTTCTTCTTCTTCTTCGATCTCAAGAGAAAACCAATCGAACATCATACTAAGCAAGATCAGTATCCTTTTAAACCGAAGAAAATAACTAATTAGAATAATTATTTTCGAGTCATATACATCAGAGATACTATAACATAATCATATGCGAATAATTTTGCCAGAACTGTGCAACAGTATGTATACATAATCAAGGACTTATTTATTCCGGTACTAGATGACAATAAATGAATGATAAGAGAAAGAGCTTGCAGAGTAAAGAACTAGACTAAGAAAGTCATTTTTGCCTTTTATTATATTCCTATTGTTAACTTGATGTTATATTGCAACAGGCATCAAAAATAAATTTTGTCCGTAATAAATGCATTCAACGGCGAGTGCTTAAAAACTATTAATCTTTTTCGTCTTACCTAGTCGAAAATAATTGCGTGTTAGAATAAAAAAGTTTGGCTCAATTAATGTATCGATTTTATCAGTCAAGTTGTTACACTTAAAAGTCGTTTCTGTTTATTCTCCTTTAGGTACTTGAACAAGCTGATCGAGTTCGTTTGACTATGAGGTTTTCTCTATATTACGCTTGACAATGGGAGAAAAATAAAGAGACATGGCAAATTATACATGCATGCAACATGCTCGCTTTTTTTCCTTCTTCCGTTCTCCGAGTTGTTGCATTCCATTATAATTCTTTTCTTTCTTTTACAGTATGTGTCTCTGTTTGCCTCTAAAACTTAGTGATTACATATCCTGAAAAAATCGAATGTGTTATTGGAGAGTACAGGAGAAAAAGAAAGACCCTATAGATCATGTATTCAATTCTTTACGTCAAAGATACGAGAATTGTTGCTAAAACAATGTTATTTTTTCTTGTTGTTCCTTTGAACATTTCTCTTATATGGCCAGAATATGAATGAGTTTGTAAGTAGTATGAAATATGTAATTTGGTGTTAATAGTTTCCGAGGCAGGTATTCTTATTTCTGTGTTTTTCTTGCTTTTCTTTTACAGTTGTCGAGTGAATTCTTCATTCAAGCGAGTAAATAAATAATTATTTTATTCTCTATCATTTCCTTTTTTTTTTAGCGAGAAGCAGACGAGAAATGCCAGTCACGTATAGAATCAACCATACCAACAAGTCATTTCTCTTGATGAATTCTTTCTCATTACTAGTTTGCAAGAATATTACCTTCTTTTATATTCATATTATACGTACAGATCCGTTTTCATTCTCACCATAGGACATTAATCCTTTGGAAAATGTTACACTAATCATATCTGGCTGTTTTCTTGTTCTACGCTTGACTTCATTTAGCTTAGTCATCAATTTATTTGATGACGAAATTTATCACGAAGGCCAGCTGTCTCTATTGGCAGGCTGTTATTGTTTACTTTTTTTGACACAAAGAGGTTGCTCATTGGTAACTGATTAGATTTTTGTTTTTTTGAGACAAAGTGAAAACAAATCGATTATCATAGAAGATGAAAAATAGCATTTGTGTGTTCGAATAGTTGGCTAAGCTGAATATATACGTAATATGGAATCAATTAAAAACTTGTGTTTTATATCATTATGTATATATATATATATATATATATATATAAGGATCAATTTATCAACAAAAGAATGAGAAATGTTTTCTTTTCTAAGACAAGTCACATTGGTAATAGTAACTGCCTGTTGATCTTCCGCTAAACCTGTAGTGCATATTAATTTGTCATTTGCCAAAACAGTACGTCATATAATGACATGCGAAGAGAGAAGATCGTGTTCTTCTTTTTCTTAGCAATGTAAGTATAAAATAAGATTCCTAATTCACTTACAAATGAATGTCAGTCTGTTTGTTTTCATGTCGTCTTGCTCAGACTAATGATACGCAGTAGTAGCATGATTAATTCTATTATATTTTAGATTAATACAAAATATCGATGATGTTTAATATAAATAATTCGGAAAATGAGATTCCGAGCGATGCTACGATTAATGACACAAATTCTGGCATGGGTCGATCCGTGAGTAGTGCTCGTTTTCAAATAGCTAAAGTGTCTAATAATAATACAAATACGGAAAATTCATTGGGCAAAGCAATTAGTATACCCAATAGTATGTTCATTATATAAAACGAAAATACAAAAGGAGATTAAGCAACTACATTTGTTTTTGTAATAAATTAGGTTTATCACAAACAGTTGGAAGAACTTCAATTTCAAATACTACCAATATAAAAATTTTCGTTGGAGATGACGCGAATGAAAGTGGTAGTACGTCATCTGTTCTGCCGCGAACAACAGACATCAATACTAATTGTACATCAACTGAAGATGAAAATAAAGAAATATGTTCATATGATACAATTGATGCTTTGCCACATGTTGATCATTATAGAAATTTATTTTCCATAACGTCACCTGAACCAAAAAGTCGACCGACACTTGAAGCATTACATGAAACAGCTAGTGCATCAGGAAGATTTAGATTAGGATCAACAATTGATTTAAATTCTGAATTGTTAAGCACGTTAACACCACAAATAGATCAACTATCACAATTAGACGTCAGACCGAAGATTGACGTTGTTAAATTCGGATGGATCATTGGTGTTTTTGTGCGTTAAGAAAAAAAGAATTGAAAAGTTTTAGTCAAATCTTTCTTTATCTAGATTCGGTGTGTTTTAAACATATTTGGTGTTATGCTTTTTCTTCGTTTATCTTGGGTGACTGGTCAAGCGGGTCTTGGTTTAGCGGCAATAATTGTTCTTACTTCAACGGCAGTAACTGTTCTAACTGGTCTATCAATGAGTGCTATTTGCACGAATGGTGAAGTTAAAGGTGGTGGAACATATTATTTAATATCGCGTAGTCTTGGTCCAGAATTTGGTGGTGCTATTGGTTTAGTTTTTTCATTTGCTAGTAAGAATTCACTTTGAATAAATATTAACCAAAAAGAAATCGCTTTTTCTTCTCGCATAGATGCAGTAGCAGCTGCAATGTATACTATTGGTTTTGCTGAAACAATTCGTGATCTTCTTAAAGTAATGGAAATGAGGCGAATAAATATTTTTTTATTAAATTTAAGTTTTCTAGGAAAATAATGTGAAAATATTAGGAACTGTTGCTGATGGAGAATCTGTTAATATTGTTCGAATAATTGGTATTCTTTTTTGTTCCTATTGTTTTCGTAGATTTAACTTGCATATGTTTAGGTGTTATTACAATAACAATAATATTGGGTATTGCATTGATTGGTATGCGTGGTGAAACAGTTGTACAAATAATATTACTTATAGCATTGTCAGCATCGTTATTGAACTTTTTTATTGGTTCTCTTTTACCAGTGACAGAATATAAACGACGTCATGGTTTTGAAGGATATTCATGTGGGTTTTTGTTTTCTAGAAAAATTTTAATCGAATTAAATTATTTCAATTTAGGGAAAGTCATCAAAGAAAATTTCGGACCAAGATTTGCAAATGGTGAATCATTCCAACATGTTTTTGGTGTTTTTTTTCCTTCAGTCACAGGAATTCTTGCTGGCGCAAATATTTCCGGAAATTTAAAAGTAATTCGAGATAGTTATTTCAATTAAACTTGATTTTTATCTTATTCAAGAATCCATCAAAAGCCATTCCACTGGGTACTAATGCTGCAATTGTTCTTACTTCATCTGTTTATTTTATTTTTTGTATTATATCGGGATGTACAACACGCCGAGATGTAACGCGTAGGATTTTTCTATGGAATTAAATAAATCACTTTTTGCTTTTTTTCTGGAATTTAAGTGGATTATTATGAACGAAGTAATGGAAGTGTGATACAGATAATTAATTGTTCATCAAATACAGACGATTTAGATTGTAAATCAGGTTTAATTTATAATTATCAAACCATGCGAATGATATCTGCATTTGGTCCGATTATTACGGGTGAGTTTAAAACATTCATATTCTGAAACTTATTGTCTTTTTTGTGGATGATATTAGCGGGCATTTTTGCTGCAACATTATCAAGTGCTTTAGGTCAGTTTGTCTTTGTTATTTTTCTTCTTCTAAATAAGATTTACTATTTTTTTTAGCAAGTCTTGTTGGTGCACCTAAAATATTTCAAGCTGTTTGTCGTGATATGATATTTCCTAGTTTGAAATATTTTTCAGCTGGTAGCGGAAAATCCGATGAGCCACATCGAGCCTATTTCCTAACATATTTCATTGCTGTCTTATTTACCGCAATAGGTATAAGAAAGTTTTGTAGGAATTTTTCTAGAAAATATTTCATTTTTGTTCTTTAAGGACAACTAAATCATGTTGCACCAATTATTTCAAATTTTTTTCTTATGACATATGCTCTAGTTAACTATTCATGTTTTGACGCTTCATTAGCTAAGGCAAGTGGTTGGAGACCTGCTTTTCGATATTATAATAAATGGTTAGCATTGGTCGGTGCATTATTGTGCGTAGGAATCATGTTTATTATCAACTGGTAATAATATTAAAAAAACAAAAACAAAAATTCACTAATTTCTATCATCACTTTGTTTTTTAGGTACACAGCTTTAATAACACTAGTTATTAGTGGTGGCATCTTTCTGTATGTTCGAACAACAAAACCAGGTAACAATCGATTTTGGCAATTAATGATTTTATTAAAGAGTTTCAATTAATTAGAAGTCAATTGGGGTTCGTCGGTCGAAGCTCATACATATCGACGAGCACTTGATGCAACATTAAAATTAGAAGGTGTACAAGAACACGTAAAAAATTTTCGACCGCAAATGTTAGTTTTAACTGGAAACCCGGTGGCTCGGCCAGCACTAGTTGATCTCGGATCATTGGTCTCTCATGGATATAGTCTAATGATTTGCGGTCATGTTATTTTGGTAAATAAATAGAAGACTCGTTCTTTACATTTGCAATTTTTTCATTCAGGATGACCCATTAGTAAATATAAAAATATCTGACCAAAAAGAAAATGGTGAAGCATGGTTAAAGAAACGAAATGCAAAAGCGTTTTATCAAACTATTATTGCACCAACTATTCGGCATGGTACAATTGCATTGTTACAAGTAAGCAATGATGAATACTCATGAAGATCAATTCTTGCGTATCGTCCTGAGATTTGAATTATATGAGATAGAAGTTACCTAGGAAAACTTGAACGTTATTCATCTTTAAATGTCAATCTGCTCTTATTAAATATTAAAATCTAATCTACCGAAACGTGAATACGATTGCTATCAGCTAGTATAGAATATCTGGAAGATGAAATGAGATTCACTTGTGTCAGAATAGGACAAAAAAAAACGTGTTTGAGGTAGAAAAAACACAAATGCAAAACTTTTAAGACCAGCGTCAGAACTAATCCTGAACATAAATAAATGAACGACAAAGTCTGTTCAAAGATCAACTCAGATGTCAAAAAAATGAAATGATTCCAAACTTTTCGATTACTGAGCAAGATTTTTTTCCAATGGATATATTGTCACCACGCACGGAAGCAACTCAATTTAATGATTTTATGTACTTATTTTTCTTTTTATCTAGTGCGTGGGCGTTGGTAAAATGCGTCCAAATGTAGTATTTCTTGGTTTTAAAAATGACTGGCTAACAAAACCACAATCAACGGTCGATTATTTTAATATACTACATGATGCACTTGATCTTAATTATGGCGTTGGAATTTTACGTCTTCAAAGTGGACTTGATTTTACTGACTTTTTCGGACAAGGTAAATCAAACGATTTGTTTTATTTTGATACACATACAAAAGAGAAGGCATTTTTGTGCCAAAAATAGATTTACCAGGAGATCAAGATGATGATGATGACAATGAAGATAGTGTTGATGAAGAAAAACCTGAAGAATTTGTTTCTTCAAGTCCATTGCGTCGTAATTCGAAGTGTTCACAACCACGTCAATCAAATGTTGGAATGTTAAAAAATACAATATTAAATAAAGGTGCTTTAATAACAATGAACGTTTTTCATTCTAAACATTCGTTATCAACGATAATTGATGTTTGGTGGTTATTTGATGATGGTGGTTTGACATTATTGTTACCGTATCTGTTACGAAGACGAAAACGATGGCGTCATTCTCAATTTCGTATATTTTCATGTGTATCCGGTGAAAATGTTGATGCTGAAAAACAGCATTTAGCGATGGCGTCATTGTTAAAAAAATTTCGAATAAATTATACAGATTTACATGTTCTTCATGGTCTTAATAAGACACCAAATGAACATGAATCAGAAAGATTTAATCAAATTTTACAAACATGGAATCAAAATGAAGATAAATATCGTATAACTGATAGTGAATACGAAGCAAATAAAGAAAAGATGAGACGTGGCTTAAAATTACATGAATATTTATTAGAATATAGTTCAAAATCTACACTTATTGTTCTGTATGTTATTTCTATCGATGAATTAAGAATAAAATTTTACTGTTTTTGTTTTCGTCTTTTAGTACATTACCAATTCCACGTAAGCAATTGATATCGGCTGGCTTATATCTTGCTTATTTAGATGCCATTAGTTATAACTTACCACCAGTTTTATTTTTACGTGGTAATCAGAAAAATGTTCTTACTTATTATTCGTAGTTTTCCGTAATGATAGAATGCTTATTTTTCTTTTTCTGCTGTTCTCATTTCCGGTGATTTCTCTTCTATCCATTGTAATTTTTATAAACGATTAGATGATGAGTGTAGAAAACAAAACACAAAAGTGCAAAATTTATTTATCGTTAATAGTTTTATGGAATATTTTAATTTTTTTGTTTCTGATAAATACATAATAATGTGCAAATATTTAATAAAGCAAAATGAAAGAAATGATTACATTTCGTTGATCTGTTGGAATAGATTTAATACAAAGCAATATCAAGTGAAAATATACCAATCAAATTTAATTGCTCCTTCATTCTTATGCTTCCTAGTTTTAAATTATTCCGATATATTCTCATACGAACGAGTTTCACTTTTCAATGATGCGAAACACAAGTCACCGTTGTTTTGCTTAAAAGAATGTGTGACTCGTAGCTAATAAAATTACCTTCCGCAAGTTTCAATAGATTACATCTAGCAGTGTTTTCAAAGGTTAACTGCAATACTCTCATGTAAAGTTTAAATGTATCATGAAATATCTATCACTTAATATCTTTTTTTTATTTGACACTATAATGTGAGATCTATGCAATTATTACTACAGCATCATTCTACTAATAAGGTGCGTGTATGAACGTATATATAAAATCAATAAAGTATTTGCCTTGTCGAAAAAGAAAACAAGCAAAGAGAAGTGTGAGCCAAAGATAATCAAAAGGTAAATCATAGTTTAAGGATTCGCCAGTTTTTGAACTTCTGATGCTGTTATTTCACGGGTATGCAGGTAGAACTCATCGAGAGCACCAGTAAAAGGACCTCCATAACCTGGAGCGCAGTTGGTTCCATCTCCATCACTACCCAAAATCATATGCATAGGAACTCCAGAGGCGGTAAATATAAAACTTCCCGTAAATGAATATAGATTACCATTGATATATAATCTCAGGCCATTACTGTAACTATACGTGTATCCAATATGTGTCCAGCTATTTAACGGAATTATAGAACCAGTAGCGGTAATATCGTGACCATTCCACAGATGTGCGCTTAACAATCCAGTCGAGTTCATCACTATAAAGTGAACACACTAACCAAGGTTTTGTAGCACATAAACCAGTGTCGATGCAGGATAGCTACCTGTCGGGTTTGCCCATAAAGATATACTGAAAGATTGATTACTAATACCCAAAAAGTAAAATGGTGGATACGTGTAATATATATAGGAACTCGAACTAAATTGAACTGCTCCATTCAATCGACCTGTTGTACTAACTACACTTCCCGAAGCAGTTCCATTGATACCATTAATGCCATTATCAACAAGAGAACCACCATCAAATGAATAATAGACATACAGAGTAGCATCATTCAACAGCTCAGTAGCATTTTTAGCTCTCGATTCAAATCGAACTTGATCGATATAACCATTGAAACCTGCAGCGACACCTGAGCTGAATGTGGCACCAATGGTTGTGGCTCCGTATAAACCCTGATAAGGGCTCGCGGAACGTGAAGCATCAAGCACGCCATTGAGCCAGACTTGTTGTATTCGTGCAGTTGAATCGTAAACACAAGCGACGTGGCTCCAAGCATTCATGGTTAGTGTAGTAACACCTGCTATGTCATTGGCAAAGAAACCGCAGTATAACATTATGTTTCGTGATGTGAAGTGTAAGCATCGATTGGTAATTGTAGCTTGACATTGACCAAATATTCCAAAATCACTTGCGGTAAAACCAGTCGGAAAAATCCATGCTTCAATGGTGAAACTACGCGAATCTAAAGGAATGACTGTTGGTGAAATATAAACATATTGTGATGATGCTTGACTAAGACTAATAGCGGCTCCATAACCAAGAAAACTAGTTGTATACGATGGAGTACCAGAAAGCACGCCATTAAGGCCATTGTATAATTCAAGAGTGTTGTTATCAAGTGGCCAAAAGGCTTGATCAATGAATGCAGCTGTTGTAGTAGACGTAGCTAAAATGAAATTTTACAAATGTTTTCAAATCAAAATATATTTTAAATGCAAATCAGGTCGTAGAAATGTTGAGAACTATAGGTGAATGTGTTTGTTTTAATGAAAATCAAAAATAGTAATTTATAAACTAATCGAATTTATAATTAGATCAATGATTCATAAAATCCTAAACATTTAATATCTAAAGATCTATATAGTCATGGCGATTCATAAGTATCAAAGCACTCGTGCGATTGCAATCCATTTTAGTTTTTCAAAGTATAGTTTCAGAAACTTTTCTGGTGCTTAAAATAGATAAGAGAATCTCACAAGTTGTAGACGTCGTTGTTGAGGTTGTTGTTGTGGTTGTCGTCGTTGTTGAGGTTGCAGTAGCTGTAGATGATTATACATAAAAGTTCAAGATAAAAAAAGTAATGAAATGTAATTCATTAAAGCTATTGTGTATAAAGCATTTAATTACCAAACTGAGATTATGCGCGAATGATGCGATTTTAGGTGATTCTATTCGCATAGCTGAAGATGTGTAGAAACTCTTTGTGAAGTTCTTAGAATTTTGTTTTTGAGTTGAGTCAAAGAAGTTGGAGCAGTGTTTTCATTCTCGGTATTGATGCATTTACTAAAAACACTTCTTTCGATCTTCTATATTGGGAGAGTCACTACAATCCTTTATGGATGAAAGTGTTTGATAAGTGCAAGATCGGCTTACACTTGGACCGGCCCCACTCGAAAAATACTAACTCAGATCTTTTCTTTTTAAATACTTTGTTGATAATGATTGATTGGTTTTAAAAATGAATATTTATACTGCTAAACTATTTCAAACTTTACAGTTTAATGTCATACTTTGTGATGATAGGTCTAGTACGTAAGCAGTAGTCACCGCTGCTAATGCAATCCCACCCACTGAGAATCCGATAAGAATCCATAAAATGATTTCTTTTTTCCTATATCGTTCGCTATAATAAAACAGAACAACATGGTAAACGAACGCATAGATCAATGTAGAAAAAAAAACTACTCAATCCATTACCTTTTAGTTTTGATGGTGTCACTTTTCGTTGACGTATTCGCCTGGTCATAAGCCTGAAATGATGACGACGATTGTGTATTCCAAGCATTGAGCTTCGGAGATGGTTCTACATCCCAAGCATTGTTTTTCGGAAGTGACTCTAAATCCCAATTACTCGTCGCCACAGATCGCTCTACATCCCAAGTACTCGTTGTTGAAGGTGATTCTTGATCATAAACGCGATGTATTGAGAACACATCAGGATGATCGATCGAGACCGACCATCTATTTTCATTATTGCTTTCCATCTTTACTGATCAGCAGTGAATAACTTTTGACAAGCTCTTTGCACAACAATGAAAAATACTGATTATTTTTAGGGTCTTCCTTTAGTGAGCGAAAATATACTTTGAAATTAAAAATTGTGCGTATATTTAGTGATCTTATTTGCATTTCTTTTTCTTCCAATGGCAACGTCATATTCCCACAGATTATTCAGCACACAAATGCGTATAGGAAAAAAAAACATTATAATTAATTCATGCTTTCAGCATCGTCAAACTCTCATTATAACAATAAAGTCGAGCACTTCTATGCGTTCAAATATTTTAATAATCAGCTTGCTTATATAAAAATCATCATGGTTTAATTAAAATATTCAATTTTTCTACGCCATAGTGACGTATCTACATCATTTTCGACTATTTAAGTATCTCAGAAGATTCATGCATAGATGATGATCGATTATGTATTCTTCTTTTGGAAAAGATACAGTTCGCTTTTCTTTTTAAATACTAACGATTTCTTTCGCCGTATCAATATTTATACTGATTTTCTCAGATGTTATCTCTAGATGAAGGTTAGTGTAAGTGACACTAGATGTGGCGTTCTGTTAGCTACACATGCGTAACTTTAACAAAATCGTTTTTGACTCTTATAGATTGTGTAAATTCAAATTGATCATATCAGTTATCTAAATACATGACTGCCAAAACCAACAGATAAGCAATTAAAAAGATAAAATGATATTCTACTTCGAAATCCACTTACAAGAATATGATATATTTCGTGTAAAAGAGTCATGTTCGTTACCTTTTATGTTTTAATGGAATCCCGGCAAGATGCTCCTCAGAAAGATGCTCCCCGGTTAGTTGCTCCCCAGAGACACTTGCTCCCTAACTGTATTTAAAAAATATGTTAATCAGCACGAGATTAAAATAAAAATTTATTTATTTGAGGGCACGGGTGTGTCGGTGTGAGTGTATCAGTGCAAGTATGGACAAATGGTTATCGTCTTCACTCATCCACACCCTTCGGACCGGGCTTCATGCATTTGGTAGACCCTATTGAGGTATGAAAAACGCCGAAAGGACAAATGCCCTTAGGCCTTCTGCCCCGAATTATAGGCATTTTACTGGAATTTTAGTCTTTACCGTGGTATATATCAAAAGCTTGAATGATGATATTTCGACCTGAGATTTCGTCTATGGACAGGTCTATTTATGAATAGGATGCCCTGAAAATTTCGGCTCAAACAAATATTTTCTTTCCGAGATACTTAACTTCCAAAAAAAAAGAAAGCCTAGAATCCTTCGTGAAATATCAGTGATTTTTGGAAGTTAAATATCTCGGGAATAAAACATTTGTTTGAGCCGAAATTTTCAGGACATCCTATTCATAAATAGGCCTATCTATGGGCGAAATCACAGGTCGAAATATCACCATTCAAGCTTTTGGTGTATACCACGGTAAAGACTAAAATTCCAGTAAAACGCCTATAATTCGGAGTAGAAGACCTATGGGCACTTGTCCTTTTGGGGTTTTTCATACTTCAATAGGGTCTATCAAATGCATGAAGCCCGATCCGAAAAACGACTTGTTAGATCTTTTGAAAGATGTTAGCGCCATTGCTGTACTCGAGATTCGTCGCCATCATTGATTATTTATTTCGTATTGATTTGTTTAGCATAATCAAGACAAACGTAAATTTTAAAATATCAATTAGAGTTTCAGTGTTTAGACGATCGTCAAGAACGGGTCTATCTTTATTGAGTAAAAATTCATCTGTCGCTTTTTTTGTTCAGGCTATCGAATACTTTACTCAAACTATTACATTCTTTAGTCGATTGATCATATTCTAAAGATATCATTATATTAATTGATTATAAAGATGTTCTTATTTTCTTTATTTTTTTTACTTTGAGCACTCTGGAATAATAATAAAACAGAACAAGGAAAAATGAGCACACACACTCACAAAGATACAAGAGACAAATAAGCGAATAGAATAACACAATAGAAGGACTGATCAAGAACAATAGCTTATTTGTGTCGTTTTAGTTTGGATATATTTTCTGAGTGTTCATCTGAATGTATACTTGATATAAGGAACATCTTCAACATCATTTCCTTCCAAGTCATCACACAACATATCCAATGTAAGAGAACGAACATGAGGAGGAATCTTTGATTTGGTTACCGTTTCAAAAAGTTCAGAAATTCTAACAAAATAAATAATAATTTGAACATGAATAATAATCGAAAACAGAAATTGACATACTTTCGTTTCATATCTTGTGCTTTACTTGCTTGACGCATAAAATGTGGACTGTAGATAACGGACATTCCTGCTGAAACCATGTTTGGCACCAGCTTATGTGTATGCTAAAATTTATAATTCAAAAATGAAAATCTTAAATTCTACATTCATGTTTTTGTCTTTACTTTAAAGTATTCGATAAATGCTTCCAAGCTCATATCACCTTTTACTTCAAATCGATCCCATAAACTAAATTCTTTGTCAAGATACTAGAATTAAAAGAATTTCATAGTTTTACAGAAATGATATCTCGGTTAAAACGAGTTATTTACTTTTTGACGTTTAGGTGGTACTGGTTCAGAAAATCCAAAAAATGGTAAGGCCAAATTAACAAATCCATTTCGGTATGATTCAATCTTCTTGTGGCCTTGAATAAATTTATAAACTTCAAGACAAACAAGACCAGTAACCATCGCTGTTGTTGTTGCAATAGCTGGAATAATATTTCCTGCAATTCGTTTAATTTTACTTCGGTCAGCTGTTTGAATTTCATAATTTTCAGCTCGTAAATTTGCTGTAGCCGTAATATAATCCATATGAAAATTAGTATCATCATCTTTCTCAAATTCATGTGGTTGAATTTTAATGTTAACTATTTTTTCAGGAGACGGTAATCGATCGAGAAGTTGTTCAATTTCTATATCGTTTGCACTTTGGCCATTTTTGCGCATTGCAGTTATATTTTTTTGTCTATCATTATCGGCTCTCATTTGTTCATCATTTTCATGTATTGTAATACCAGCCTTTGGTTTAAATTCAGGTATGTGTATAGTTGCAACTTGTTCAGCGATCAGTTTACGATCACGTGTTTGCGGAATTTGGTAAATGTGCGCAAGTAAATTTGACGCAGCCACAACAAAATCCAAATGAAGCGGATTATTAACATCAAAATTCAAAACATGTGGACATCGTTTATTTCCACTCCAGAAACGTTCACCTTTGCTTGTAACATGATCACGTGGAAAATTGAAAAGTAACTGGGCGATTGTATTATGAAATTGTTGTTCGAAAAGATGACGTGCCTATTAGAAAAGGAATATTTTATTTTTTGTTTTTGTAAATAACTTATATTTACCCAACAGATACAATCGGAGAGCGAGTTTGGACGTCCACTGCCAAGCATGCGTTTAACATTTTCGACAATTTCTGTTTTATCGTATTCTGAATGATTTTTAGATGTTCGTTCGGCAAATTCTTTTGCACCTCGCATAAATTCTTCGGCTTGTTGAGCAGGAATCGTAAAAAGACCAGCGAAATTGTCACGCGCCCATTCAATTGTATGTTCGATTAAATTGGGAAAGTTACGTAAAGTACACATAGGTACTGATGGATCAGGTGGATCATTAGTCGATGAATAGGATTCAGTAAGAAATGGAACAACAACTTGTACACTTGCTTTTGTACCTAACGTGCCACTATCAACCAATGGTTTTTGATAGTAGACACAGCGGCGATCAATATATTGACCTTAAAAGAAGAGGAAAAATCATCATAATTTGTTCGAGGTTAGTTTTTGTGCAAGTGAAACAATTGTAAGTACGAACGAATAGATAATAAGAAAATTATTGATGTGAGCAATTCTTGGAAAACTCACTTCCTGCAATTTCTTTTGGATAGATAATGAACATTCTAAGCAAGTCCTTGGATAACTTTATTCTACATCTTTAAATACAGTTCATAGAAAAATGCTTTTTTTTATCCTCATGAATATTAATATCGCATTTATTTCGCATGCAATAACTCGCACTTTTTTTTGTTCTTTTCTTTTGTCCTTCTAACATCACGTTCGTTGAACAATGTCAAATTCAGTCATTGAGATTAAGCTAACTAGACACTACCAAGAATCCTATCGGATTACATAACTTTTAAGTATAAAGATATCAATTCGTATCTTTGAGGCACACATAGGTAAATATTCTTGACATCGTTTACAAATAGAATAAGTCTGAATTCTTTAGATAAATCCTTATGCTTAAGTGGTAGACAGGCTATCTGCTCTTTAATAGCAGTTTCTGATCGATTGGACTCAAGTAGAAGAAACAATAATAACATCTTTTTTTAATGTCTTAAGTGGCCTATCGAAAGAATTATCATTATCATCAGATCAGTGCAAAAAATAATTGTTTGCCTGAATAGTTCTATTTTTGTTTTTCAAAAGATACTTACGAGCTTTGACATTGTCGAGTGCATTCACCAAACCATCCAAGTCTTCGAAATATTGATCATTAAATATATGTTCTGTTTCCGGTAATACTCCGTCAACATAGGCACGAATATTCATACGTGAATTCATTGCTTTTACTGCTTCAGCTGCAACTGTTGATTTCATTTTCTGAAAATATGAATAAAATTTTGACAATTCAATTATACTTAAATCATATCGAAATTCAACAACTTACGCCTATATCCCATGAACGAAATAGAAATTGTCGATTCAAATTTGATTTTTCAATTGAATCCATATCTGTTACGTAAACATAACCTTCTTCACTACATCCAATGCCCATCATAGCAAAGTTTTTCAACATTTCACAACCAATGGCACCTGAACCGACCTATATGTCAACAAATTTTTATTATTAATTATCTTAAAATATTCATGCATTTGTTTTGTTTTGTTTTTCTTACCACAAAATATTTTGATTTGCCTAATTTTTCTTGAAAATCTTGACCGAAAATAATTTCTTGCGATAAATATCGCGAAGGCTTCGTCGGTAAATTAACTACTGTTGGAGATTCGGTTGTTACTTCATTAGATGGTAGAAAAACATTTTCAGGTAAACATTCAATCGCATCGAAATAGAAAAATTGTCGAATCGGCATAAATTTCCCTGTGACTGCCTAGTAAAAACGAAATCAGAAGCAATTCAATTCATAATGCCAATCAATTACTTTCATGGCTTCTTGCGCAGCAATGCCACCAATAACAGCTTGCATTGGACATAAATCACCAGTACATGTTTTAGCAAATAATTTTATCCAATGTTTATTCAATTCATCTGTTAATGGTTGTTCACGATTTTCAGTATTTAGTTTTTCAACTATTTCAACGAATTTATCTGCATCACTCTAAAAAGAAAAAAAAACGAGTATTAAGTATGCGAAAGAAAGGATTCATTATAGCATACATCATCCCAAGGTTTTGGTGAAGAATTGTATTGTTGTTTAAAACGAGCAAACGCTTGGAAAGCTAAATGAAGATTAGCTGGCATAGACATTTTTGCAAAATCACAAACAAGCAATTCTGGATCTTTTAAAGACTCAGAAAATGGTTTCTAAATATTTGAAAAACAAAAACTCAAAATCTTCATTATTACAAAATAATTTTACATACAAAATTCACTCGTTCTGGCTTTTTTACTTCAGTTACAGTTCCACCACCTTCATAAACACCATAATTTCTTGTATCGCCAATAGTGAATGTATATGGACCTAAAAATAATTATTATTTGTTTTGATCAAATGAATTACCACAAAAAAAAAAGAAAAGTTCTACATACTTGGTACCGAGATTTTAAATTCTCGTTCATTAACTTCAGTCATTCCTTTGACACCATGGAAAGTTACATAGGAACCATCTTCAAAACCATGTCTCGTATCTGTAGACATAAAAACAACGCCTGCTTCATCCTTATCAGTGAAAAGTTAACAATAACAAAATTTTTAAAAGTGTATAACAAGGCATACTTGACTTATTTCTGTCACTATTTGTGTTAAAGGATTTTCACCATTTGTATCGATTACTTCGAAATCAAGACCAAAATCACAAAAGATTTGTCTATTGAAGAACAAAACGAATAAAAACAAGAAACGAATAATTAACTATTTATCCTACCCAAATAAACCTTTTGTATTTGCATTGACAAATTTTATTTTATGTTCATGGCAATGTTTGCCTACTTTCAATTGTTCTTCCAAATCAGCATCTGTCAGAACGTAGACCTAGAAGTTTTATTTTTATTAAATCTGATTTGAAAATTTCAAACTATATGATTTACATTGACTTTATGCTTTAGAAGAAAAGCATCATCAACTGTTGCCGATGAAAATGTTACATTCACATAATTATTTAAATCAGATAGATGTTTGTTGGATACTTCAGCACGATTTTGACCAATATTGTTTTCAGTAAAATAATACTAAACAAAAAATAGTATAAGAGAATTCGTAAAAAATTTCTTTTTTTTTCTAATTTTACTTGTGATGATAAATCTGCATATTCAACATTTCCACAATCATGAACAATAACTGATTTAGCACCACCTAATATGATATTTTTTGCTATTTCAACACCAAGACCACGCATGCCTGATATAAGAACGTGAGCACTGGCTAATTGATGCATAGCTTCTCTTCCCATGACGTAACTAAAGCAAAAATCATCAGATATACGATTTATCTTTATCGATAACGTGAAAAAAAGGCTAAGTCTTACAGTTGTCGTGAATAAAGACCTTCATCGATTTCTGGAGTTTTCATCGATGATGTCGACGTCTGATGTTGAAAAACGCCGGCCATTTGTTGAGACGTCGTCGTATGTTGTGAATTATTATTCTCACTTTTCTAAAACATTCGATAAAATGAAAAATTATATTCATAGTAATCTATATGTATGTATATATTTGTTTTTCTCTTTATGGAAGCTTTTTACTCTGTCAGATGATATTACGAACGTTATATGCAAAGGTGTGCACGCTTGTATTCATCCTTGTTATTTTAATTAACAACAACAAATTAGAAAAAAAAAACTGGTGTTGATGTTCACCTGCTACAATAATCGTCAGTTACGCGTCAATCCTCTACTTCCCTTCCAAAAAGAAAGCAATTATGTAGATGGAGAAAAACAGTATGCGAGCATTTAAGCAAATACTCTGCCAACGTCTCGAGTGAGTCAGATAAAGCAAACGACAGCGTCAAATACAATCTCTACTGCTATTGCTTTCTCATTTTTCTTTCTATCGTTGATAGGGCAGCGAGAAATAGTACAGCGAAAAAAAAACTGGGGTGAGTCTGTTGGTTCTTTTTCTTCTTGCTTTTTTTTCTCTTTCTTTTTTTTTGTCGTTCGCTTTTCTTTCTTCTCTTTCTATCACCTGTTACAGACGAGCTATGCAAAGAATGGAAAGAAGAAAAATGGAGGGAAAGACGGCCACGACGACACGTTAAAGCATTTGCTTTTTTTTTTTATTTTAAAACAGATGTCAGTCAACGTGAACGGAATACTTAGTCAATGAAAATCTATAACACTTACATCAATCAGATAATAACTTTTATTAAAAGTTGATTTAAAACAAAAATTCGTTCGAAAATAAACCATTTTGGATTATTAAATGTATTCTTTTTGCGCGCAAAAAAACTTCGAAAAGTAAAACACTATGAGAGGTGTATCTTACTCGTCGGGTGAATAAAGAAAAAGTAAAACTTACTCCATTGCAATTCGTTTCTCCATTGGTATGTTCCATAGCTTCAACAAGATTTGCTGTATTACAATTTGACGACATGCTTGTTGGATCACTACCGTTTTTAATTAATGTGGTGGACGATTTAAATTTTTTTGATATAGGCAAATCAAATGCCTCGTGACGTCGACTATCACTACCGTCGTTGATAGCAGTATGTTCTTGTTGAGACACTGTAGAAGTTGTGGTTGTAGTTGTAGTTGTTGTACCTAAGGTTATTTCGTCTTGATTTGATGTAGAGCCTTGTGGCGTGGTAGACATCAGCAAACAACAATCAACATCGGACTTTGTCAACGTATAGATGTATCACTTTCGCCGAACAGGTGTCTATCTATGAATAAACTGATCTAAATAAATAAAGAGAAGAATTCATTGTTGTTCTATTCTGATTCAAAGCAATAATGAATCATTGTAGAATCAAAAAACTTGTCTATCAGATAGCTCGTTATATATGTATAAATGGCTCTATAATTCGCCTACTCGCGTAATATCAAGACTACATTCTTCTGTTTACACACCCGTCGGGATAGAGACGCCGATATTAGAAATGAGAAAGACCGGACGAACTAATTTTTGTACTCAGTCGTCCGTCCGTTAAGTATATTTTTTCTGATGACGACAATTTACGATGTGTGAGCATGCCATGTTCCAAACATATGGGTTAGTAAAAGTAAAAAAGAGAGAGAAGTAAACGAAGAGAAAAGAAATAGAATTGCCCAATAGAATGAAAGTCTACATCCACGAAAAAGACATCTAATTACGAGCTTTAATTTTTGAATAAAAACCTAATGAATTTTATCAAGCGAAAGAATTTATTCTCCAATACGAATGATATTTTGATTCTAATTAAATTTTTATTTACTGCCATCCATGAAATGCTGACATTGACTGTAGCGCTTGGATTTTTCTGACAAATAAACAATCTTGTTTTGTTTTGTCTATGATTTTTCGAAATACATACTGTTTTTTTTTGTAGAGCCAAATTTATACATTTGGGAACATATCTTTTATCTTATCATAAATTTCATTTTCTCCTAGATTCTTCATCCGTTGTGATAATTCCCAAGTAGTTATTTGATCATGACTGGTCATTCTTCATGGGAAGAACAACGTTTCTTATATCCTCATGATATTCGAGATAAATTTCCCGTTTGGGAACGAGAATTTAATATTGAACCATTTAAATACGAACGTTCACGTTTACCATTTCGTTTAACAAACGAAGATCGTTTATGGCGTAAACAATGGCTTCAAGATCAAGTTTTAGCAGTTAATGAACCGAAATTTGTACCGAACTTACATAAAATTCATAAAAATCCTGTTCGTTACAGATGGATGGTATTTTGGGATAGTATATTCAATCGTTTACGTCCTGTTGTCGTATGTATCGAATGAAAACAGTTTTTTTCTTCAATACTAAATTCAACTAAGTCGAGTACAAGCGGAGATTGATATATTTAAAAAAGAAAGTGTTCGCCTTGGTTTATCGTTCAGAGCATTAATCAAGCAAACGAGAGATTAAAATTTGTGATAGTTGGGACTAATCTGACAGATCAGGATAAAAAATCTTTCTTTTTTGTGAGATGAAACTGTCAACTGATTTGAATGAAGAGATTATATTAGATTACATTTTTCAATCGATGACCTTCGAACTTTTGCTTTCTTTTTACCAAATAGGGTAATACTACATCATCTATGCTTCGTCAAACAGTTCCAAAATTGCTCCTTGTTCAATTAGGTATTTGGAGCTGGATATACATGGTACTTTATCATAAACAGGTATGTTCAGGAGAGAGTATCAAAAGTTTTTTTTTGTTGTTTAATATTATATTGCGTATCCTAAAAACTAATTGAAAACGTTCAGTATGACTTATAATTTTGAGCATTTTATTTCGTCAAAGAAATATTTTTCAAAATGTTGGAAAATTCCATTCGATATTCTCTCAACTTGATCGTAATTCATAAAAATCAAAATTAGATAACAACTATAAATCCTAATATATCAGTACTCACTTATCAAAAGTTTCAAATTACGAATTCAATTCAACTGAAAAAGCAAAATTTGCTAAGATGTAAAACGAAATAGAGTAATTTTTTGATGATCTGTGCAATATATATATATATATATATATACTAATTGCTGTGCCTTAATCGGTATTTTCGTCTACTGGAAATATTTTCATGAATCATTGGGATTAATAATATTACGACTGAACTGAGCAATTCTTATGAAATTATAAAGAATTTTCTCGTTTGAATGACTAACAAAATTAAATTCTTTTTCTTATTCTAGGATTGGGAAAAATGGGGTGGATATCAAGTGTATGGTTATAAAGGAAAATTTGTTGCGGTAAGTCTTTGGTGATGTTTTTTGATTGATTAATATTCGAATTTTGTTTAATAGAATGTCAGTCCATGGAAAACCCTCGATTCAACGGATTATGTCGATCGTGGATTTAAAGAACGTACAACAAACCGTTGGCCCGAACACAAATACTAGACCTTTTAACCCATCTGCTCTTCATTTTTTTGTAATCCCATTTTTCTTTTTTTTTTGGTTGTATATTAGAGCATCCTCCAGAATTTCCTTTCTCCTAAAATAGAGAAGCAGCTTAAAGACGATGTTTGTTATAGATTTTTATTTAAACGAATATCAATATGGATTTTCAACGTGATTCTATTCGTCCATTATCAAACTATGAAACATATCTTGTTGTTAAACAAATTCATCAAACAAATAATGAACGTGACGTTGGTAAACGTGGTAAAAAAGGCCAAAATCGTACACTTGAACATTGTAATGTTGGTTTAAATACTGTTATATATGGAACATTAAAATATCTTGAACAAAGTCCATGTGTAGAACAAAGTCCGGATATCATAACACAATTTTATAGGGAAGCGAAAAAATTTGAATTAAAAAAACATGAAATACTTCAAATAATTAATTTACGTCCAACAACACCTGTCGAATTGCAATTGATTATAGAAGATTCCGAAACACGTTTAACTGAAACGCAGAGTAACGAATTAATTGAATTAATACGAACACTATTACCACCTGTTGGTGGTTCAACTCACACTAATGTACTTAATGAAGTAATGGAAACGTGATCGTTTTTCTTTCTAGATTATTGAAAAATAAAACGATGTCAACTAAACAAGAATTACAGGTAATATTGAAAACATATGGTTATCATCTTAATCCGTATACGTCAAAAGAAACGATTGTGAATCTGTTACGTCTTCATTTGAAAGTATGAGATATCGAATCAGAATATTTTTCAAGAAAACAGATTTTTCTTTTCAGGCACTTGAAAAAGGAATTGATGTCCCTAAAATGAATGATCATGAACTTCGCTCTAAACTAATTCAATATAATGTCGCAGCTGGTCCTGTTATAAGTAAGGAATTTGATTTATTTATTATGGAAAATAGAGCAATGAAATAATTATGTAGATTATACGCGTGCAATCTATCAACGTAAACTACTTGAAGCAGTAAACAATGAAAATAGTGAAGGTAAATATTATTTGATTGAAATTACTCAATAACTAATAGAAATTATTTAGGAGCTGATGATGAAATTGACGGCGATGAAGATGATTTTCATACACCACCCATACCTGAGGACGATAGTGTTACACGCAGTGGTAAAACGTTTTTGTATCATGCGCAATAAATATTTCTTGGGTATTATTTTTCTCGTGAAATACTTTTCTTTGTATTTAAATTATGTATGTTTTATAAACAAGTTCTGTTTTCCGAATAATCTCGATTTTGTATTTGCTATGTATTTAAAGAAAAATTTATTCTTTTTTTTGTTAATAAACAGTGATTAATAAAATATTTAATCCAGTAGTTTGCAAAGAAACAGCTAAGCGATGATGAAAAAGAAAAGATTCACAGCTGATTTTCTCTTGATCGTATTTTACATCTATGACTTGGAAAAGCGAATCAACAATGAATGCTTACGGCCATACCACGTTGAATACACCAGTTCTCGTCCGATCACTGAAGTTAAGCAACGTCGGGCTCGGTTAGTACTTGGATGGGTGACCGCCTGGGAATACCGAGTGTCGTAAGCTTTTTATTCATTTATTTTTCATTCAGTACAATTCTATAAATTAAACATGGCGATGCATCATATTTTAATACGCCAAGAAAATTTGGCCACACTTTTCTAGTTTTATAAATATAATACTGCATATCATGCTAAAAAAATTTTTTTTTGTATTTTAAAATACTACATCGATAGTAAAGCATATTACTATACATAAATAATCTAACAGTGATTTATTTTATTGCGAATTTATTTTTAACTGATGACGTTCGTTTTACTAGTCGTTCGCAGCGATCGAGAAAACTAATGTTTTGTGACTCGTAGTTCAAAATTCGTAGGAAAACAATTATTTATCCACATGATTCTGTTTTAGTTCCGTTAAATTCTCTGCGAGTAATTAAATAATTATGATTGGGATGTCCAGTAAAGAATTCGTACTCTAGCAGCTGTCGATTAAAAACTAAAATGATAAATAGCATCATTAGTCGAATATTTATACAAAGGGATTATCGTACTATAGATTACAATAGAGGATCGTAAACCTACTAACCTCTTCAACAGTTCATATGTAAAACATTCATGAATAGAATACCATAGTAGGATTTACAGTATACACTTACAGGCTAACAATGCACATAGTATTTTTAATGCGGATCGTTCATTTAACTAGATGGTATTCGAGTTTCACTCGTATACGAAATGCGATGCGAAGCAAGAATCCGTATATCTCCTACGAAAAATCTTCAATTGATAGATTTTAAATATTTTTTATATAGCCGTAATGCAATTCATTACTGAGAAAACTCTATTCTTACTTAGCGATCTATTCTTACAGATTGATTTCGATTGATCATCTCCACGATTCATTATCTTAGATCACCTGTAAATGAATAGAATATAGTGGCTAACATATGATGATGACGTCATTTTAATTATCTCGCAATAAATTTCTTTCATTTTCATCATTTTTGAACGACTGTTCTGAGTGAACGAAACTTCAGGATGAAGATTGGCAAACACATGTTTTCAGTACGATCTCGACGCTTCGCATCGCATTAAAAAATAATCATCGATACGTTTTATATTGATTAACATAAGGTGTAATTTACAATCAGGTAGCTGGCATTTTATCATATACTAACGTCAGAGATATATCTGTTCTTCTATAAAAAAAATAAAAATAATCGACTATATGTAGATTAGATATTTATAAATGCACTTTGACCAACTTTTTCATTAATGAAATAAATACGAGCCATTGATCTGATTCATACACTGGGTGAACTTCTTCAGGTAAATAGAATTTCTAGAGCTTTTGTTTTTTCTCTTTTTTTGTTTTTACTTACATGTCTAGTATTGTTATTGACAGCGTGATTAGTTGAATAAATTACAGTTATGCGAAAACTACAGATTATTTGAAGAATGAATTCTGTCTCGTGGATATCTAACATTGAAAATGATATTCTTCATGTTTTATTTTATTCTTCAAATACAAAAAAAAACCGAAATAACCAATTCACACATTATCAAATACAAGAAAAGGAAAATATAGTGAATACATCGTTAGAGATCTTTAGACTCATAGAATTGAGTACTCTGAATTGACTGTCAGACTTCTCAGCTAAAGTTATACACACACATATTTATATATAGAAGTGTCTGATAAACAAGAGAGAAATTTAGTAAAACAGAAAGATGTTGTCCTAAGTATAAGAAAAGAATGAATGTCATTTTTCGAGCCACAGATAAAGTATGAAGACTATTAATGCGACGGCAATTGTAATACCACCATAGAGGAATGTTCCACCATCTATATAAAAAAGAGAGAATTTTTACAAGCATATACATTGTGAAAATCCTATTTACTTTTGGCTGCAGCATCAAGTTTTTCAACGTTAGACGACTTTGTATTTTCCAATTGATTGGCGAAAGTATTTTTCTTTGGCATGGAATCTTTAATAATTGGAGTTTCTTTATCTTCAATTTTATTTGGTAGAATTCGTGAACGAATTTCATTGAACTCATTGCGTGTTGTTGATGGTAAATCCAATGGTTTTGTATAACGATTTGCATTTGCTGAAATTGTTTCACTTGTTGAAATAGTCGATGTTCGAAATGGTGTTGTTTTATGTTCATGCCGAATTATAATTGGGTCATCGTTTTGAAAATCATATGGATTTCTTAAACCATAGGATGTTGTACTATTTCGTGATTCTGGCTTTGTTGATGAACGTTGTGGTGAATACGTATGCGTTATTGTTTGATCAGATTTTGTTTTTGTACTCGATACATTTGGATAAAATGATGGTAAAGTATGTTTATTTTTTTCATTAAAATCAATACGAGTTAATTCTATACGTGGTTCATGATAAACATCTGCATACGACCGTCCAGGGGACGATGTTACCTCATTATCTCCAATTCTACAAAAAAAAGATAATATTGTAAAAAGTGTCATAAATGTAAATCTAGTTATTCTCGCATTCGAACACATTTACAGAACTTCGTTATGTGTGTGATTAATATTTCGTTTTTGAAATATCTGTCTTCTTAATTTTATTAACAATTAACTTTGTTTTTTCGCTTTACTGAACCTTAAAAAGATCCTATACACTCAGGTTTACCGTAATGCAACATGTTTTCAATGAAACTTGAGTAATTTCTACGACAATGTTTTATAGATAGTAGACGATTGGTAAAACTCACGGACAATTAGTCTGATTTATGATAGTCAACATTTTATTTATATTTACCGAGCTATTGAACTACGAGTTGCTCGTGGCGGTGTCATTGATATTGGTATATCATTATCCATTTCATCTTCTTTTCCTACAAAAATAAAAACAAACTCAAATGAAGTATATTTTTCTAAATCTTATGCCTAATTCTACCTTCGCTTGTTTCATTGGTTAATATTTCAAGTAATTTACGTTGATAAATTGCTCGTGTATGATCTAAAATGATTGATAAATTGTGAATAGAAAAAAAATTCATTCAATTCTTACTTGTAACAGGTCCAACAACAAGACCATTTTCTGTCAGATTTTTACGAAGAGTAAAATCACTTAATTTCGCAACATCAACGCCTTTATTTTCCGAAGCCTAATAAATAAAATAGTAAATCAAATCTAAAAGGAAATGGATTTCTCTTACCGATAAATGAAGACGTAAAACGTTTGACAATGTATCTTTCGATGCAAAAGGACCTAATTCATAACCAATATCTTTTAATTTAAGTTGTAATTCTGCTTTATTCGACATTTTTTAACTTTACAAATGAACCAGTTAAACAAAGAGTTCAATCTTTATATATTTCTCTTTTTTATAAACCAGCAAATGAGACGATTACCACACTCATCCATGACTCATTCTATTGCGCAAGCCAATCAGAAACAAATCATGATTCATATGTCATATCGTGTGTCGAACAAAATAAATAAATAAAGGTTCCTTTGAAATTTAGATATTATTGACGTTGACGCTTATTCGATGATAATATTTTCCAGTGTTTTTCTTTACTATCTTCTTCTCATTCCGTCAACAATTATTATTGCCTTAACGCTTTACGGTCTTAGTTGGATTGGTTTTCAATTATTTATTCATAATTAAAAAAGCACCATGAATCTTGTTCAAATCGAACGAACATCTACCATCGAACAGTTATTAGAAAATGTTTTAAAAAAAACTGAAAATAAAAATTCAAATATTTATAAACAAATTGACAATATTCTTCAATCGAAATCAACAAAATATATTCCAGCTACAATTTTACTTGAAGCATATAAATTATCCGATAAAGAAAATTATCTACATGAAATTTTAGCAGGCAGTGATTTATTTGTACCGGCTTATATTGAACCAGAACGAAATCCTGAGTTAAATGCACGTGTTGAAAAATTAAAAGCCCAACAAGCCAATCATGAATATGATGAGATGACAAAAAATGTCAATTTCAATAGAATTTATGCAAGTAAATCGAACGAAACATTCATGCCTGATATGAAATCTGTACAAGGACAATTAATAACAATTGCAAATGTCTTTTTAACTATTGGTGGAGCTTTTGTGTTTGGCTATAAGTCTGTTGAATATTCAACTGGGACAAACAACTTTGTTTTGCAGATATCATTTGGTCTTCTATGTGCATTTGTTGTTGCTGTTGCTGATATATATTTTCTTCTTAAACGTTTTAATACACTTGCATAACAAATTAAATATGATATCTCAATGAAAATAATACCTCACTATCATTTAGAGATATTCTAGTAATCTGTCATAATAGTTGTCTGAAAGAACTTCCATTTAGACTACGACAACCACGTCATAGTGAATATTATTGTAGTCTTCAGTAAACGAATAAGCAATGTTTTAATATCGAATGAATAAATCGTGAAGAGAAATTTGATAATTTTTGTTATGACACATGGAGTTTCTAGATGGACTATGAATTAGAAAAATTAGCTAGATATGATGAAGAGATTTCATAGGCTGACTATTCATATGTTAATATCACCAATGTATTTTGTTGCTGTAATCAGAATTGTTGCAAAAAATATGTATGTGAGATTAATATTTTTCATCATAACTCATAAATTTTTTTGTCTATTCATAGCAAGTAAGATGAAAATATTGTTTCTGACGTTAGTTTTCGTTTTTTTAATATTAATTTATGAATCAGGATCTATTATAAAGTTTTCCTTCTGAATAAATTGGAATCAGAAATAGTATTTTATTATAAAAAAAAAAAAAAAAACATCGATCTCGGCTTATCCAAACGTAACGCTGTAACACGTTTTTTTTGTCGACCAAATTTGAAGCACTTAATATGCTTAAAATTTTTTAATGTTCATACATATTGATCATTGCCGTGCATATACCCTTCTGTAAAAAGATCAAGTTGCTACATTGAAATAGGAGCTCAACAATTGTACAGCAAGTTAGAAACTGTGCAAGAGCTTAGAAATTGCCCTGAGGAATGAGAGTAGAAAATAAATAAGCCATTTTGTAGAGAATCAAATTCCACATCGAATGGCATATGACTCTGCATTTTTGTTTTAAATTTCTTGGTTAGAAAATTGAAAATACGATTTTTAAAAACTTTAAAGCGCGGTTTTCGATGCCAAAACTCAATTCTTTTTAAGAAAAAAGGTACAAATTCATAGTCAGCGTAAAAACCTGTACCAGAAAATACGCTTAGATCTGTCCATATCGAAAATTTTTTTTAAAACTTGACCAGCGAAGTAGCGCGTTACGTGGATAAGCCGATATATCTTCAAAATGAAAATGTTGATTTCAATTCGAAATCAGCTACCTTTGCCTAAGACATGCACAAACCCAGAAAAAGAAGACTTATTTTACAAAAAAGTTAATGACGGTAGAAAGACTTCAAAGCTTTTACAGATAAAATTAAAGGCATAACTGAAAAGCCACAATAAATCAAAATCTTATTTGACAAAGGCGATTGAAACTGAAAATTATAGTTTTGGTCTTAAAATTCACTTTTTAAAATTGAAATGAAAACAAAAAATATAAATCATTTTTATCACGCAACTTTTCCCCAGTAAAACAGATCTACTTACTTTAGTAGTATACATAGTGAATGCCATTAAAAATTAGTAAGACTCATTACTAATATTTATAATTGTGAAAGTCAATGAATCATCGAACTTTTGTGGTTGAAAAATACAATTTATAACTGATATAAAATTCCAGAATAATCATAAAATAGATTCTTTTCAATTTATTATCAAAGTGTTTATTTTTCGTTTGAAGTCAATACTTTTATTCATTAGTTTTTTCATAAAAGAATCACTGTGTTAAATGCCATTCAAAAAAAATATATAGCGTGATTACTTGAAGTAATTTCCATTTAAAACATTGAAAGATTGTTCAACAGTCTTTAAAATGTGCAAGCATGCGGATTAAAGTAAATTCATAACGAAAAATCTAATGGCAAAACGAAAACCTTCTTCATTCACATTTAACGATAAAACAGCATCTTATGTTCAAAATAGTGTCAGATCTCACGGACAAGGATAAGTGCAGGTAAGGTTGCCATTGTTGCTACCCAGGATACATCTGTTGTTCAAACTGGCTAGTAAATCCACCGATGAAGTGTAGTTAGCAGAAGCGAATTCACATGTGCAATCAATAGTACAGTTATTGTTCGAAAAAATGCAATCAAAGCATGACGTAGTATAATTCGAGCCAATACATACTTGACAATCAGCTATTAAATTAAAGAAAAAAATATTTTAGTTATTTGATAGTACATAAGTGATATTAGCTGTTGATTCAAGTACTCTATAAGCTAGGTGTATTTCCAAATTACTAAACTCCTCATTAGATTAAGAAATAAATGCAGACAACTTTCTTTGACTAAACTTTTCAAATCCATAACTCTAACAGAAACGTAGATTTTATAATAAAAATTAGAATACATACGAGTATTGCAGTCTAAGCCAGTCCATCCTGTTGGACACGTGCAAACACCGGGTGATGTACAGTTGCCAGAATTTAGACAAGGTGTTAAGCAAACAGCTAAAACATTGAAACGTAGAATCGATTACTTTCTCGTGTATTCAGTTTGGAACAAATAGTAGCCAGGTCAGTACCGATATATTATTCAACATAAACTACTTACGTGTGGTGCAATCAGAACCATTCCATTGTGATGTAACACAGGTACAAACACCCGGTGCAGTACAGTTTCCATTATTTTGACAAGGTGAACTACAAACAGGTGTTTCACATCGAGTCCCATTCCATTGTGATGTATCGCAGGTACAAACGCCTGGTGATGTGCAATTTCCATTATTTTGGCAAATTGGAGTACAAACTGGGGTTTCACATCGAGTGCCATTCCATTGTGTTGCATCACATGTACAAACACCCGGTGACGTACAGTTGCCGTTGTTTTCACAAATGGGAGTACAAACAGGTGTTTCACATATCGTGCCATTCCATTGCGATGTATCACAGGTACAAACACCTGGTGACGTACAGTTTCCGTTGTTAAGACATGATGGATTACAAACAGGTATTTCACACAAACTCCCATTCCATTGAGTTGTATTACATGTGCAAACGTTAGGTGCTGTACAGTTACCATCATTAATGCATTGTGGATTACAGATGGCTGTTTGACAGTAGGTGCCACTCCAAGATGCAGTACACTTTTTATGAGAAAAGGTAAGTCAAATAGTTTTTAGATGAATTCTGAACTTACTGAACAGTTATAAGGCGATATGCATGTTCCACCATTTTGACAAGTTGCATTTGGTACTAGGTAGCCTATTGAATCATCATAGTTGATGGGGTTACATAATGCTGCAAATTTTTATTTAAAAATGATTCTATTTTATTTCGAAGGCTTTTTCAATACATACGTTGTCCACAGGTTTCGCCAGTGTAGCCCTTCACACCTTTAAATCAACAAAAAAAATACTATTTTAGAAAATCAGTTTCACTCTTATGATTTCATTGCTTACATTGGCAAATGTTGGGACCAACACATGTACCACCATTCATACAAGTTATTGAGCATATAGCTGGTATAGGAGAAGAGAATATATCAATGACGTTTATAAACTACTGTAAACCAGCTAGACTTACGAGTTACACAAATAGAGCCGGTCCAACTTATATTGTCACAGACACAAATGCCTGGAGCAATGCAAACACCTAGAATTATTAAATCCAATTGATATGAGTGCAGAAAATAATATGTTTAGTATTTAATGAAATACTCATAAAATATGACTGAACTTGACTGACTAATCCATTATTAGTGCTCTTTACTTTTATCTTTATAGAATTTTCTCTATATTAATCGTGCCATATCGAAATAATAATGATTAAAATCATCGAAAACTCACCGCCATTCTGACACCATGGATTACATCTTGGCATGTCGCATAGAAGTCCTGCCCACGAGGTTGTGCAATTACATTCATTTGGTGCTACACAGGAACCTCCATGATCGCAGGCAGTTAGGCAAATAGCTGAAAACACACAAAATAATTCATTTTGTATTATTTCTAAAAACGAAGCAATCGTACGATATTGACAGACGCTTCCATTGTAACCAATTGGGCATGAACAGTTATTTGGAGCTAAGAAAAAATTCTCATTTTTATTGAACGAAAAATGAATCGATGATACATACCCACACATGTTCCTTGATTTTGACATGTAGGTGAGCAAACAGCTAAGAAATATAAAAGAAAGATTATTTCTTTTTATGATGATTTTCGTTGGATTTCATAAAAATACTAATAGAAAAAAATTGACTTACGAGTTGTACACTGTGTTCCTGACCATTGAGACGTACAAGTACTAATAAGATTAAAGATATCAATAATATCTATAAACAAGTATCACAATTGGACATACCATGTTTGTGGAGTTGGCCCACACGTCCCACCATTTGAACAATTAAAACTGCACACAGCTAAAATAAAATAAAATAACCAGAACTTATGTAAATAGAAGAAAATTTAATCTAAAATATTCCATACGTGTAGTACACACTGTTCCACTCCATTTAGTGGTATCACAAGAGCAATTGTTTGGTGAAACCTAATCAAGAATTGTATCGTTTCACGTAAGAGCATAGATTTTCAATGAAATTCAACTTACACAAGTACCACCATTCTGACAAGAAGGTGTGCAGTTTGCTAAAAAGAAACATGATTTCAAATGATTAAAATGTCAAAGAAAAACAATAATCCAAAATCGAATACTTGCCTGTTTGACAAATACTGCCCGTCCATCCCGCAGCGCAAGTACAAACATCGGGTGCTAAAAAAAGGGACAATATTTTATTTATTAATCAATCGATCGATCCGTCCATCAAAATATTACCTGTGCAATTTCCATTGTTTAAACACGAATTTGTGCATATAGCTAGAATATTATCGATAATTTACATATATTACTAAAAACAATGTTACTAACGAAATTCACACACTGAACCATTAAACGTTGTTGGACACGTACAAACTGACGGTGCAGTCTAATGAAGAAAGTATATTTTCAATGAATAGCAATAAACTTTAATTTTTCACTTACACAATTACCACCATTCTGACAAGGGGATGTACATATAGCTAAACAAATAAAAAGAACCATTGACTTGAACAACGGTCATCGACTTGAAAGAAAATCTTACGAGATTGACAATAGCTGCCATTATAACCTGACGAACAAACACACGTATTTGGAGCAGTACAGTTCGAATTGTGCATACAAGTAGGTGAGCAAATTGCTAATAGAAATATAACGCCGTTTTTCCCGCATAAAATATAAACGATTGTTCAGAAAATACTTACGTGTACTACATGTGCTACCCGTCCAATCCGTACTACAATTGCAAACATTTGGATATGTGCAATTTCCATTAACACATGAGGGCGAACATATTGCTGCGAATATACAAAATTATAAATTCATAGGATTGAATCTCTATCAAGTTATTTACGTTCATCACAACTTGTTCCATTCCAGCCAGTGTTACACCTAAGCAAACATAATTTAAGATTCTACCAGAAGATTCTGTAGGAAAATACGTACAAACAATTGCCCGGAGACGTACAATATCCGTGAACACAAGAAGGAGAACAAACCGCTAAAAAAAGAGTGTCAATAAATTTATTGCTCAATGGACTTTAGAAAACGACTTACGTGTTAAACAAAGATAACCAGTATATGTAACATTACAGCTATAGCAGTAAAAAAATAAACACAAATAAGTATAAGTTATTCAAAGAAAGAATGCTAAAATCTAACGTGCAATAATTGGGTCCAGTACAATTACCATTAACACATTGTGGGATGCAAATAGCTGGAAAAAATAATTAAGATAAAGTTCATTTGTTAGTTTACAAAATTTGAATTTACGTTGATCGCAATAAGTTCCATTCCAACCGGCCTGACAGGTACATTTATAAGGATCTGCACACACTCCATTAATGCAAGTTTGATTACAAATAGCTAAGAAAAGCAAAAATTTCAATAGATAAATATTATTCACAGTAATAAAAACAAAATGGCTCGAACAATAGAAGATCAAGGTTTTAATTCATTGGTGAAAATCAAAATACATTCCCAGTTTTGTTTTATTTTGAAAACCAGATGTCCTATATTATTTATGTCGACATCAAGACGATAATTGCTATAAAAACTATTTCAATCAGAAACAATTCTCATGAAAAACTGCTCTTATGAAATACAATAAAAATATGCATCACTGTTCTGTGAAGTTTTCAATATATTAAATATGTATGAACTGAGAAAAACACAATTCGTAGCGTAGATAATTTTGTCATCTGGCATTGTTATAAATAAAATTGTTAGATCAGTTTATATTTCTGCGATATTTTCTGAGAATATACATTCGGGATGAGATATTGGGTGCGCCATATATTACTAGAACGCTTCTGCTAAGGCAAGCGAAAGAATAATTGTCATTACTTAATTTAACAATCAATCAATTTCAGAAGAAAATAGAAGTATTATTATTATTTTTAGTCAGTCGTTTTAATGAAAGACTTTTGTTTAATTTTTTTGAGAACAATTTAAACTAAAATTCTCACTAATGGTCATTTAAATGACTTTTGCATTTTATTGTATTTTAAATAAATTTCTATCAAGTCTATTTTTGTTTCGATAAAAAAGGCACAATGATCTTACTTGTTTGACAACGATCGCCAGAGTAGCCTGATAAGCAAGTACAAATATTCTGCGGCGAACAAGTACCTCCATTCCAACAACCAGGGAAACAAGAATAATCTATGATCAGAAAATGATTACAAGACTCTAGATCGTCATCATAGATTTACCTGGATATTGAAGTGATAAAAGAAAAGGTGGCAAAAAGACAGCGGCTGCTCCACAGACTAAAATTACTGTTACTACGCCCACAAGTGGAACTATTGGCGATATAGAAAAAGAAGTTGCAGCTTTTGCGGGTATCAGTGATTTAGTTGATATTGTTGTTGATTTTGTCTTCCTAGAATATTAGTATGTTAAGATTGATAGATGTCTCTCTGAAAAGTTTGCTTACGATGTTGATGATGTAGTAGTGATTGAATCTTTATTACTACTTATTTTCGTAGTATTTGCTGATTCATCGACAGGCATATGTGCCTGTGATATAGTATTGATGTGTGAATCTGCTGGTGGCGATTCGTCGACAGCTGAATGAGCTTCTGGGGGTTCTCCATCATGAACGAAAGAAACGGCTTGCTTGATACGTGGTAAAATTGGATCTTTTTTAAGTGCTAAACTAAGTAAATTCTTTCGTTTAGCTTGAAATGCTAACGCAGCGGCACTTGCAGCCATAGCTAGAATAAACGATAATAAATACTTTATCATATATTACTTGAGGATCAATCGAAATTTTAAACCCTTATAACTCAACTATATTAGAAAAAGAATTGAATATTACTATTATTGTGTATTATTTTTCAATCTTTTCTTAGTTTAGTTTATTCTCGAAATCGCGAGCGCAAATAAGCATAAAATGACGATTGTGTAACTTGAATGACAGATGAAGAAGTTTTTCTTTTTCAAACAGCTAAAAACTAAACATTACTATGTGCAAAATGCACGCACACAATGTTATGCCAATAATAAATGCAGTAATTCAATTGATTGCATAAACAAAAAAATCTTTATGCTTTGATAAGTAAAAGTCGCCCACATATTTACCTTTCAATAAGCGGCTAAGTGAATGAAAGCTCTTGTCAATGGAAAATACAAGATTTGCTGACGCCGCGACAATATTTTATTTCGTCTATTTTACGCATATTTACGAAACATGTTTTGGATATTATGTAACGTATCTTTATCGGTTTTTTTTCTATTGAACAATGATTGTTTTTGCAGTAAGCTTAATACTATTGATTTCAGTGAATTACTCAAGTGCTTTCTCGAAAACAAATCGGATTTAGAAAAAATAAAAGCCATGGTTTATCTTTAAATTTTATCAATGAACATATTTGTCCTACGTAAACATCATTCATGATCTTGGAACACTGCCTTGACGAGCTGGAATTTTAGTATACGCCACAAAACTATTCTGAACAAACCAATAGATCTGATGAAAATGTTTTTTTTCTGTATGATCTTGTCATAAATTGAACTTTGCAGCTGTTTCTTTTTTATGATTTTGTGCTTTAGTTTTTCATGACTTTTATCTCCCACTCGAGAAAGTATTTTCATTTTTACTTTAGTTCCTGCTAAAAAACAATAACCTTAAGTTGACGAGATAAAAAAAACTGTCCACAACCGTTCCCTGTCAGGTTTTGTTTCTATTTTTGACAGATTAGCAAGCTCTTTTTTCAAGTGCATCAGCAAAATGGTACAATGACGAAATCAGATGAAGTAAATATAGATTTTTTTCTCACGAACTAACATTTAATGCAATACAGACAGTTGAAACTTACTTCAAGCATATTTTCTCAAAAATGACACCGTATTAGCGTTGTTGTATTACTGAGTCTATTTGAAATCAACTATTGACAAGAATTCCATTGTTTTATGTCTAACGTTTTTTGTGAATTCCTTTTCTAATATAAACAAAAAAGGTATTGATCCAAAAATATGGCAAAAAACAACATGAGAATCTATTTGGCACGGTGAAAATTTTTTGGTATATAGTGTTTTACATCATGATGGTTAATTGTTTCTTCTATAAGAAAAAGACTTCAAATATTTCAGTAGAAAGAGGGTTAATTTATTTCTTATGTTTATTTTTTATAAAAATAATGAAGCAATAACGATGAATCGCTATAAGCATTTTAAATGGCGTAAACACTTAGAAACACAATGTCCCCAAGAGTTGATACGAGTTTTGCCGGTCAAAATCGATATTTAGTGAATCGAATGAAATTGAGTCATTTATTTAGATTGTCATGAAAATGAAGAAGTCAACGTCAAAATGACAATTTTAAGATTCTTCTTTTTACTTGTGTAAATCATTGGCGTGGTAATCTTATTGAACGACAAAAAACATTTTTGTTGAAATATGTGGTAACATATAGAGTATTCAAACAAGAAAACAAAACTTGCAAGAATCCGTTTACGATGAGTCATTTTAATCAAATTTTTATATTCAGATTATATTGGAAATTTAATTTTTGGAAATAACTAATGAAGTTAAAGGACGATGAAAATGTCTCACAATTTACAACATCTCATGAGATAAAGATAGGGTTCGCGTATACGTATCTTCTATATTGATGTTTTAAAACGAGAGGCGATACACGAAAACAAGCCATTTTACGAATCAACAAATTCTATAGAAACATTAATTTATTTCAATTTTGTTAAATAACAATAAATACGAAATATTCTTCTGCAAAGTGTTCTTTCGTTGTATCAAGAATAGTAACATGACTGACATCTATCTTGTACTGAAACACGTTTATGGTTGGTGTTACTCTTGCAAACAAAGCAAATAAATAAATAGTGGATTCATCGACTCAACGAAGAACTTCGTTCGATCAAAAAGCATTCAGTTATTCGTGGTAGAGATTTTACCTAATTAATTAGTTGTAGTTTTAGGGAAGGTTTAGAACATCACAGAATAAAATAACATATTTGTTCGGTCGATAAATATTTCAATAATGGTAAGTGAACATTAGAGCATATCGCTATTTGTATGTTTAATTTAGCTTGTACTTGTCTTGGGTGATCTTCACATTCCTTATCGTGTCAGTGGTTTACCACATGAATTTCGAAAACTTTTAACTCCAGGTCGTATTCAACATATTCTATGCACTGGAAATTTATGTACAAAGGAAACAATTGATTATTTAAAAACATTGACTGCTGATGTTCATATTGTTCGTGGAGATTTCGACGATGTATGTATCTATTTAGTATATAAGATACGTATAATTATTTAATTATTATGATCTAGAATCCAAATTTTGTCGATCAAAAAGTAGTTACTGTGGGTCAATTCCGTATTGGTCTTTGTCATGGTCATCAAATCGTTCCATGGGGTAATTTTTGTATATTTTTAATTCGTTTCAATGGTTGTTTTCTATAGGGGATGTTGAAAGTTTAAGTATGCTTCAACGTCAAATGGACGTAGATATTCTTATTACTGGTCACACACATAAATTTGAAGCATTTGAACGTGACAATAAGTTTTTTATTAATCCTGGTTCAGCTACCGGAGCATTTAATGCATTAAATAGGTTAGTCTAAAAAAAATGGTTGTCCTGTAGTTCATAGTTATTTTTGTTTTTCAAGTTCAACAACGCCTTCTTTTGTATTAATGGACATCCAACAAGCATCACTTACACTCTATGTTTATCAACTAGTCAATGAAAAATTTACAGTTGAACGACTTGAATATCGCAAAGCTTAGTTCTTTTTTTCTTTGCTCTATTGATTCTTTTGTGATTTACTCTTGTTCCTAGTCGATCCTGAAATATGTTTGCATTCATTTGTATTGTGTCTGTAATTTATTTTTTTTTATATCGATAGAAATCTTATTTAAACATTAATCTACATTCTGCTACTTCTTTCTCTTTTTTCTTGTAATAGATAAGAAAAAAAAAACTAATGTTGAAAGATTCGAAATTTTCATCACATCTTCTTCATTTATCGCAATTACAAACTATTAATCATAAAACTTTGGATGAATATCGAGATCGTCTAAAAACTTATGAAGTGAATTGTCATTTTCTTTTGATCTATTTTAAAATTACTTTAAATTTATTTTTCTACAAATAAGGATTATCTTTGGTTTGGTAAACCTGATCAAATATCAGCTATTGAATGTTCCCGACGTGGTTGGGCATGTAAATCAAATGATTTGATTGAATGTGTCAATTGCCATGCACAAATAGCCGCTCAATTGCCTAGTGTTCTTAAAAAGGATCTATGTAAGTTATGAGGGAAAAAGAACTGCGGCTCCAGTAAGAACATGAGAGACTGGTCGAGACTTGTAGGATCGAACTGTGATGATTTTCTAATAGTAAGAAGTGTATGTCAATAGATGTAGTCGAATTTAAATAAAATATGGTAACTAAATTTTTCTTGAATACAAGAATAACAATAAAGCTCTTATCGATTAGAATTTCTGTGGACCCCGGGAAAGTTTTGGCTGATTTTTTAAAATTTATAGACTGATAAAAATTAGCCTAAGACAATTATATTTACACGATGCAATCTCTTTCTCAATCCGGATATGTATCACTCGAACTATAAGAGCTATATCTATATACTACCCGTGAACTATTCGTCAAAGTTGTATGTTGAATTTTGTCTAATTTAGATACGGAATGTATAGAAAATATTTTCCGATCTCTGGTTGATTCTCATCATCGATATTGTGTATGGAAATTTATGATTATACCTGAGTCAATAGTACAACTTACAGATATTTTTTCAAATGAAACAGTAAATACATTATTAAAAGAAGCAGAAATTTTTTTATCACGCATTCATCGAATTACTATTGTTGGTCAATTACAAACAGTTCGTTTCTTCACCAAGGAGATTTTATGTTTTTCACAGCTTTTTTCCTGTTGTGATTTTAGATGTTTCAAATTGAAGCAACAGATTTCGATCTTTTATCTAGTTCACATTTAAATGATCCACATTTATTATCTGCTTTTAAAATTCTTGTTTTCTATTGGAAATTTAATAATTCATCATTAATGTGTGATAAATGTTGTCGAGAAATTCATATTGATATGAATCATCTTACATTTGATCCTATTTTATCGCATCGTGCTTGGTGTCCCATTTTAAAAAATGATCAATGGAAAAAACGTATTGAGCAAATTGAAAATATTCTTTATAAAACATCACGAAATAAACTCAGCAACATAAAAGCAAATAATGACGTAACTGGTTTTTTTAAATTTTAAAAATAAATTATCAATTTTCTAAAAATGTGCTTTTTTTAGCAAATGGAACAGATTCTTCCTGACATAATATCAACACAAAATCTTTTTCATGAATTAATATCAAGTAAAGAATATTATCGGTCATGCGTACAAAGTACATTTGTTGACAATACAGCAACATCAGATATGGATCGCGAAAATAATAAATCAATGTCATCATAAGACTTTTTTTTCTATTCTTGTTCTCTATCGTACTGATTCATAGATCAGATATATTTGTAATAATAAATAAACAAAAAAAAAAAAGGAAATTGTAAACATATTTATTTTATTTTCATTATTTGCTTATGTCTTTTAATTCTAGAAAAATTAATGTCGACTGGTGATAAACGATATTTTCAACGTACATTACATTATTTTCCAAGTATTGAGAATGATGCATCGCGAGTTACATGGGCACATGCTGTTAATAGCCGACAACAACTTGAGGAAAGTCTTCAAAGTAAGTTGTAAAATATGAACTAGTGAATGCCACATGGCGAATGGATCTATCAGTAATTTAATGAGACGAGTAGACTGAAATTATACAACTTTTTCTATTAAAGGAATAGTTCTAGTAATCGGAAACAAGTTTTATTATGAAGTCTTCGAAAAAATTGAAAATTCTTCTAATATGACTCCTAGTTATTGTTTTTCACCAATTAGATAATAACATCTTATAGTTTTACTTTTTCAAAAGAGTTATGGAGATTTTCAACTTATTGATTATGAATGAAAGACACGCCATTTGTAGAAACTCATCGTGTTCTATTGAAAGTTTGGTTCTTTGTTTTGTTTTCAATCATATATACTTTTATGAATAGGTTCACTTATGTTTATTGAAGCCGATATTCTAATCGGTTCATCATCGCCTGATCCAATCATGGCTCATCCACCAAATAAAACCAGTGATTTAACTTTTTCTGAATTTCTCAAGCAAATTAAATCATCAAGTAAAGGCCTCAAACTTGACTTTAAAGATATCAATGCATTGCAACCGTGCCTCGACGCGTTAGAAGCTCAAAAGGATGATGTTAGTTCTTTAAAACAAAACTTGAAACTTATTTTCTTTTGTCATTTATTATATATTTTCTTAGATTAACGGCCCAATTATTCTCAATGCTGATATTGTTCGTGCTAATCCACAATGTGCACCACCTATTGATGCTCAACGTTTCCTAAGTGAAAGTCTTGCATTTGCTTTTGGTGTCATACCACAATTAATGATATCATTTTCACTTGGATGGACAACTATTTACGATAAAACAACAACATCATATACGTGGTCAAGCGTGATTAATATGTATAGAACAATAACACAGAATGATAATTATTCTCTATTTAATTTTGAGATCACTTTTCCGATTCGTCTTTCATTAGCACTTAAATCATTTGATCAACTTCATTGGCTTGCAACAGTAACGAAGTCAGGTTTAACATTTTGGTCGCCTATTGGTGAAGTTGAAAATACACCGGAAAATTTAGCTCGTCTATTGCAATATCGAACGTCGTTTAGTCGTTCGTTAATCTATTATGATTTGCCGCCGCCATTGGATGGATTGATAAATGAAAATTCCTATACTCAAAATGAACGAGAAGATGAAAAAAAAATCTTTCCTTCAATGAAAGATCATTGGCATACAATATCAGGTCAAGAAGATAATGTACTGGTATCAGATTTTAGTGCTGTTATATTGAAATCAAATGTATTTTTACGTACCAAACAAACATTTGATTCAACAGTTGCTTGCACATGGACAGGCACCATTGATTTTCTTACTGATGCATCATCGCAAACACAAGCTGTCCTATGTTATTTAGCTGAAACTGAACATACGTCAAAAGCAGGTTAGTATCAATTCATTTTCAACAACAACAAAATACGATTTATTTTCATTTATAAAATATCCCCATAGGAATGACAATCACAATATCAAAAACAGGTTCTATTGAAGTTGTCTATGAAAATTCTCAAGGTTCATCACAAGTCGATGAAAGCTTTGTTTTTCCAAGTTATTCATATGCATTTCGAATTCAAGATTCAATATCAACCATTCATATTGAAATTTCATCACTTGACATTGAAAATCTCTCATTAACATCATCGACGTCTTCATCTGTTTCAACTTCTGTTCAATTAACTGTTTTTCTTGATACAGGTCGTCGTCGTATCGTATCATCCGATGAAAATAAACATTTTCATGCTGCTGTTATGGGACGAAATATTGAACAAATGACATCGACTGAGAATAATCCTACTGGTGGTATGGTTTTTTCTCGTTTACGTCTTACACAAGAATCAATATTTACGAATTGAATGTACATATTATTTCTGTATTGATCTACATTTTCCTTCTTCTTGCGTTTTGTTAATTATTAGACGTATACTAAGAGTATACACACAATTTTTGGTAATAACTGTTTTGGTAGCTCAGCTAATATTATTATGTACTCTATTTCCTGAATATTTATTGACCATAAAATAAACACGACTAATCTTGGACAAATTGATTTATTTTCTGTTTCGATCTCACGATAATATATATGAAGACTGAATCAATCTATTTTTCTATTTATTAAATTAATATAAGTATAGTAAAATGAATTATTCTGTACAAAACATTCTCGATCAAGTGCCCGTGTGTTTCAGAAAAATAAAAAATAAAGGAAATTCGTACACATAAACAAGATTTTTTCGATTATTTATTTCTGTTCGTTTAGTTAACAATAGCACTACTTTTTTTCTGAGCATTTTTGCGTATTGGTTCATGATGATCAGTAAAATAATAGTAACTTCCTTCAGTAGCTTTATCACCTAAGCAAAATCTTAGATGTAACCGCCAGCCACCTTGAGGCCACGATAAATCATGTAGAGTTAATGTATCTAATTTTGTTGATACGCTTTCGTTTGGTTCAAGTAGCGTTGGTTCAACATCACGTGCCTGTCCGTGACCTGGAAAAAAGTGATTGCCAGCATCTGTAATGACAAAGACACTTTCTTCCCAAAGAATTGTTTTCGTATGGCTGTCACGTAATAATGCAGGAATTTCAACAGGTCGACTGCTATTATTTTTTACTGTTAGTTTAAAAACACCTTAAACAAGACAGTAGAATGTGAAATAAATAGAAAATGAACACATTGAATACATACCATCACCATCGGGATTTTTATATTCTTTGACATGAGCTGCTTGTACCGGTTCACATGTAAGTGCAATATCATCACTTGTAATAAGTAGTGGTCGACCAGTTTTTGCGCATTTATCATGACTACTATATTGTTTATTATCGTGCCATTTGACAGTTTTTGCATGAGAATGTTGCCAAGGACTTTCATAGTGTCCATTGGATTGTTTACTCCATCCTAATGGAATTTTCGAGAGTTTAAGCAATTCTTCGATTGTATTATTATCTAATTCAACTAGCGTATTTATATGTTGTCCATCACTCGAACATGCTAAATAACTGATACCAACTGTTGGCTCTTTTACTTGTTCTTGTAGTGATTGATCTCCTAGAGTTTCGGAGCCATCAGGATTTTGAATAACCTGCAGAAGAAAATGACCTGCACCATGTTGATAATAACCGAATTCAGTTGTCGCGACAGAACCACGTAACGATCGAATATTGCCCATAATTAATTTGTAATGATTAATCGGTGGCATCGATCTTGTGGATATTCCCGGAATCACTTGATCGATAGTACCAATAAATGCAATTGGTGTTTTAGCCAAATATTCAGTCGCATGCTCTTTGCCGTAAACCATAATTAATATTAGTATAGCAAAGTGAATACTACTAAAATAAAACAAAACAAAAAAGAATATTTCACGGCGTTTATATATACAACCTTCGATGCAAGGTCTATGAATCAGAAGTAAAAAAAAAAAGAGGAATAGTTTTTCTCGCTCATTTTTGTTTTCGAAAGCAAAGCAGTACCTTTAAGTTTTTTTTCTTCTTCTCGTCTAATGTTACAAGATAGAGTCTATGAGTGTTAATGACATTTTTTGTGTTGCTATATTTATAGAAAGCGATTATTCATGCAAGAAATAATATGAATCATTCTTCGATCGTCTTTTAGAGGCATAACGTAAGTAAAAAATGGAGGACAAAATAAGTTTTCCGTTGCATTCTCTACTTAGAGAGCAATGTGTTCGATATTCTGTTAATCTCAATTCTATTTTATAATTTATCGATATGCTTTGTATTAATAGAACAGCTAACACATATAATCTATTTTTTAATATTAGTCATCAATAGACTATTTTTTCTATCACGATAATGTTGAATCTATATAAAAAGTTTGCTAATTATCTGCTGATTTGTAAGGCAATTACTTTTCCTTTTGATACAGCTTGCATTCAAAATAAGTAGAATTACTTTTTTAATTGATATATATAAAACTAAAGCACGGTACTGATTCCAAAACCCTGATTTGTGTCAAATGTAATAGTGTTCATTTTAAATACAGTATAAAAAAAACAGAAACGCTTGGAATTGTTCAATATTGACAAACTGCTTTGTTTTGTCACAGCAATCGCTATTTGTGAAACTTTTGTATTCTATTAGTATTGAATTTCAACATCATGTTGCTTTTACTTATAAAGATTATTTCATATTTTTCAAATCGAATCAATATTAATATCTCAATTAATTGTCCTGATATTTGCTTGAGTACTATTTTCCGTTTACTCAGAATATCCAATTCCAAACCCTGATTTATTCAATCGATCTGAAACGGTATCTTCAATATTCTTTCTTACACGCAGATTAACTTTTCATTTGTATGAATATTCCATAAACATTAATAGAAGTCTAGAATTAAAATGTATCATTGAATAAACTTGTAGAGATATTTTCATTAATTTGGACATTTTACATCATAAAACGAAATGAACATATAAAAGGATTTCAGTTGTTTGAGACTAGGAAATTTTTAATTCAGTATATTCTAAGCTTTGACGTATCAAAATATAAGGTATTTTAATAAATATAATTACTGTGGCATTGAATAATCGAAAATATTTTTTCATTCCTGTTGTTATGATGATCGGATAGAATCCATTTAATTTTAAAAAGAAAGAAAAACAATTTTATTTTAAATTCAACAAACACTTTTAAAAAAATACCACAGATACTATCAAGTTGATGTATGGGAGACAAGGGACTAAAATTTGTCGTTATAATGTGAATCATAGATTTTTTATGCAGCCTGGTGAGGCCTAGTCAATGATCATCAGAAATAAAAACGAACTATTTTTAAATTTCAAATTGCCAGAAGTATATGCCTACTGTACTGTCTTAGTCTATGCAACATACCGAGAGTGACAGATATTTTAGTGAGTTAGCATGTAAGTGAAAACTTAGTCTTACTAAGTAATTATAAGATTATCTTCACGACAAGAAACAAATACGAGTTAGATGGTAATGACTATCTGTAGGAAGCAAATAGAAACTAGGTTTAACTATGTCAGAGCAAAGAATTTTCTTTCATAGATAACCAAAACAAATTTTATAACCTATGATAAATGAAAAGCTATCCTTAAATTAAACTAATGAATTCATACAGAAATATCTTTTAGTTTTTATGGTAACAGAGGAAAGAATAAGACTGCTAAAAATTGAAGATAATGATCTACAAAACAATGAAAAACTCCATCAATCATCGACTGATTTTAGTAATCTTGGTACTTGTTCATTCTGGAGACGAATAAAATGACAAAAAAACTGCATTATTTGTTCTTTACTCCGAAATATTTGAGGGTTTGAGCGCAGGTGAATTCATATTCAATCGTTACCCACACCCTAGTTAATGAAATCTTGTTGCACAAAACAAAAGCATTTTGTGTATACTTTCAATCACTGGAATAACATTTAATGATATCATCTGATATTAAAATTTTTCGTCATTCGTGATCATTATCAGAAAAATTAATTTTACTTTGGCATAGAAAATAAATATATGGTACTTAGAAATGAAACTTAATATCTAGATCGCCTCCAAAAAACAACACAAATAGAATTCTTTTGTCGACTTTTGCAGTTTCCAATGTGCTCTTTCCACTAGAAGACAAGAGAAAATATCTACGACATTTCATCTCAATACTATTTTGAAAGCAAAATTAATCCAAAAATTTAGTACCACCCATTAGATCTTATGTGTATTTTTTTTGGCAATTAAAATTACAATCTAGTATTGCTAAAAAGCATTCTTTTGCACTTAACCATTGCGAAAATATAGCAGGACATGTTCTCAAAATTCACGAATAAATCATATGTGTAGACATCTTTCGAGTAGCGTCTTTATTGATATATCACATATCATAGATGCAACCAGTTAATACCGTGCTCTTTTCTGTCGTTCTATACGTTTTCGTTGTTCTCTTACTTTTTTTCTTTTTCGTTTATGGGATCCGAGCATCACATTTATAACCCATTGCTCGCCTTGCATGATTAATAGTAACTAACACATATCTCATCAAAAAATACAGATAAAACAATATTTTTTTTTCCGAACGCAGAAAAAAATCTAGAAAAATTATCAAGGTAAGTAGAATATTATAATTAATTTTATTTATTCAACATGCTTCGTTGTTTATAATTAAAGAATTTTCAAAGAACAAAATATGCCACAACGCCGAGTTCTTGTTTTTGATTCTAAAAGCTATGACGAAAAAACATTTCGACAAGCTTTAAAAACGTTAAATGGTCAAAGTAAACTTCATTTTACATTTTTAGAAAGTAAATTAAATCAGGAAACAGTTGATCAAGCTCATGGGTTCGATGGTATTTGTGCATTTGTAAATGATATTCTTGATAGAAATATCATTGAAGAATTACATAAAGAATGTAGTTCAGTTAAAATAATTGCTTTGAGAAGTGCCGGTTTTAATCATGTTGATCTCGGAGTGGCAAAAAAATATAATATAAAAGTATGTCGCGTACCACGATATTCACCGTATGCTGTTGCTGAACATTCCGTAGCTCTTTTACTTTCATTGAATCGTAATTTACATCATGCATATTATCGAACAAAACAGCATAATTTTTCCTTGGACGGTCTTGTTGGTCTTGATCTTTTTGGTAAAACAGTTGGCATTATTGGAACAGGTGGAATCGGTATGTGTGCCATTAATATATTTTTGGGCTTTGGTTGTCGCGTTTTAGCTAACGATATCTTGCCAAATGAGCAAGTTGCGAAAGAAAAAGGTTTTACATATGTTACCATGGATGAGTTACTTGACCAAAGCGATGTTGGTATGATAGATAAATATTTATTTATATTTAAAAAAACGCAAGTATTTATTTTTAGTATCACTTTATGCTCCATTGCTTGACTCAACTTATCATTTAATTAATAGAGAAGCGTTAGAAAAAATGAAACGTGGAGCTATATTAATAAACACAAGTCGTGGTGGATTAATTGATACAAATGCACTTGTCGATTGTCTCAAGTCAGGAAAACTACGAGGTGCTGCTATTGATGTTTACGAAAATGAAAAGGACTACTTTTTCAATGACTGTAGTCAACAAGTAATTTTTATTGCTTTAATCAAAGCTGTTTTCTATTGAATAAAATATTATTGATAGGTAATGGCTGACGATACATTGGCTCGTTTAATTTCAATGCCAAATACAATCGTTACGTCTCATCAAGCATTTCTTACTGAAGAAGCTTTAAGAAATATTGCTGAAACCACGATACAAAATTTACTAGACTTTTTCGATGGTAAACCACTTAGTCAACAAAATGAAGTTAAAGCTCCGGAAAAACATTGAATAAACTAACCGCTAAAACAGTTCTAATTGACGTAAATTTATAGCTAAACTAAATGTGTTCAATGAAAATCGATGACAACGTATTTTATCATGATCTTTGAACCATTAATAAAGACTTAATACAACAATAAAATATCTTGACGAGAGAAACTCGTTTTCTTTTTACTAGTTAGTTACAAATACAATTACATAGATAATAAAAGAAAATTGAATGAATTTTTTGTAATTTTATTTAACTTTATTTTTATTAAAAATATTAGTTGAACTTACAATATATTATAAAGAAATACATGACGATGTTATAATTGAATTTATTTCGATAAAAAACACTCATTAATGCAAGTTATTCGTTTAAACACAGTAATCCTCGTTTGGCTTAAAATGAAAATTATATTTTGAATAAGCATAAAATCTGAGTCGATCTAAACGTTTCCAATTATTGCGTCTGTGACTTTTGTTTTCAGTCAGATTTTCACCCCTGGTTCCCTCAAGGTTTACACGAACAAAATTAATTTATTCACAACAGTTATTTCATTGATTGCTAATTGATCTGCTTTATTTCAAACATCATTCCCAACGGTTGGAACTTTTGTCACATTGCTCACATGACTTTTGGATAAATTAATTATTTCGTTTATCTATGAGATGGACCAGGAGTGAAAATCTGACTGAAAACAAAAGCTGTACAAACAATTAGATTGACTCGGAATTTGTGCTGGCTCCATATATAATATTTCCTTCAAGTAAAATCAGGATTATTCTATTTGGAACTATCGAATATCTGTCATTTCTGACAGAAATCCGGCTTCCTGAATATTATTAGAACTGAAACGCTTCACATCGAACGAGCCTATTTTCAAACGGTATAAATCGAATATTCATGTACCTGTGGGCCAATAGTTGTTTTTTAAGTCTTCCAGAGAGTGCTTCAGAACTTTCTTAGTATCCAATGAATTTTAAAATCTAAGATGATATTTGTGATCAGGAAACGTAACTTTATCGAAATATAACTGCTCGCACTAAAATCAGAACAAAAGATTTTTTTTCGATCCTTGACGGGTAGGTACCCCAGATGTTAAATATTGATTTTCCATCAAATACACAATACACTCCTAGAAAATAATCGGAATTCAATGATGCCTCTTAAGCTAATAAAATTATATGCAGGTTATTTTTACTAAGGGGTATGGTATTTCGTACAATGTTATTTTAATACCCGAGAGAAGGCAGAAGTTGTAAAAATTCAATCGCGATAAAATGAAAAATAATCAGAGCTCAGTGTTTCCTCTCACACCAATGAAAGCTGTTAGTGCAATCCCTGTGGGATTAAAATGTGAAGCACGATGAAACTCCTTTGCTGAAACTCGTCTATCACGACCTTTGAATATTTGCAGATTTTCTGCCATGGTCTGTAATCATACATGGAGCCTTTCGGTCATTGTCTGTGATGATCTGTGGAAATTCGATGTCACGGTCTGGGGGGTGGGGGTGGGAGATCCAAATTTCTACCCTATATACTCCAACACTCCTTTCAGATCATGTTTCACAAAAGAGGGATCAAACGTTTTGGTATATCATTTCGTAATTTAATATACGGTTACATTCTAAGGATGTTTTTCTTTTTCTGTTGATTTCCCCTTCGCTAGTGTAGTCTGAGTTCTGGAGTCTTTCGGTCTCTTATAACCAGCGTCTTGTTGTCAGTCTTATTTCTGTAGTCTCCATTTCGCTGTTTTGCTGTAGTGAGTAAAAACGTTAGTCTTGGTCGTTTGTCTTTCTGTATTTGAAAATCTTAATCATGGAGATAGTCTTTGTTAGGTAGCGGCGCTATCTGCGACCACTACCTCTCTCTTTGTTCGCACATCTATATATTGGCCAGGAGACCTAAGTGAAGATAGATTGGAAAAGAAGTAAAGGGAGAGTAAAAGGGAGTTGTTGAATAAAGTAGACAAGTTAGTTTACAGATTAACAGTCTTAGTCATCGATTTTTTGTGCTTTTTTAGCACGAGTCGTAAAGTCAGTATTGTACGTTAGAGTCTTGACATCTTTCAAAATGGCTGCCATGAAATTAGTTCAAGTTTCTAAGTCGTCATGTCTGTTAATGTCATTGCGATGAAATTAGTGAATGTTGTTAAATGTAGCATCCGGTCGAACTCAGAGTCATGAAAGGCAAGGAAAGCCCTATAGGGATGAAATATTTTGTGTATTGAATTCAAAGTCTTTATGGTAGCCTGACTTCTGACGTCGTTATTGCTTTAGAAGGTATCACGTTGAAGTCATTCGTGCTCTTGGAGTTTTTAGTTTTGTTACCTTTGAACTGTAGTTTTGGTGTTTAGATTTGTTTCCGGACCTTTACCAGATCAATTTGGGAACTATACCCTATAATGTGCAACAATAAATATCTACTGTTTTTTCATCATTCTTCTCGTATCATTCTTCTGTATAAATCGGTTAAAAGGATCCTGAGCTGACCGAAACTTGCACTAGATTCCGTTCCAGTCTGCTGACAAGGATGAGAGCACTTGTACTTCGACGAAATATAAATGGACGAGGAAGAAGAAAGATGACATTCTTTTAACGACCTGATTATTAAGTCCAACTCTTCAATCCTCCTAGTAAAGTTTGTCACAAGCCATCCAAGTTTTTAGATACTGAAAGATGTCAAAAGGAGTCGATCTACTCTCGGGAAGTAAGTCTTTTCTTTTTGAATTCTCAGATTCTAAATGATTTTATACATAACAACTGGACATCAAGTGACTAAGATTCATATCATGCATGCGGAACAATTCATAAACCTTTAAAATAACGGTGGAAGCATGAGCATTAAACAGAAGATACTTCAATACTATTTCGATGTGTCAGAATACTGGACGAGTTTCAAAAATATTTTCTCAAAAACGCAAGGATTTTCTGAGGATTCGTAAACTCATCGAACTTTTCGACATATATTAGGAGACTACGCTTAATTTCTTGACTTCCACTGTTCGTGTTGTCCAGAAATCAAAAAAGGTTTTCGAGAGGGTTTTTGAAAATAGCACCATGATTTCTGAGAAAACATTTTCTATTTAGAGTGTACAAAATGACCATGTCTATGGTGAAAATGAATGTTTATATTGTACAACAGAAATATTTCTTTGATAAAAACGAATGATTTTCGGAGCGCATGGGTTCCCTGAACTGAAATGATACGTTCTAGAAACAAAAATTCATCTGTGCTTGCCTGTAGCACTTGATGCAAGTGACTATAGCCTTCACACAACTGACCACATCGATAATACAGAGGACCAAACTCACGATCTCAATAACTACCAAGATGCTCTAAATGATCGCAAATATGACACAATTAACCATTGATGTAATAAAAATATGGTCAAAATATGCAAAGATATTCTCGAAATGTTCACAATAATGGTACTAGTGACCACACATATGATCTGAATGATCAGAAATGCGATCATGTCGACTGTATTAGTCATGACATGGGCCATATCTCTACACTCTAAATAAAATCCGTTTTCTGGGAAACGAATAGGGGGTTTCCGGGTTTGTCACTATATGAAACCCTCACAAGAAATCAAGCAGGCTGGCAATCCCAAAAATCTATTGAAGATTTCCGAAATATCGGAAACCTTTCAAACATTTTCCACTGCTACACATCAGCAACCGATTCACATAGGCATCCGACATTGCCAAATTCGGTTTTCGTTATGAATAGTATTTTAACAACAGACATCTAAGGGTTCTCAAATTCATCGCAGTCACGAAGTCTTCATGAATCCAAAAGTTCAAAGTCCTCAATTGAGTCTTACTCAAAAGGTCTTCATCTGGGTTGATGGCATTACCTTTGTTACAATCTTCTTTATTTCGCCTTCTTCTTATTATTACATTCTCACAAGCGAAAAATTCCCCGTTCTTTAAACATTAACACTCACTTAAATAGAATAGATACGAGAAGAAGAATGAAATGACCGTAAACGTGATAGAGTGAAACTGAGAGAAGAAGAGAGAACATACTTATGGTAGGACAGATATCTCGTGACATAACAGTCTTCCAAGTAAAACTTCCGATGCCTATTCGAACCATATAGTGCCACACTTTCGCTATCTATAAAAGTCAGGGTGCTTGCTAACATCAGAGTCCTCAAGTCTTAAACTCCCCGAAGTCAGTGTTGAAATCAGCCTAAAGCTGAAATCGTTCAATATTTAAATCTCAGAAAGTCATTAGCTCTGTAAGTTCCTCTAAGCCAAATTTCTGCGATCAGTCGAGGTCTGTGAATATAATACTTCGTCAGAATTCATTGCATAAATCAAAATGGAAAAAACGAATACATACACTTGAACAAAATAAACTCACCATATTATAATTCATTTCATGAATGTAAATCGAAAAACAAATATTATGAAACAAAATGAACATGAAATTCTCTACATGACATATTTAGAAATGTTTCTCTTTCAATATAATAATAAGATAAAAATTGGCAATTAATGCGTAAGTTTGAGCTACCCTCTGAAATCATAAAATAAATTTTATCCCAATGGATGAATACTAAAATATTTGAACAAACATGTGTTTCAATAGACGATGCTAATTAAAAACTAATTTTTTAGCAGTAAGGATTGAAGATAAAGGAATAAAAAGGTAAAAAATGGTGATCATCTGATCATAGAATAACTTCGGTAGGCATTTTAAACAGCTTACTTTTAAAATCATTAACTATATCGTCATTCGAATTAAACTCATGTAGTCAAACTGAAACATCGTCTGCATTCCACATAAGTGGATCAAAGTATTCATCTATAATAATAAAAAGTAGAATCCTTAGTAGTTTTCATGTACTGAGTACATACATCTTAGTTTGGATAACAATATCAGAGTGCTTGAAAAACTACCTTTATTTCTTCTTGTCGCGAATCGAATTCAAAAAAGATTTGTGTTTTGGTACATTTAATAGACATGAGTCTTCTTTGGTAAATAAAAATGTATCAAGAGAAAATAAGAGATAGCTATAAATTATTGGAATTTCATTGATTAATTTGCAAGTGAAAGAAAACTATTTTTGACTTGTTTACGAAAGCATAGAGACATTTTGAAGAAGTTGAATAAATTATCCTGTTAAATAAGAATATATATGAAAAGGATTAAAACAAAATATGTCAATTTTTTTCATAAATAGATGTTAATTTACTCATCCAAGGAGTTCAATGTGAATTATCTGAGCTAATAAGACTAATTACTTCAAACTACATGACAACTAGTAGCCCCTCATCTTCAGATCACAATTCATTTTACAACAGTTGAAGTAAACAATACTAAATCGCATATGCATGATAACATATCTCTTTATTAGAGAGGCACCTGCTTTTATTTTTATTCGAAATACAAAATAAGCATACGAAGAATGAACAAGAACACAAAGAAAATAGAATGATACTCTGACTCATCACTGGTCATGCGGATATATCTCAAGAATGGTTTTTGCTTCTAAAATAATAATGCTTGTTTGAGTGTATTAGAAATGGATGTTTCCTCATTAAATCAAGCATAAGATTTTTTTTATAAAGCTTTGATGTAAACTAGTTAAAAGTATCTTTAAGCATAAAAAGTTCCCGTGCTTCACTGCAGTGTTTTCAAAGATAGTAATGTTTGAACAATTAACAAAACTTAATTCAATAAAAAGAAAGGAGAAAAACGAAATTTCTTGAATGGAATGATGTTTTAGTGAAGTGTACCAAGTTTCAAAGCAAAATTCGTCATTTAATATATTTACAACTGTATACAACTAGGAATAAAAAAATAAGACAAAATTCTCTTGCAAAAGACGATTTCTGTTATAGCTACCGAGTAACTCCTAAAAATGCAAATTATACAATGGCAATATGAAAATGAAAAAGATAAAATTTTAATACTAGTTCGGTTTTCCACTATGTTTAATGGGTTTCAGAGAAATTTTCTCGGAAACTCATAGGTTTCTAATAATTTGGAAATCTGAAAGGGTTTTCGAGATTTGTTCGGAAGCCAAGCTAGTATTCTGGCATACGCTTTCGACGTCTCCGATCCCAAGAAATCCAAAAGATTCGCGGAAGGTTTTCAAAACAAGAACGGTTCCCGAGGAAAATTTTTGGGCTTCAAAAATTGTTTGATGGTTTCTGAGAGAACTGTTAAAGGTTTCCTATCCGAATTCTTGAAAACCTATAAGGCGATTTCAAAAACTCAGCTTAGAGCCTAAAATCTTTCCTGATACGTTTGTGACTTTCCGAAAGGGTTTCCAAAGGAATTTTGGTTTCAGGGAAAACGCTTTTTATTTAGAGTGTATAATCATTCGTGGCAGCTTTGATTCCTTTGGGGTATATCTTTGATTCTATAGGTCTCATATGCGGTCCTTTGTGCCACTGATATCATATAGTACTGTGATGCACAGAGAGAGAGATGCAGCTAGGTTAATTTAAATTTTTAGGCCATTCTCTTTATCTAAGGTAAATCGAATCGACTCTCGATCAACGTTACCTGTTTAGATATGGGCTGTTCAAAATATAAACGAATCCTATTAGAGTTCTTTCATTCACTCATCACTTTACCCCATTTTATACACATTCGTCTTCATATAATGGAATTCTCTATAATTTTATTATGCATAATGTACGCCTTTCCTTGTAAAAAAATATAAAAGCCTACAAAATTCTGAATTCTGTTTGGCAGGCATTCTGCAACTGCCGTCAGCCGAGTCAATCACAGCTGTAAAATTCTAGATACAGTATTCTTATTTCTCACCCCTTCCACCCCCTCTAACTAAAATTCAAGTGGTGGATAATTTATAATTCTTGTGATAGTAAAGTATTTAATCAATTTCGTTTTTTAATGATTTTTTTAAAATCTTTTGTTATTCATTCTTAATAAAATTTTCACAATGCATTTATGGTAACATTAACATGTTGTTGGCTATGGTAGTTGTGTTTACTTCTTTTTTACCTGACATTAGTATATTAAAAATTTTTTTGTGTAAAATTGATCTCAAATAATAATGTTTTTTTTTATAAGTATTAATTGTTCAAGTGTTATTATATTTATATGAAATTTTTTTTTGCTAGCATATTTGTACACTAATTAGTGCAAGAATTAAAAATAATGATACCATGTTTTTTGTTTGAATTTTCTTTTCTATTTAAAATATATTTCACAAATAAATAATTTTACACACAAATGTGCTTAATTGTATAATTCAATTTTTTTACTAAATGAATGTTCGAAGGATATACAATTGATTTTACGATATTTGAAATTTATATAATGATTCATTCATTTAAAACAAAATTGTAATTTCTTACCCCATCTCATATTGATTCTCGAAAAACCTGGGCCCCCCCCCCCCCGGTCTTCACTTTTGTTTCGCTTGGAGGCAATGTTTTCTTCATAGAGTAGCATCGATTTTTCACATATTTTAACAATCTCTCACTTTTTGGGGAGAGCCTCCATTAATAAATTTTAAAAAAAGCAAAAAAGAAGAACGAATAGATCGCAAATTATTATTATTATTATTATTATTATTATTATTATTATCATTATTATTACTATCATTATTCTTTTTTTAAAATTTATTCTTTTTTTAAAATTTATCTTCTACTCTTTTAACATCATTCTTAATTTTTACTACGTAAGGATGATTAAATGGTAATGCTACTTCATAGATTGTTTGAGCCTTCTTCATATATGTCAATGCCTGTTTTAATTCAACCTTGTCTTCATACACAAGACCAATGTTCTCGTAGGTCATTGCAATACTGGGATGTTGAGCAGGAAGTGACTTCAATCTGATTTTAAGTGATCGATTGCAATGATCCAATGCGAGATCATAATGACCGAGACCTCGATGAACAGTGCCAATATTGTTGTACGACGTACCCAAATCAGGATGATCCGGTGGTAAATGCTTATTATCTATAGCAAGTGACTTCTCATAGAATTCGAGCGCTTCAAAATACTTCTTCTCTTTTTGATAGATAGTGCCAATGTTGTTGTAAAAGGAGGCCAAATGTGGGTGACTCTCATCGTGTGCTTGTTTGAAGAGTGACACGGCTCGATTGTACGATTCGAGTGCTCGACCACGATCACCTTTATTTCGATGAACATTACCGATGTTGTTGTGTGTGATACCAATATTGGCATAATCGGATGGACGAGTTTTGACAGTAATCTCGAGTGATTTCTGGTACCATTCGAGACTCGTATTATGCTCACCTTTCGCATTAGCAACCATACCAAGACGTTGATACAACACACCAAGGGAGGGATCATTCGATGGAAGTTCGCTCAACCATCGACAATAGTACTTTTCGGCCAAATCGAATTTTCCCATGTTTCTTAACACGTCACCAAAAGAGAGAAGATTCGTTTCCTTTCTGTCGTATTCGTTCTTCAGATGGTGATCATACAGTTGTTTGAGATCATTATCATCATCATCACTACATAATGTCATTCGAATGATTATTGACGTTGTTGCATCAGCTGATAATAATAATGACGATGATGATGATGATGATGATGATGATGATGATTGATCATGAGAAATAATCTCATTCAAACGAAATATAGAACCAAGCATAAATAATACTTCAGATTCTCCTTCACCATAATAACTTAATTCATCAATTTGTGCAAATGGTAGTCGATTTTTTTTTGTTTTATCGTTCTTCATACAAACCACAGCAGGATCAGCTTCAATTTCGAAAATAACAGCTACATAATCGCCCGATGCACATAAATGCATATTTCGTTGAACAAATCCTTCGGCTATTATACGATTTAAGGATGTCGATAAAAATGAATTCAATGAAATGATTGATCCACATGATTTTTCTAACTTTTTATATTCGACTATCGATAAGACCTGACCACGATATACAGTCACACGCTTTTGACATTGATAAGCAAGCAATTGTTCGTATATATCTCGAATAACAGTTCGAAATAGAAACATTACTTCCGTGTTTCGTACACGCAACGCCTTGTTCATCATGCGATACAAAAATGACTCACGTGTGTACCACCATATCGCCTTGGTCGGCTCATATGCCTTATAAAATTCATTCACTAATTCCAAATCCACCTCATTACGAACGGTTCACTAAGTATATTCTTATTCATTTAAACACATGTTTTTTTTCATAGCTAACTAAAGAAATAATCCATTAAAAAAACTCCACCCAAAACTATATCAACATTTCAGCCAGCATCTAGAAAAAAGAAAACATACCCAACAATATAATAAAACAATTATCACATGCTCACCTCATCTCATACCATCATTCACAGATGTTTTTGAACTTCGTTTCGTTTTTTTTTCTTTTTTCCTTTCTTTTTGTCTCAGTTATAGTCTTCAAACGATGTCTTCTTTTGCAATCAGAGTGTCATCTATAAGTGTTTGTAAATAAAAACACATTATGAAGTCATGAAAATTAATTCTACACTATGATACTGAGAAGAGACAGAGAGAGAGAGAGAGAAGCTTTTTTTTCTAAGATTTTTGTACGCGTTTTCAAAAATAGGTTAGTAAAGAATCCCCGAAAATTTGACATCTGCAAGCGGCAGAAAACGTGCAGGGTCACTGTTTATTTTTATCGAAAAAAACATTCTCTAGTAGAAAATTAAAGGAAGGAAGGAAGCAAGGAAATAAATTAACCATCACAACAAAAACAGCCGATATTCTTTTATTAGACAAGAGAAATAATTAAGCAAACTCGGCGATCTCAACAAAACTTCATGATCACCATCATCATCATCATCATCAGTGCTTATCATCTGACATTATCATCACTGATCACACAATGATCATAATGATCATGATGATGATGACAACGACATCGAAAGCTTTGCTTTTCCTTACACTGAAAGGATAGGGTCTAGAAACCGTAATTCATCTCTGTTTGTCTGTCTGTAACAATGACACAAACGACCATTTCCATGGCAAAATTGACCATTCCTATGATACAAAATGAACATCTCCATGGCATGATTGACCATTTTTAATGGAACATATTTTTGGCGGATACACCGATGGGAGCACGGGGATTAGCCCCGTCTGATGGCGAAACACGTGTGTAGGGTGCTACTAAAGTTCCCATAAGGAACTTTTATCCCTACATCGAGTAGTTTGTTAACGGCGTGATTCAGTCCCTAGGTGAAACACCGATCTCTACTACCAGCTCTGAAAGATATTTTAGCCTCCTGATGAGAATAGCCAACAGTATGTTCTATTAGAGAGTATAGGCTGAGAGCTCTCCTGCTCGTGTGATCAGAAACAAAATCGTGGTTCTGACAGTGCTTCGCATCTGTCTTCCATGCTTATTTCGACTGCGTTTTTTTTATTCATGGCTCTTGAAAATATTTCATTTTCTTCTCATCGTACCCTCACTTTCACTTATTCACCTTTTGTATTTCTTGTCTCGATTGAACTGATACACTCCTCTTTTTGGAAATTTCACAATCTGTGGCGGAAAATGCCGATGGAGTCGCTGGTTCATATATTTGCACGTGTGTGTGTTCTGTCAGTCTAGGACTGAGTGAATCGATTTTCGATTCATGTTACTTGTATTATTTCAATTAAATAACAAAAAAGAATACCGGGTTGCTGTTCATTTACTTCAATTATTCTTATAGTATGAATGAATGAATTACTTACTTACTTTATCAACAACACTAACAATGTATCAATTCGTAATTGATTATTGTTCTAAAATTGCTCTTAAAAGAATAAAATCACTTTTTTTCTATTATCGACCTACACGTATGTATGAGCGACACGAAACAAATATAACTTTACTTTTTCATCTAGTCAGATGAAATCAACAAACAACAAAACAAAAACAAAAGCACAATACTTATAATTAGGTCACTCTAACCATCAGATTCTACGTTGATATCAACTATTTTCAACATGAAGTAGTAAAACAAAAGATTTCACGCGCTGAAAGTATTT